TGTGCGGGGACCAATTTTCTACCTCGTGCCATTGGGACTGAGCCTGGAAACATGAAGGCTTGGATTCCCTGGAAGCAGAACTCGCCTGCGAGGTCCACTGCGAGCGCCAAGGCACAACGGGATTCGTTCTCGACATAGCTCTCATTCGCTGCACCCTCCCCCCCCCGGACGGTGCCATCTGTTAAGGCCTTGCGAGGTAATGAATCCCCCTAAGGCTTTTTCAGGGTGGTTTTCATTGGGGGTGTTGGTAGGGTGCCAGATGTGTGACCGGCAAAAGAACCCCTTACAAAAGGGATACTTGAAAATTCGATTGGCATTGATTTGTTAGGTTTGTGCATGTGGGCGGCTGAAAGGACAACATGCTTTGTGCAATTTGTGTGTTGATCTCGATACCTAGCTTCGGTCTCAATAGAAGACGTGTGGTTTGTGTAGTGCCCCACTTACAGGAGATTCAAGCCCCCTATCGCCGGTTCGGCCGGTTTGAGCGGCACATGAGGTATTGACCTTGGGGATTCCGAGCTGATGTTTGGGGCACCCAAAAGGCTTGCGGCTTGCTCTCTGGGTTGCGGCTGGGTCCCTAGGTCTTGCGAGCGAGCGAAAAGATCGATCTTGGTTCAGCCAGTGCGGCAGTTTTGAGCAGGTCAAGGAGATGTCGATATTACCCGCACCTTTTGGCCCAAACTCCGAGCGAGTGGGAAAAACTCATCGACCGAGCCCGGATGCCTAGATGGGGATGGACATACGACGGCAGAGTTGAGCTGGGCACAATCGAAACATATCGAAGCTCGGCCAGATGTGTCGTTTTGCCCCCGGCAAAGCTGTTTTGCTTGTGGATGCATCCCAATGCCATTGGACACAAGTAAAAAATAAAAAGAACTGGTAAGCTAGTTACAGGGCAGTCCCAGAAGCCCGGCCGGATGCCAATGTAAGCAGCTTGTAGTTGGTCATTTATGTTGAGCGGTCCATGCCAATGGCTCATTGCCAACGGTTTCCTTATGGATTTCTGACATTTTGACCATGCTAGTGGTCTTACATTGTGGCGGAAAATGCTGGCCGTGCTAGTGGTCTTGATTCGTCTTGTGTCCACGTTGAGGATGTCCCAGGACACGAACCAAGGCCCGGCTGAAAAGAATCAGAGTCGAGTCGGGTCAGTGGACAGTACCAGGGGACATATGGCTGTGTTTGTTTTCGGATTTCAACCCCCAAAATGGCTTCGCTACCCACAAACAAGAAAACGGGTACCAACTCAACAAACAACATATATTGTATATATTATATACATCCGTTTACACTTCACCATGGGTTCTAGGCGGCTCCCACCAGTTCCCGCACGGCGTTTTCCACTTAAGCTCTTTTCAAGGGTGGTTCCCTTGGGTGATCGGCCAAGATAGGAAGGCATTGGTTCTATTTCCCACTCTGTCCCCCAAGTGGAGAACATCCTGTTGGGCTATTACCCAAGTGGCTATCCACTTGCTCAGCCCAATATCCAAGTAGGCCACTGGAATTAAGGAACCTGTTCAGTTCCGGTATCTGCCCATTGATCGATTGCGTGGCTTTCCGAGGTGTGTGGCCCTTCTTCACTTCACAGTGGAGGACTTATATAGATGCAGTTGCAGTTGGGGGGCGATCTGCATGTGATGGGAACATCCAGCTCATTGGAAGAGTGCCGTGGGTTCACTGATGCGCAACCCATATTTGAGATGAAATAGTGTGTGTGTGTGTGTACGTGCAGACAACTTGGCAGCCAACAATCTTTGTTTAACTCGTCAGAGTCGCAGGTTCATGGTGACCCGAGCTTCTCCCCCTTTCAAAAAGACCAGGGCCCGCAGGGCTTGAGGCCTAATTGGGTGTTCCACCAAACACACCTTGCTAAAGCCTACGGGGAGGATGTTCCATATCCCAAACCTCAGGCCGCCCAGTCGTGCTGGTTTAGGGGGTTATAACCCGCCCAACGGGGGTAACCAACACTTAAGCAGCGTAGGTTTGTTCATAGGAACCAGCGTGCATGACTATGGGTATGTCATCTTTGCGGTCGGCCTGCAAAAGTCCGATGATATCCATCGACAACACCAGAGATGGTTCTCCGGCTCTACCGCTTATTCGGTTTGAGATGGGTGTTTGCTAACATGTCAATCCAATGTTCTGGTTGCTTGCCTCTACAGTAATTACTTGGCTTGATGTGCGGTTTTGCGGAAGGTCTATAAAACATCCCAAAGCTTCGAAGGCATCACGTGGCGAGTGCGTTAGATCCCACTAACTGCAATCTTGGAACCTCCGGGTTGTGGGAGATCCAGAGCCCTCCATTCTTCTGGGTCTGTCACTGTCATTTTTGAGGGCAATGACCTTCCTTTTCTGTTGGGTGGTTTAAAACAAAATGGTCACCAAGAAGGGAAACCGGGTCTCCTCCAAAAAAATGGCGGCCTTATGGGTGGTTTTATAAAGGGACTCCCAAGAAGGGACACTGCGGGGTCAGGAACCGGCCGTGTTTTTGACAAGCCTCCTAACTTGCTGGTGCTCAATAGGGAATGAGTGGGAATGAACCTGGGCTAGGTCCCCCAGTAGTGCCCTTTCTCACCCCTTTTTTGGTTGGGATGGTTCTACCAAGATAGCCTACAGAAAGAACAAAAATCGGGTACCTTGATTCTAACCTCTCTACTGGAGGCCCTAGTGGGGATTCCCGAAAGGAAACCTCAAGGTGGATGGCTGGTCAGCTCGCTTGAGGTCGACGCTATGCAGGTCTGCGACCCCTCCTCCGCCTTCTTCGGGCCGGGTTTGGGTCGGAGAGTTGCGACACCTCCCGCGGGAAGCTGGCTCATTTTGCAGCAGTTTTTTTTTCAGGTTCGGCAGCCAGGGTTTAGGGTTTAGGGTTTAGGGTTTAGGGTTCAGCGGTTGGATTCTGGGGCTTTGGAAGGCAAGCATCTTATTGTTGTTCTTTTTTTCCCCGGTCCAGTAAGCCATCCTTGCGGAGGAGGGGGCTGACAGCTGTTGGCGGAAGGATCTGTATAGTTGGGATTTGTTGCCATAGTTCCCTTGTTGAATGCCAACGTTTCGGTCCACAAAGCAGAATGCCACGAACCAGACGAAGAGGGGGGGGGGGTCAGGTTCAGAGCCGGAAATGAGTTGCTGCCCATTTTCAGCCGGAGGGGGAATCCTAAATAGCTTCTAGGAAGGGAGTACTGTAGACATGTTAGCACGTTTACACTTGCTTTTGGCTGCAAGGCCTAAGTGGGAAACCACCAAAAGCTTAAGCTTCTTCTGACCTGCGAGTTGTGGCTGCAGGCTTAGGGAATTCAATATATTCTGTACAACTCCTGGTTAATCCCCTTGATAAAGTAGTGGTAGGTCAGCCCCTCTTTGGCATTCCATGGCTTGTCTTATGCTGCATCGATGTGAGCAGCCCCTCTGCCCACACCCAAAAGGAGTTCACCTTTGTCCAGTGCTCATAGTTTAAGGCTGGCAGACCATCCACTAGACCCGCTGGGGGGGGGGGTTGCAGGGCTCTTGACTAGAACCGATCGGTTCAGGCTGAGTCCGGTTGGGTCAGGTCACTTGACCCTGTGGCCGGGTCAAAACATCATGGCAAAGCCCCAGCCAACTTCTAGGGTGTGCCATTTCACCTTCACTGTTCTTGACGTTGACATGTGCTGTTATATTCTTGCTTGGTTCTGCTCATTCCTAGAGGTTCTAACCACTTTGGAGACGGATACTTTTAGTTTTGTTTTTGCAGGGTTGTGCTGAAACCGCTTGAAACCCCGGTCCAACTTGATTTCAAACCGAGTAAACTGGTCGATGCACGGAGGATGCCGAAGCTTCAGATTTGCCGCAAAGGTTCGTCCAAGGGTTTGGCCCAGTTCAGTGGGAGCCACCGAACTGACGTGATCCAAATGGCCTGGAGGAACTGTCAACGCACATGTTTCTTGGATTGAGTGTTCGGATGGGGGACGGTTGTTCGAAATCCTCAGTGGTGTCCACCCTTCAAGTCCCATTTCACGCTTGACGCGTTAGGGACTTGCTAAGACAGGATTCCGGCCAAACAAAATGGTTCCGATTCTTTGTCCACCATTGGGTGGTCGCTGGTTGCAACGCAACTTAGAATGGCATCCAAGCTGTTTTCATCTGAGTCACATGTATCCACACCAAAAGCCATTCTTACGAAACCAAAGTTGGAACCTCGCTCGCCTTCTAACACCTCTCAAGATGCCGCTAGTGCCGCTGAGGTCTTTCCCCCTTTCCCCTTCGCCTTTCCGACTTTCCCTTTTTTGTTTAGAGAGATTTAGGTTTTCAGGGTTCAGTGGGGGTTTCCATTTCACCCACCAAACGTTAGTCACTTTTGCCAGGGGATCTGAAAACGGACAGCCCAGTCCTCGTAAGGTAGCTGGACTAGTCCCTGCCCATCACCTTCTGGGGAGTTCCTGAAGGAACCAACACAAGGGCCGGTTTGGGTTCCATTGTTTGTTGGTCTTTTTTGTTTTTGGATGTAGTTTTGGTCCTTCCCAGCAGGTTTGGAATTTCCTTCCCAGCAGGTTTCCTTCCACACAGGTGGGTTTCCAGTTCACTAACCCTTCATGCCATGTTTGCCAGCTGTATGGGTCCCTTTTTGTTGAGGTTGTTGGGTGTAGTTGCTAGTGTCCTTTTAACGGGTTCCCCTTGGCTGTAAACCCCTTTTTCACGGTTCCCTGCTTGGGTGTCAACCCCCCTTTTTTCGGGTTTCCCTTGTTGCCGGCTCACCAGGGGGTTCCCATTGTTTCCATTCTTTTCCACGTGTTTCCCATCCCTTTGCTCCAGTTCGTCAATACGGAGTTTCCTTGAGCGCGACCCGCATTTGAACACACCACACTTCTGTTTGCATTTGGCTCTTTTGCGTTTTGTGTCTGGTCGCGGGACGGTTTCAGTTTTTTTCGTTCTTCCATTTTTTACCTTCAATTTGTGGAACCGACACGACTCGAGAAAAAACAGGAAAACAACAGAAAAAAGAAACATGACGCCCTGGTGGCAGCTTCATGGGCGTCACCTCGGCGCTGGTCTTCGCGAACTTGGGGGCCGCCTATGGCACCGCCAAGAGCGGCGTGGGCATCGCCTCCATGGGCGCGCCTCGGACTTCCGGACTTCCGGACTTCGGTTCGAGCGACCTCCGGCGGCCTGTGGGGGGGGGGGGGGGTCTTTTTTGGTTCGGGGTTTGGAATCAAGGGACTGGGATTGAAACCTGGCTGGGATCCTGTTTTTGGCTTTTTGAAAGGTTTGCGTTTCTTCTTAATTCTGTTCATGTCGGGGGGCTGCAAAAGGCCAGGTGGTTTGGAAGCGGTTCTCAAGGGTGGTCAAGACAGGGGAAAGGATCTTTCGGGCTTGGAACGCAGGCCCAGCCACACAGGAAGTGAGATAAGGGACACATGACATGGAACATTCGCTGGCCGGGTAAAGCGGCTGGTCCAAAAAGGGGTGCTATGTGTGCAGAAGATGGAGAAGATGCTTCCGGGTAAATTAGAGCTACGGACATCCGGTGATTGTTTTGAGATGTTTTGAGGCAATTCTCCATGAAATCTGAAGACCTCGCTCTCCGGGTTCTCGCTCTTTGTTGTACTTTTCGGAGAGACCAGTTTCGCGGTATGCAACGATTTCCGTTTTTGGCTGGCCGACTTCACGAATGACTCGCTGATCTCGCTGCGTGAAAGCCCAGGTCATGCGGCCTGATATGATCATGAAGTCCATCATCCCAGTGGCCGGCAGCCTCAGTCATTGCGTCATGACTCAGTATGGTGGCTCCCAGCCATCCCAAGAGCTTTTTAGCTTTCTGATGAAGTGGTAGTTTCCAAATGTAGCCCTCCGGTTCCCAATAGCTTTTTAGCTGCTTTAGTTTGTTTTGGTGCTAGTTTTCAAATGTAGCCCATTAAAATTCAGTGACTTTTCGCGGGGGATCTGAAAACGGGCAGCCCAGTGTAGGCTTGGGGTCAACATCCGCTCGGATTCGAGCCGAGGTCATGGCAGGTGTTCTGGGCATCTACGGGCTCATCACAGCGGCAGCTCAGACGCGAGCCAATATACGTATACTGCGTGTCTTCTATTTTGTATAATGAGTCTAGATCCTTGCGCTGCGCAATCATGTTAACAACGTATACTGCGTGTCTTTCTATTTTGTATAATGAGTCTAGATCCTGGCGCTGCAGAAGCAGTTGTCTTTTAAACATGTCACAGATGGGTGCTCGGCCATCAGCATAATATAATTTGTTAGTAGCCTAGGTTATAAGCCACCCGCTCCCCCTAACTGGAGGTATCCCTGTTCTTAGTGGGTGGACCCTCGGCTAACCACCTGCTTACTCGGCCAAACATCCAACCATGTTGTTTTGCCTATTCAGTTTTAAGACTTGGATTGATTGTCCAGGACGGAATACATGAGTTCCAGATATAGTGACTTACTTGGCGCTTTGCCGACTGCAGGGGCGTCGCTTATGGCTCGGCTTTCTCATGCGAAGGAACCCAAGGATCGCCAGGAAGCTACCAGTTGCTCCCCTGCCTATCGAACCAACAAGTCGTTGATCCGCAATGCGGGCTTGTCTCAAATGCAAACCCCCCCCCCTTAAAAAAAAAAAGGTGGCTTCCGTTTGGTTCCCTCTAAACCAAGCCGTTTCTCCAAACGAGACCCGTCGTTTTCCGAGGTCATCATCAATGGCAAGATGGACGCGGCCAACTACTCGGCCTACTCCGGGTATGCCCACCTCGGCGCAGGCGGGCAGGCGGCTTGCGCGTGCTTGGGGTGACTTCTGAGCGAATTACGTACCCTTTGCAGGTGGGTTTAGAGGGAAACCAAAAGGACATCCAAAATCCATGTTGGGTTCCCCTAGTTTCACACACCCAAATGTGGCCTCAGGAGGGACCTGGCATCTGTTTGGGATGGATGCACCACGCATTATGAATACGTACTGGGATAAACAGCCTACCAGTTGGTGCGAAATGGATGCACATCCACAGTAGCTATACCCCTGGCTGAGCCGTAGGGTCTTGGGTCCCAAGAGAGTCCTTCGAAATTGAACGCAACCAGCCATCTCCTTGGGCGGAATCTCAAGCTCCTTTTGGGTAGACTAACCATTCAGCTCATGGTTAAACCTTCATGTAACTACGGCCATCTAAGTACATCTTCCAGCCAATTTCTGAGGCTTCCCTCTCTCTCTCTCCCTCTGTTTTTGAGGGCGCAGCCCCCATCAGCCCCCACATCTGGGTGAACCAAGCTCGAAATAACTTGCTGGTTTGCTAAGCAGGGAGTGAGGGAATGATATCGCACCAGCCCAGACAAACATCGCACGCGTTTGCCACCCCATCCATCCGATCCATCCCTATTCCTTTCGCGCCTCCGGCGCATCCGGGCGACTCAGAACTCCTCTCCAGGCCTCGGCGATCTCCTTTTCCTTCCGCTCCGAAAGGACCATCCCAACTTCTACTCCGCCGCTTTGGACTCCGAAAAAAATCGACCCACTCCGGCCATCCCGTTTTTTTGCTTCTTTTCGATCCGACTCCGAAAAAATAAAGATGCGACCCGGGCGAATGGATCGATCGAAGGAACTGTGGTCGATCGTCGAGGCCAGTCCATGACCCCGAATCATTCTGGGTAATGACCAACCCATTTTTTAAGGGTCAGAAGGAGACTCCAGGTTAACCTATCGCGAATGCCATACAACCACATTTGTCCATATCTCCCAGTTCTGAGCCGATATTTATCATCCGCATTCTTGGATGTTGGATCCGATTTCAGGAGAATTTGGCCGGCCTTTTTGGATCTCATGGATCCGAATCTCCGCAGTCGAGGCCTCACGGTGGGCATGAGCTCCCTGGCCGCCGGCTTGGCCATTGGCATCGTGGGGGACGCCGGGGTCCGCGCCAACGCCCAACAGCCCCGCCTCTTCGCCGGGGACCTGAGATTTGGAGTGAAACCAGGCGCCTGGCGCCTGGCGCCTTTCTGTCCCAGAGTTTTTTTTGGTACCTCCTGAGGATGGCTTTTGGGCGGTAAAAAGAAAGGGGTCTAAAGACTCCAGTTTGCAGAAGCCACTGCCATTTGAGTGTTCAAAACTCCCTGCAATCGAAAGCCCGGTTCGTGAGGAAACATGGATTTGAACATTTTTTTTCAGGCTGCGAAAGGATTCGCGGAAGGATTTATTCATTTGCCCGGTCGCGAAAATGTTTGAGGCGAAACTACGGGTTGAACAACTTTTCTTGTGGATTCGTCGTCGCATGAGCGAAAACACACGAAAAGTAAGTTCCACACAGTTTCTCAATCCGCGCAAGCGCCTATGCGGGCGTTTGCTAGGTCGGCACCACAGGCATAAGCTACTCTCGTCGCGGAACATTCGCGCCACGGGTCTGGGTTTAAGGCTTGCCGTTTCTTGAAGGTCTTGTTTGCGAGCTCGAGGCCAGTTTCGGTGTTTGGACGGGGGAGCGTTCAGCTTTTCGTTGTTGACTGTGTGGTGGCAACGCAAAAATCCAGCTCAATCCGGTACAGCCGTGGATTTTGAAGTGGCGACAAGTCAAGTGTCTGTTAAACACATGCGAACCCCCTTTCGGTTGGTGTTTTGAGGAAGCCAAAAGAAGAGCGATATTGCTGATCCCATGTTTGGCCGCCTATTTGGTTGGCCATGTTTTTTTGTTTTTTGTGAGCACTTTCTCTCACGAGGTCGGCATGATCCTGATTCTCATCTTCGCTGAGGCGTCCTTGCTCGTTTTCCTCCCGCAGACACCTGGAAACCCATTCGCCAGTTGTCACTCCGAAAGTCAACCAATTTTCGGAGGCTTAAGGGGTGGCAGACGGAAAAAAGTCGGGTCCAGTCATCCGTCGTTTTGTTTTGCGGGATCGAGCATTGCAATTTTCTTGGCCACAAGGTGTGGTCCTTGAGAGGTGCAATGTTTGCGTGCGAAATATGATGATACTACTAGTGATTAATGTGAAACACGAGGCCGGAAAAATCAAAGGCATTTCCATGGATCGTTTTTGGGGAGATAGAGAGGCTATCTACAGCTTCTTCGAGCTTGTATGGTTCGGTTTTTGCTTGTGTGCAAGTTGGAACTCCTGCCCTAAGGGTTCCTTGGTGCCTTGTGACGTTTGGCTTCAAGACACCTTGGGAAGGTACCGAGGGACCCTTTGATGTGTCAGAATGGGGAGGACCATCAAACTGTTAAACTGCTACTTTCCCTTTGTTTGCCTTTTCCTGTTTTGAGGGAACCCCGCTTTGTGGCGCAAAGAAAGAGGGAAACTTAAGGGAAACCAACGAAACGCAAGTCAAACGACTGGTTTGGGGTGGTTCCGATTCCTATCGCCTGGGGATTCCCCTTCTGAAACCATGCGTTGGATGTTTTTTCTCGGTTCCATTTCTCATTCCCTGCCAATCGCACCGATCGCAAGCAACATTTTAGTGTTTTGCTTTTGGTGTCCCTTTGTGCCCCTTCAAAACCAACCAACACGGGTTTCCATAGCCACCAGTTCAGCAGTTCCAGCGCCTGGTTAGAGGCTCTGGGCCTCTACGGGCTCATCGTGGGCCTGGTGGTGGCGTCCACCGCCGAGGGCAAAGGCACGCGACCGAAAGCGGGGCGATGGATCGGATGGATGGGGCGATCGATGGGTCCAATGGCTACCGCATTGGCTGAACTGGGTGTGGTGGTCAAAACCCAGATACCCGTTTTTGGGAACCCCCCCTTTTGATGGTATCCCATTTCGGGGTTTTCGGTGCACCCCGCATTTTGGAACGTATTTTAGTGGTTGGATGGGATGTTCAACTGGGGGTACGTTTGACCCATGGCCAAATGAAGATCGTAAAAAACGAAATCCCTGGTTGGTCTTAAAGGGAATGTAAATCACTACTACGACAGGTTCTCAATTTTTCCAGGGGTGAAGAAGCAAATGGGCCTACAAAAGGTGATTTCTCCCTTTTGCTGGAAGAGACAGCGAACAGAGATCACTCGGTGAGAATTCATGTTGGTGTGTGTCTCAATCAGGTTGTTGTTTTCTTGTGGTTTGTGGTTTCCCGACCCAACTGGAAACGGGTAACCTCAAGAATCACACACCCACTTGCAGATATGGGGGCCCCCATGTTCTTAGCTTGGAAAGGACTCTGAGAATGGGAAAGCTACGCGCAGATTTACGGGTGTGTCGTTTTTGAAGGCTCGGTACTCATACCCTGAGGTTTATTTCAATGGGAGCTGGGGATAGTCATTTTGCCACAAACTAACAAGCAACTGTGAAGCAGTTGTCAGCGTTCAAGCACCAACAGGGGGTGGATACCCCCAGGCCCATAGCATGTGGGGCGCGGATTCTCCGGGGCTCCTCCCCAGCGTTGCCCCATCGCTGACGTTAGACTCAGACATGGAAAGGAGACCAGCCGTAGGGTTGACAAACCCAAGTGTGCCTTGATCAAACACGATGTTTTTTAGAAAATCGAGAAAAAACGATGGTTTTGGTCAGGGTACGACATTGTTACAGGTTCTTGAAGCCCTAGGTAGTCTATGGTCAATTTGGGAGGGACATGGAGGCTCTTGAATTTTCTGGTGCTGACTTGGGTAACACGAAACTTTGTCCGTGGCTCATGTCAGGTTTGCGCTGAAATAATGATCCGCACATGAGCCACAATCAGAGCCCGGGTGAAAGAAGGGTAGTAAGAAGTAGTCCCAAGCAGAAATAGGTGCAGCCGCCCTTTCCATGTGTCTCTATATATATATATATATATATATAGATGGGTACCCATATATATATATATATATATATACATATACATGTATATATATATATATGTATTTGTTGATGGTTTTGGGTAGAATCCTCTAATACCAGGTTTTGATTGGTGACTCGCTGCGGTGTGTCGAGGCAAGGGTCTTTGCAAGCCCTATGCCTGAGAGAGGTCGGGTCCGGGCTGGGAGCTAATCTTTCTTTCGGAGGGCTTCGGTTAAAATCAGTCATAGAGCTTCTCCGTTTGGCCCCCAAACACACGACTCCACAAAAGGTCGATGTTTAGCTTTTCTGAAACGATCCACAATGATCCACATGTGGTCTGGGTTTGCCACGTTCAAAAACTGTGGAATGAAGAGAAGCCAAACGGATTGTGTGGTAAAGGGGGCCCAATAAAAACGGGTCGATGTCCAGTCGGATTTCCGTCTCAAAAAGAAACACATAGAAATCCTTTGAATTTGGGACATCCTCACATGGACACCTCCCTGTTGTGCTCCCTTTTGGGGGCCCAAACTCAAACTGGCAGGGAGTTCCTATGCCGCTGAAGTCGCGCCAGTGGGAAGGAAAGCATGGACACAGAAGATCTTGAGAGGTTCCGAAAAACGGAAACAGACGGTAGCCCGTACGTAACCCCATTGAACCTAACCCCTTGCCTTTGAAGAATCGACCTTTCGACCTTTTTGTTGTTTCTTTAGTCCATCGCTGAAATCATGGGACTTCGGTGAGTGTTTGGGGGGGGGTCCAGCTTGATTTTCCGATCGGCTGGACGAACGACCTTGGTTTGACCCTTTGTTGTCTCTTTTCAAGCATCTTCGTGCTGACTTCGATTGCTGCAGCATCAAATTCATCAGGACAAACCCAAAAAAAGCCTTTGGTTGGTGGGCTTCCCTTCAAAATCAACCAGGGGTGTTCTTTTTCCCCTGTGCCTGGATTTCGACCCCAAAGGGACGATAGTTTTGTCGGTTCCCAGCCATACGGCTCAGGCTTTCAGGTTTTGAGCGATTCAAGTTGGATTTCGACCGGCGGTCTGGGATTGATCTTCCGTTTGTGAGGTTCTTAAGGAGGGCATGGGGGTAAGATGGTAACATTCTAGGGGTTGATTCCCCATTCTTTCCAACCATCGTTCTTTTCAAAAACCAGCAGTTTCCCTGGGTTTTTGATGGTTCCCTGAAAAGATTCGGATCGCTGGAAAGAATGGAAATGGAAGGTAGCCCTAGAAACATGAGGTGGGCTCAAAATCTGGGGTTCAACATCTGCTGTGAGTCACTGGGATCCCATTCGCTTCTCCAAGGGACCAAGGTGTTCGCGGACTCCACAGGTTCTTTCTCCGCGCTGTCCAACGACTATTCTCTCTCCCAAAGACTTGCCGAACTCTCCCCAAGACTTCCCGAATCAGGCTTAGGATTCCCTTGAAGCTTGTCTACTCAGCGTCCCAAGTCCCAAAGCCTCCAACCAAGGCTCCCTCAAGTTTGGAGGCTTTCCCCGAGCCTTCCCTTCTTGGGCTGCGTTCTCTCGCCTGTTTGCTTGGCCCGCAGCTCACGCAGCGACTTGCGCAACCGAGTACTCGAAATGGAAGGGTTCGGAGCTCAAGGGAGCTCAAGAGTCTTTCTGAGGCCTTCAGGGATTTGGGAGGGAGTGCCAGGCTTCAATTTGCAGAGGAGGGCTCTCAGTGCAAAGGAAGATTAGGATACCCACAACCCCCCACCCTGCGCCTTGGAACCCCCGCCCTGCCTGCTGGCCTCATTATTTTATCATCACAGTCACCCCCCTAAGTGGGTTAAAGGGAAACAACCCCATTTTCTGACTTTGACAACCCCTAGAAACGATCAAAATCATGACCCCAGGCCTGGGGACTTCATACTCCACGGAAACAAAGCACCCACCTGGCGCATTCCCAACGCAACCGTTGAACCGCGGAGGCTTCCGGTCGGATGAGGTGAACTCAGTTTTGGCGGCGTGGCGGCAGTTAGTGGCAAAGGACAAAGTGGAGGAAAACGCACTGCCTGGAGTCTCCATGACCCGTTAAACCTGGGTCCATGACCCCTTTTATCTTGGGTAATGACTCATTCCCATTTTTAAAGGGTCAGAGTGGAGACTCCAGGGTCCGAAGCGGAGCTTCCGAACCCAACGCCTGGCCTTGAAACCGACGCCTGGCCTCCTTGTGGCCCAAGTCGAGGTTTTCTTCTGGCCGTTGGACCCGTTTCTTTTTGAACCTCCCACGGCCGTTTTTCCATGGCCAAAGGAACCCATGTGGGTTATGCCAAGGAAACTAAAGCCAGAACCTATAACAGCGCCGTTTTCTCTGATTTTTTGGTTGACCTTGGTTCCCTGCAAGCCATCCAAACAGGATCCAACTTCTATGGAACCAAGTGCTTTGTGGTCTTTGGATCTGATTCCATGGTTCACTTGCAAAGTGCTAGATGGGTGTGTGTGCATGTGTGTTTTAGGGTACTTCCTTCAGGGGGTTGTAAGGGAAGCCAACAGGAGAACCACCCATTTTCAGGCTTCCTATTTCGATTACGCGCCATGAATTGTTGTTTCCCAGCGAAATGGAAGGCCGGGCCCATTTTTGGTTCTCACTGGAGGTGATCGCTTTCAGGGAGCTTGGTGGGAACTGATTTGAATTTTCTTGTAGAGTGTAGATGGGGGTTCCCTCCTGAGCCACCAAATCGATTCGGCTCTGAGCCGCCAAAGCGGAAGCTCAATCAGCTCGTCGCGGTCGCTTCCCTTTCGCCAGGCACTCAGACCGATCCGCGCCTGTGAGGGAGCAGTGACAGTGGCCAGGACCGAGGCCTAGGTGCAATGCCAATTGGCCCACGGAACTGTTCAGCTTCCCTCCAATTGGACAGGGGTTTCTTAATCAAACCCTCCACAAGCAGGGTTCAAATCCCAAACCACCAATTCAAAAAACCAGCAACTAGGGGGGGGGGGAGGGTGGGAAAGGTGATTTTTTGTTTACGCGCCTTGACCAGATTGGGTCCCCGAACACAGCGACTCATTGCATCTATTGTCGTGGAATATGGGCCCTCACAGGCACTCAACTAACCTGCAAACACCGCTATGGGTGTTGCCATGACGGAAGAGGTTGCTGGCGTCATGAGATTTAGCTCCACAACATCAACTTTTGTTTGACGTGCAACACGGTTCAGTTCTTTGATTCGGCCCTGGTCACTGACAAAAAAACGCGGGGCACAGAGGCCCCGCCGAGTTCTGCTGCGGCAGATTTTGTGCGACAGACCCGGGGGTTCCCCGGTTTATTGGCGGCGCCACCGGCGCTTGGCCGGGAGCCTGAGCGCCAGTTTATGGCCGGAGACTGAACTTTGGTGCGTTTTGCTTGGATGTTAGGACTTTAACTTTTTGCCAACTAATGGGTTTCCCATTAAACCACTAAAAGTTAAACTTTTAGCAGGAGAGCAGATTGCAACCGCGTGAAGTGAGCTGTTTGCCTCTTTTTTGTTTGCCATGTGCAAAGGTCAACTTTTTGAAGTGCCAGTCTTGAGAGTTGGCGCGCGTCAGGACTCCAAATGTTTCAGACTTGGGTCTCTCAGTGACGGCGAAGTGGTGAAATCATTGCCTCAGGAAGGCTGAGACCTCTATTGACATCATGTCACATTATTATAAAGTTCACACAATACGGACCATCATCTTAATTTCTTTGCAAACTGTGACGAGCTCACCTGCGGGCAAAACAAGCTCACCCATGATGAAGGTTCCGTACTTGAGAATTCCTTGTATCCGTTGGTGAGCAAAAACATTTTGCCTAGAATCTGATTGATTTCCATTTGCTTAAGAATATGTTTATTTTCCCCTGTTGGTTTTAAAGGGAATCTATCACTACTGGAAAGATTTTGTCTTTTTTCCAGGGGTCTTAACCAAAAGGAAGTCGATCTGAACGCGTCGCGCTTAGTGGGGCAGAAGAGGAAAAAGAAGGCTTGCTGGCCTCAGGCGTCCGGAGCTTTTGTGTGCAGGTTGCAGGTGGCCTAGATGCCCAGATCTACACCGAACCAAAACCTGATGAGCAGAACAGGGAACAAAATACCCGTCAAAGACACGCACATGGCAATGCATGTCAATTAATGGGGATACCCGGAACATTTTTAGTGCGAAATGAATCCCTTTGTAGACAATGTTTGTTTAGCAAGGGTCTCCATTTTGAGATTAGTATCATATATGCATGGGCTTGTGTGCGTCACGATGCGACATCTGAAAAGGTGCGATCGCGTGCGATCGCGTGCGACAGGTGTTTGCACAAAGCTGACACGGAATGTTTGGACTGGGAGGCGAAACAGTTGAGAGTCCATTGCAAATTCGGATGGAACCAAAGAAAAGGTTTGATCCCGGAAAGCAGTTCTTATCAAAAGGATTTGTTTTGTTCGGTTCCATGCTAAGACTCAGGAGAATATTGTTGTGACATGGTGGGGGTCGTGGTCCTAGAACTTGAGGACCAACGTTTCGATTGTGTCTCAAGGGAAAGCAAAAGGGCCTCTTTTCTAGAATGGTGGCCTATGGAGAACCCTGGCTTCTCAGGGGCCCTTGACACAAATCATTTCGCGCCCACACAAAACAACTTGCTGGTTCTCAAGGAATGAGGGAATGACCCTTTTAACCATCACGGCTTCCTTGGGCATCCCCAAAACCGGCTAATTCAACCACGACTCGGGCTCGGTCATTCCCTACCTATTGCAGCAAGAGATTTGTTGAGCCTCTGGGCACAAACTCTCGTGGTGAGATCGGGCGTCCAAACGCCAGGTAGGGGCCAAAGAATCGCACAAATTCTCCCATGAGGTGAGTGGTTTTGACGTCACCCATGGTAACGATGTAGACGATTATTGTGAATTGAGGTGGTTTTCGGGGCTTCCCATGGTCTCCTACTTGCAAGTATTCCAGGATATGTTATGTAGGAGGCCATTGAGGGAGCGGTTCTATCTCCGAGCTTATCCTGAGATTCGTGAGTTCAGATCGGTGAATCAACCGTTATGTGACATCCTCAAGGCTACCCTCTTCAATTGAGCCACAATCAAAACACCGGGTAGGTGAGCAAAGGACAGTCCCAACTGTAGGTAGGTGACGGTAGGTGCGGCCGCCTAGATTTTTTTTACATGGTGTGCACCAGTCTAATACCGAGCGGGTTGGAGGATGTCTCAAATCTGCCCATCAGCCGTGAACCTCACCCCAAATCGACAACCCTAGAAGCTTTTTTTTCCCCTAGCGAAACAAGTAGCTTTCTTTGATTGGAAGATCTCCTCAAAGAACTGAAGAGGTCGACTTGGGACCCATCCCAAGTGTCCGCTGCTCGCAGGCCGCGCCTTCAGCGCCGGCAGGCGTGCTTCGTGCGGGGATTTGTTTTGTGTGGTTTGCCGGGAGGGTTTTTGTTGGCTTTCCCATGGATTGCAGTTGACTCTCACATGGCTGTGGCTCAAAAAACCGGTACCAAAATGGAACCCTGATAAGTGGAAACATGGACCAAAACCTGCGTAACCCCTCCTGTTTAATTTTGAGCCACACCCACATGTTTCAAATTGCGTCCTGGCATTCGCTTTTCCTGGTGCCCTCCGTTGGGAAGTTGACAGGTTGGCTGGATGTTTTGGTTTACGTTTTGGTGGGAATGGGGTTGCGATGCTCAAACGGCATGGGGTTGGGCGTTAAAAAGCCGCTGTTTGGAAGGTCTCAGGTTCTGGGAGTTTTTGAGTGGGCAGAAAACACATTTGGTTGCGGACATGCCAGTTGCCAAGAAATGAGTTGGAAACACCAAACTCGGCCTTGGGGAAGCCAAAGACATGTATTTGTTTTATCAATGGGAGTTTCATGTTTAAACGGGAGGGGGGGGGGGCTCGGCCCAAGCCTGTTGGACATCGGTTTACTGTCACCTTGCCAGTGGCTCGTGAGACCTTTGTACCAGTTGGTTCGAAACGGCTTTTTCTTTTTACCTTGCTAAAGGGGGCTCCAGCTCTGTTTTCCCCTTGCAACCAAAGCACTGGGCGTTAAAGCTGGTTTTTCATGACAGCCATTTTTAGTTAAGGCAACCCAGCAAGCTAAACAATTCTTCCAAACTAGGCCTTTTGGTTGCTGGCGCTTCACGCGAAGCCGTTGTACCTTTTGGTGTTGTTCCTTGCTCCGAGGTGCTTGAAACCCGCGATGGTTTGAAACGGAAGGCAAGACAAATGGCTGTGGTTGTCAAAACCAGTAAGATCTCGTTTTGGGGTGTTCGGTGCACCACCCAGTTTAGAACCTATTTTAGTGGGGATTGAATCGGATGTTCACTGGGGGTACGATTTGGATTTTGACCCATGGCCAAATGGTACACTTTTCCCGTGGGTGTCAACATCCAGCAAAAAGCCTACTCCAAACAGAGGATTTCCTTATAGTTTCCTTGTAAACCAGCCTGCAAAGGGGCAAAAGCAACATACACACGTAGTTGGCCTTTTGTTCTTTGCAGGATGTTCAAGTCCAAAAGGGCCTCTTTCCCGTCACGATTCTTCCCTTCTGGCCAAACTTCTACCCTTGTGATCGGGTCAAATGAAGAGGTTTGCTTCAACAACTACATTTTGGCCATGAACATCACACAGCTTTGCTAAACCCTACTCTTGAAAGGCTTTGGCTAGCCTTTCCCAAAGCGGTTGGGTCTGACCTGTTGGTTTTCCGTCGTTGTTGAGCGTCCCTTCTAACCTTCGGGACCAGAGTGGGGTCAATGTACATCCTATACCAAGCGATCCTCAGGATTTATTCTCGATCATAGGCGTCCTTTTTAGGTGAGCCTGGTTAAAAATAGATGGCACTGGTTTAGATGGGTGTTGTTCCATTTGCCAGGGAAACCCATCTATTTTTCCAAAAGGCCACCTATGTTCAGGATCCTAGTAAGTCAATTTGGTGACTCGGACCAAAAGCTTCTCCGAATCTCTCAGCTCCAGGTGGCTCCGGTGAGGAGCCCAAGCTGGCTCCGCCCAGCCCCGCCCAGGAGTGACCGCGTGGTTGTGGGGGGAAACGGCTAGCGCTCCAGGCGAGAGGTTGATGGAAAAGACCTGGCTGCGTTTCTTCGCTACGTGTGTTGTGCTTGATTGAAGGTATATATGGCTGTGGTTGTCAAGTTGTCAAAACCAATGGGATGCCATATGATGCCATGTTTGGGGGGTTTTCGGCGCACCACCAATTCTAGTCGATTTTCGTGCTCCGCGCGCCGGCCTCGCATGTCCGCCGTGCGGGCTGGATGGATGGACGCGATGGATGGCGGATAAGAGGGAGAGAGGGTCCCCCAGCCCGCATTTTGGTGCACCTGGAGTCTCCATGACCCTTTAAAAATGGGGTCATTACCCAAAATAAAGGGGTCATGGACCCTTTTTTAAAGGGTCATGGAGACTCCAGGCAGGGAGTTTTGGGTTGATCAGCCCCGCCCCTTTGGGGGCGATGCTACGCCAGGGCTCAGCCAAAGAGGAGGCGGCGCCTTCCGCCGCGCCAGAGGCGAAGGAAGAAGCCGCAGCGCCCAAAGAAGAGGCAGCCGCGCCCAAAGAAGAGGCAGCCTGGCCGGACATGCCAGGAAAAAAACCAAAACAAACGACTTTTTGAGATAAGGCTGTGGGTCAACACCCATGGTACCCCTGGTGAACATCACATAGGTGGCGAATGAATGTGCATGAACCCCAAAAATGGATCCATAGGTTCTGCCCCGTGGCCATAAGACTTCAGCCGGGGAACAACATTTTTTTTGGTGGGGGTGGGTTTGGGAGGCCTTCCCCCCCCCCCCCCCCCCCCCCCCGTTGTTTTTCTCGTTTTTTGGCATGGGCTTGCCTTAAAACAAGGAACAAGGCTCCGCTGTGTGTTCCCGTTTCGCTCGTTTTGGAAAGGCCAAATTAGAACAGGAGCTGCTGCGGCGTAAGGGGAACTATGAGTTCCTGCTAGACTCTCCCAACCCAAGCTGGGTTTGGGACAATGAGAAGCTGATACGGGTGTGTCTTTTTCAAGAATCTGGACCCCCTCAGAAAGAATGCTCTTTTCCTGATGGTGTTCCTTCTGAAACAGGTACCCACTCAAAAATGCGAGCCGTCGATCTCAAGCGGTCCATTTACCTGAAAGCTTGCGCTCGAGGCAGCCTCTGAGCCGGCAGCCTGAGCGAGCCAAAACAAAAAAATCCGGGGCACGCCGGCTTTCTTTTCCGCTGGGCCATGGCAACTTCGGATCGCAAGGATGTAGGCTCAATCCATGAAAGCCATTCCGATAGCTTTCTAGCCTTTCAGTGTTTAGTGGGGGGGTGTCCATTCAATACACTAAGAATTAAACTTTTGGCAGGGGATCTGAGGACAGCGCAGATATGTGTGTGTGTGTGCACACAGCACATGACATTACATTGTGTTACGTTACACTGCATTGAATTGAATTGAAGTATACAGTATGTATATATATATATATATATCTGGCTATATACATATGTCTACATGTGTGTGTATATACACGTGCAGATAACATGCAAACCACACATTTGTGCATATATATATATAGGTATGTACAGTTGCAGATATATGTACATGTATGTTGAGTATATACGTGCATATATTTATGTCCATTGATACATATATATATATATACAGTATATGTTCATATGTTTATTCATATGTATATATATATATATACATATGAGCAACAGTCCAAACCAGTCCAAACCTGGGATAGATGAAGGTTCGTAGAGAACCGCCCTGAGAATGGTTTGCGCCGGGTATCAGCCGTTGATCATGACTCACGCTTAGAGATGCAAGATGTAGTCACGTCGTTCGTTTGATTTTGGAACAACTTTTCAAATTTATCGGCAGAAGGACATGGCAGACGTTACGATGTGACACGGTTCAGTGGTGGCACTTGTTTATTGTCAAGGCTCCCTCTTGTTGGGAGGTTTGGCCTTTTGAAGCGAATGTTTATCAGGAAAGCATAAGAGCCCCTGATAAGCCAGCGTGCACGCCGAGCATGTGGCGCATGCCTCTCCACGTTGTACATGTAGGACTCGCTTAGCACATGTGGAGCGGCGAGAACGCCCCCAGGTACCAAAATCTCTAAGCAATGACTGAGCTGCAAGGGTAGGAGGACCAACATTTCTTCCCTTACGGTTCTGAGAACACTGCCCCAAAAGCTGGCAACCATTTTCCAACGAACGTTTCGGAGTGTCCCAAACTGGGAGATTTCGCAAATAGTTGGTTTCATATCCACAGAAATGTTATTCACGTCCACTTGCGTGATTCGAGGGAGGGTACCGGGGTCTGTCACTCACCGCCCAGAACGATGTGATGACTTGCCCGAATGTTCAAAATGCGCGCTCTGCGGGAATGGAAGGGGGATGGGAAGGCCTAGATCATTGCCAGTTTCAACACCCCGTTTGGATTTACTTCACTTTCCATGCTAGCAAACAGTTTGAGTAAATTTATGGCACCCTCCAAAACCTGCTGTTCTCCCGTGTTCCAAGCCCCAAGTACTGTCCAAAAGCATCGGTTGCTTAAGGGGTTGAAGACGGGACATCAGGAAAAGTGCTAGCTTCCGGAAGACAAGGAACGCATCGCAACATGGCGAAGGGCCAAGCGCATTCGCCATCGAATGTGTGATTCAAGGAAATACGCGCAGATGTGTGAGTGTTTGTGTTTGTGGATGTCCTGGATGTGTTTGTCTTTGTTTTGTGTCAGTCAGTGGGTGGGTGGTGGATGGGTGGGAGGGCGGGGGACGTCAACTATCAAATGAGGCTTGTGCCAACCATTGCCTGGTTGGAAGGTGGTTAGTTGTCGTGAGAAATTCAAAGACATACATGACATGAGCAACTGGTATGTTATTACAAGGGTATTAGTTTTTGGTGCACCCATATTGGTTTAGTGTGGCAATATTGTCGGGTATTCACATGCAATATTTTTGTGCTCCGCGCGCCGGCCTCGCATGTCCGCCGCACGGGCTGCATGCAGGCTGGATGGATGGACGCGATGGATGGCGGAAAAGAGGGAGAGAGGGAGGGAGGGAGGGAGGGAGGGAGGGAGGGAGGGAGGGAGGGAGGGATGGATGGATGGATGGAAGGGATGCGGTGGGCGGGTGGATGGGTGGATGGATGGGTGGGTCCGTGGGATGCAATGATACATGGGATGGAGGAATGGATGGGATGGCGCACACGCACACACACGCACACACACCCACCACACAGCCACCTATCCAACAACGCACACACACACACACACCCATACCCACCCACCCACACCCACCCGCCCACCCAACCCACCCCCACCCACCCGCGCGCGCCCGCGCCCGCATGCCCGCGCGCCGCCCCCCCGCCGCGCGCCCCCAGCACGCAGCGCGCGCAGGCGCACGCGCGCGCACGCACGCAGGCACGCACGCGCGCATGGACGGACGACGGAACGGACGGACGGGCGCGAGCGCGCGCGCGGCGGCAGTGACCGTCTCTCGGAAAGCAAAGCCTAGGCATGTGCCCCTTTCAGCAACATTGCACGGCGAAGCCGGAGTTGATGGCCTGCGGCCTGGTTCCGCCGCCCGCCACCCCCATACACCTGAGAATTTCGGCCCGGGGCGAGAGAAAGCACGCGTGCACAGACCCGTTCGCGGACACCACGATAGACGCAGATACGTAGAGAGACACAGAGAGAGACAGACAGACACGCGGGGGCTTTGCGGAGCAGGGTCTTCGCACAGACGCAAAGAGAGGGGCGGGGGGAAGGGCGGGGGGGAAGGGCGGGGGGGAAGGGCGGGGGGGCAGGGGGGGTATATTTTCATGTGCTAAGTCACAAGAAACCGCGGTTTGAAACTCCTGCTGCGAATCCAAGCCACCAAGGATGACAGGCATCTTCGGTTTCTGTGGCTCGTCAAAACGAAGAGAAAGTACTTTAAGACACCAATTCAATCACTGAGGCATGGGAGAAGAGAGCTTCCCCTTTTTGTTGGGCCTAGAGAGAAGGGCACCAACTTTGGGACTCAAACGGGAAACCCGCAATTTCCGCACCAATGGGACACGTGGCGTTGGACACGGCCTGGAGACTGCAAGCCTGTCGGCTCATAGCCTCTTCCGCGAGAAAGCGCGTGGAGCGAGGCGGTGGGTGCGGAAGGGAGGGCGCCCAGAGTTTGGCAGCGGGTTCTGGCCTAGGTCACCCAGTGCCCTCTTACCGTTTCTTTTTTGGGGGAGGGTTCCTACTAAAATAGACTACCAAGAAAAAAAGGTTGGCACCAATATTCTAAGCTCTCTACTGGAGGACCTAGTGGCTGGTTTCTTGATGGCCAAAGTCATTGACTTTTGGTGTGAGTAATCAATCACATGGCTGTTTCTGCACTTGGGCAAAAATCATGTCTCAGTGCACTTGCTTTGTGTGGGCTACAGTCACGTGTATGTACGAGAGAGCCTTCGAGCAGTCCTCTCAGCTCATTCGCAAAGAAAAAACTGCCCAACAGGGGAGCAGTTTGACTGAGTTTGAAGCAACACCAAATTGCGAAGCATGCATGTTTCTGAGAGACACCCATATCAGCCAGTTTGTAGGGTGCGCAGTGCAAGCCTTGCTATTTTTGTTGTCTTATTGCGTCAAGAGGAAATCACAATGTGATTCATGGACGATGGTTGTTTTTATTGCAAACGCCCTGTTAACCTATCTGAGATATACAAGCTTTGCGTTTCTAGTTTGATAGGAAGTGGTGGGTAAGGTCTGGCAAATGTATTCATAAATCCAGAAACCGGTTTGAATGCGGTTTTTGTGGATTTTGCCTGTTTTCCCTCGCTGTTGGTCCTTTTTTGGCAATCGTTGAATTGTTTGACATCCTATATGGGTGCATCCACAAAAGCCACATCAAAACTGATTACATTCACTTGGGTGGTATGGTATGTAGAGCAAGTCCCACTCAGGGGGCTTATCCAACGATGCTGGAGTGAGGTGTTTCATCCCGAAGGGACTGGGCCACAAGGCTTTGGCACTGGAACTCACCCCAAAGGACCCAAAGGCTAAGCTGGGGCCAGAGCAATGAACCAAACATCCCTTGCAAGGCTCTCATAGGCTGAGGCGGAGCCTTCCTGAGTGCTTGAAACATCTGAGAATGCCCCAACGGTCTTGGCTCATGGGTCCTGTGTTTCGGGGTGTGAAACGAGTTCCTTGCCTCACTTGCAATCAAAGCGAATCGATCTTTTTTTAAGGGGAGAGGGGCTCGCAGGGTTGTGGGATCAAGGGGTTTCTCCCCACTTCTGTGATACCAGGGAATCCCCCTTTATATGAAGAAAATAGTCTATGGGGTTAGGCCCTTTCTGTTGTATCACAGGTTCGTGGATTCCATTCCCCACAGCCCAGAGGGGTTTTCAAACCGGCTAAGACCTGGACTCCTGGGCCCAGAGGCTCTTCCATCCGTCAGGCCAAATCTTCCGCCCCTTGACCGAGGCGCGGCCGACGTTGAGCCCAGAGAACGGGTAGGGCCCAATTTCTTCGAATGGGGGGGACTTCAAATCCAAATTGAGTCAGAATCTCAGTCAGAATCCAAGTGTGCCTCTCATATATTAAACATCAGCACCCTTCAGCGACTGCGTTTGCCCATCTTCAACCGATGTTTTCAGTCAGTAGGGGTTTTGAACAAAGCAAGAAGCCCGGTGATATACACGTGAGCGCCGTATGGGGAGCACCCGCGACCAGTACAAGGATCAATGAGTGCCATGGCCTTCCCCAGCAACAGATATTAGATATTCGACTTCACCTCAGCTTGGAGATGGTCTTTGGGTCAGTGTTCGCATCTTGGTACCCTTCGGGAAAGAATGAGACTTCCAAGAGGCGTTCCACACATCATAACGTGCAAACCCTGTTTGGGAGTTGATCGTTATGAGCCAAATTGGCAATACCCTTTTGCTTGGGGGTTGTTGGGGATGGTGATCAGCCTCTTGTGCTACGTAATTATTAAGTACTAGGGTTCCTTTGAATGATTGAGCACACCACGTGCCAACTGGGGTTTTCATGCGGGTCACCCTCATAAGAAGCCAAAAGCAACCTCCGGTAACCTCCGCACTCCCTCTGAGCCACCTCAACCCAAACGACCAGCAGTTGGAGCTGCTCAACTTTGGCAGATTTTGCAGGTTTTGAGGCACGCTGAGCACCCAGTGGGCTTCCTGGTCTTCCTTGCTTAGGTGGACTCTGCCTCTAGAACGACAAACAACTAGGGATAGGGTTCCCTTTAAGATCAACAAAGAAACATCGCGCTTTCCTTTTTGCAAGCGAGTAACGGCAAAGAAGCAAGAACAGTTGGCCTTGTTTTGGGCGGGTTTCCCTTCGAACACACAAACACGTAACAGGCGGGTGGGTTCCCTTTGGGAACAACCAACAAACAAAACGAGTGCGTTTGCTTTCCGTGACTTTCCCGCCGGAAGCCACTTTGCAAGTGAGAGACCATCCATCGTGGGGTGGGTGCCAGGAAATTCGAGGTTAGTGCCAAGGCTGGCGGGAAGGGTGCTAATCGCCGGAGTTGTGGGCAAGGAGTTTAGTGCATTATTGTGCACTACGATTTTCATGGCGAGCTCTTGGGATAAAAGCGAGCTCACCTACCTGGGTGAATGTTTGAGAACATCTTGCCCACTAAACTGAGAAGTTCTCCCATGTCCAGGGTTCAACGTTGAAGACGAAGCTCACATTGGTACGAGCGAAATCCCAGGGGCAGGTTCATTTTTATATGTTTTATATTTTTAAAGAGGAAATAGCAAATCCAAAAGAGAAGTGTGGGTTTGTTCGGCGTGAAGCTCCCGCTTGCAACAGACCCCAACGGCCGTCAACTCAACAAGGCAGTACATGCTCTGAATTGTACAAGGAGAGGGTGCGTAAAGCGGCAGTTTTTCAGTTGGTTAACTGGCCAAGGCCCCTCCAAAGGGGTTCATTTCCAAAGAGGTTCATTCATGGGCTCCTGGAAAGGCACAAGACCGAAAGGGACATGAATTATCATGTAATGTTCAGTTGGATTATGTGGGTGTGTCCTTCTTAGGGACCCATTTTCCTTTGAAACCACCAAACAAGGGGACCCCAAAGCAAGACCCATATATAAAAACCTGTGCTGGTGTAGTCGAGTGGATGTGATGGAAGAACGACTGAGGGGACCTGGCAGACCACACTTTTGTTTTTCTAACAAGAGACCTTGAAACTGGTTGAACGAACAATTTGAACGAAGATAAGCTGAACAAAACAACACAAACTGAACCAAACTGGACAAAACACATGACGACGGTTCCATGGCGAGGATGGGTCGAATCATAGCTCCCCAAGTTTCCAGCGCCTTTCGGCCAAGCAACTTGAAGCAGGTTCTACCCTTCCAAAGCAGCAGATCCGCGGGTGCAGGGAGCCCAAAGGTATCAGGATGTGTGTGGATTTCCCGTATGGCTTGCGTTGGGCTTCTTTTGGAATCTCTCCAATCTCTCTGGCTGCACCATGGTAGGGATGATCACGGACCCGAGGGAGCTTGGACAACTATTGCAAGGCTTCTGGCTAGCAGCACCCTGACCGCGGCCGAAAAACTTGTATGTGGATTTTCCGGGGTGGCTTTCCTTTGGTTTCTTCTGACACTCAACAAGGACACACCTTCCCAAACGAGGTATCACAAACCCGGCGTGGGTCACCAAAGTAATTTGTCACCGTCAAAGGCCAAGAAGAAACACCGGGATGATGCAAGTACCTGGAGTCTCCATGACCCTTTCAAAATGGGGTCCATGACCCCTTTATTTTGGGTAATGGCCCCATTTTTAAAGGGTCATAGTGGAGACTCCAGGTATCCCTTCAAACCCCCACCTCACCCCTTGGCCACTTTGGGGCCCCAGGATGAAGCTTGCGTCGGGCTTCTGTTTTTCACGGCGAATTTCGAACGACATTTCTCAGCTGCCCCTGAATGGATAAACAAGCATCACAGATTCAGCAATTCGACTGGGGTGGTCATCCAAGTGGTTTTTTCTCCCCCCACGCTCTCTTGGACCCACTCCTGGCATTCCATACCCTGAGTCCATGCGTGCTTCCATATATTCGCCAAGGTCAATCGGAGTCTCCAAATTTTGACCAGTACTCCGATACCCATTTTGACCAGTCTCCAATCACGGGGTCTCCATGTATTAGCCAAGGGCCCATGGTTCGTTCCTTTGGGGTCCCCGCCGGCAAGAAAAAAGGAAGTTTGCCAAGTGAGGATGCAGATCTTCATCAAGACCCTGACGGGCAGAAAGACCAACTTCAACTTTGAGCTGGACGGGGGCACTCGGTTTGCTGGGTCTTTGCAGGAATCGCCCAGGATGTTGGAAATGAACCTAACGATCCCCAGTAGGAAAAAGACCACCAGGATGTCGCAAAATTAGTTCAACCTTTTTTTTTTTAAGGGTGCCCTGGTTGCTTCTGACCAAAGGCCAAAGAGGTTGCTCCTTTGGGGCAATGAGCTCACGTGTCCTGCACCAGTTGGGGGTGCTGATCTGCGGATGGCCCAACTGCACCGCTGGGTGGTTTATTCCAGTTTCATCCACCCCAAGTGGTGGCGAAGCGGAATTCGGCCATCCATGAAAACCTTCAGACCCCGTTGAGGTGTCTCCTACACAAACAAATCTATTATACATATATATACATATATATATATATACACATTGACATGTTATAGGGTTTTCATTCATTTGCAGCGGGCCGATCTTTGGCATCAAGTTGTGATTTCAAAATGTCATTTTGATTGGGCGCCTTGGTTTTGGGTCTGCAAAGGCTACTGGCCCTTTTTTGGCAGATCCATGAGTCGTAGGGCAGTTCCAGGAGGGTTGTTTGGACGTGTTCAGACACTGCCCGAATCCCCCTGTTTAGGCTCTAGGAAATGGTTTGGATGTGGCTGGCGTGGTAATGGAAGAACAAGGGGAAAGAGCAGGTGAAATCCACAAACAAGCGCGTCCAAGCCGATTTTGTTTGATGCGTGGTATACCTGCATTCCTCCATATAACCAATCCTGAAGAAGATGATTTGAATGATTCAAATGCTTCGTGGCTGAATTCATCTAAGCCGGGCTTCCTGTTCCTTCAAGTTGGTGGTCCCGAATGCAGGTGGAGACCATTGGGTGTGACTTGTTTGAGGTTTTGTGTGCCCTTTTTGGGGTTAGTTTAGAGGGAGGTCAAAGGGAAGCCTCACATTTTGAGGGTTCGCTATTTAGAGACAACCAATTATCTGTTTGCTGTCTTTTGGATGAGAAGAAGCGGTCGGGGGCTGGAAGTGTTGGCCTACGTTTCAAATGTTGCGGCAACATTATCTCTCCAGATTACTGCAGTACCGCCCCCAAAAAAAGAACAAGAAAAAACAACAACAACAAAGATAATACAACACACACACACACATCTTTTTCAGGAACTGAATCTCGAAGCGCCAAAACAAACACAACGCGTTTGAGGAGGCTGCAGGCCAAGAAGGATCCCATTTTCGTATGAACTGAATCTCCAACCAAAACACCGAGGGCAACGGACGATCGCGGGTCGATGTATTTTGCGGCCCTTGGGGCCGACTGAAGACTATGTTTAGAGACTGAAAATATGCGTAAATCCACGGACTTTCCAAAATACCTTTTGAGCATACCCAGGAGCCCCTATGCAAGGAATCCTCATTATTAGGGATGGGGTATGCTAAAATTATATTCTCATAGTTCTCGGATGAAAGGATAAATCACTTGGACAGGAGGACTGAAAACACACAATAAGTCAAGAAACATGCAGAGTCTGAAGATATATGGAGCACCTCCGAGTTGGGCTTCGCAGGACAACACGGTGCGACATGTCAAGGAGGCCCTGCAGGACCGATAGTCGCGGATTCCGTGTGAAGGGTGGCACAATTCCCACACTTTGGCTTCATCATCCCTCTCACCTTCCCCAAAGGAAATGTTGCCATCTACATTGGTGTACTGACCTTTTGAGGGAAATGAGATTCGCTGCGGAGAATTTCCAATAACCTCAGATTAATCCGGAGGATACCCAATTTGGTCTGGAGAATCAACATATTTTAGGGGAGTTTCTTTGAACTTTTTTTGTTTTTCCGGATGCGCGCAAAGGTAGGTTTTATGGTTCCCCCAAAAATGGTGGCTCTTGTTGGCCTTCCCTCAAAACCACCTGAAGAAGGCTAGCCTTGCAACCACCCAAGCCATCGTTCCAAAAGGTGAGCCTCGCATCGGATGCGGCTGGGTGGCCGAAGGCCGACGTCTCGGTGGATGGCCCTGCTTCAGATTGGTTGCTCTTCTTGCTGCGATAGGGAATGAGGAGACCGGGTGTTGGTTGAATGAACCGGTTTTGGGGATTCCCGAATAAAGGAAACCACAAGTTGGATGGTTTTTCAAGGGGTCATGCCATGTCTGATTCCCTGCCTATCGAACCAGCAAGTCTGGCACCCGCCAGGATACCAGAAACCGCCAGGGCGATGGGGGATAGTTTAACATCGCCCTCAGCCAAGGGCCATCGTCTCAATTGCTTTTGTGCCGCCTTTTCTTTTAGGGTTGCCCCCCTTTGGGCTATTTTTGGTCAACCAATTGCTTCCAAACTGGGGCACCCCGTTTTTCAATTGCTTGGCTTCGAGCATTTCTGGATCAGTGCATGAGCAAAAGTTGCCACCAGCTGGCCACTCGAGGACGGCATGCCTGGTAGCCCTTGCTTGCTGGTGGGGTTCTTCATGGTAGCCAAGGCCGAACACGTATTGTTTTGTTTTTCCTGTGTGGCCAGTCAACACAGCAGCTTAGCTTTTCTTGGCCGAGTAAGTCTCACCCATCTTCTACGGACTATTATGAAACCTCCTAACTGGGTTATGTTTTTCTTTCTCATCCCAACTAACCCTTCGGCGGCCAAGCATCCCTTAAATGATTAAACACCGCATCCTATCTGCCTTAGCCGGGGCTATTAGATGTCCAAAGGGTGGTCTTAAACATCACCTTTCAAAAAGGCCAGCTCAAATCGAGTGGTTTTCACATGGGTCCAACTTTTTTCCGGAACCCCCTTTTTGGGTTGTGTTAAAGGGAACCCAAAAGGAAACAACCATCTTTAGGGGGTCCCCAATTTGAAGACACACCCGCATCACCTTTTTGTTTGGGCGCCTCATCTCTCGCAAGGAGAAGGAGGGGATCCAGGTGGAGCAGCTGCTGGGCTAAAGGTGATGGCCACTACTCCCTTGGTTTGGACGCGGGGAAAACCAACGCAGCACCATCCAACGGCTATCAACTGGTTTGTTAAGTGACCTCCTTTATTGTGAGGCATTGGACAGCTGGGGGATCCTGGAACAAAAAAACCTCTGTCATATGCAAACTCAGTCTGGCCCAGGCCAGACATTGACTTTGGACCTTTCATTGGGTATGTCTTTTGTGAGGGTACCCTTGTGTTTGAAGGGAAACCAAGAGGAAAGTTAACCAAGATTTTGGGGTTTATTCAGGAGATTGCTTAATTTGCTCTCGCTGGTTTAGATGGAACTGGCATAGTGGTTGTAGAAGGTGCATGGCATTTAGAAACCGGCAGTATTCCTTGGTTGCCCTTGGCCGCGCCCTTATGGATTAACTGTGTAGGTGTCATGCCTGCCCGGCTCCAACTGCTCTTTATAAGGTCGGTTGGGGGGGGCGATCCAATGCACTTTGCCATCATTTACTGCAGCAAGTCGCACCCGTCCGGTGGGCAGCTCACAAATGCCACTGCCTTCCAAACAACCCCTTGGGAAAGACTGAATCAGACTGATGCTGGAAGTGTGTTTGGTGGGGAGGGGAGCGGGTTGGGGTTGTCAGGAAGAGTTCATTGTGTTTTTGGTTGACATGTTTCGGCGTTACGTCCAACGAGGACGACTCAATTCTAGTCGTCAAGAATGGGTGGAGGGCCAAGCAGGAACTCCATGTTACTCAACTCTAAGGCTTTCAACTCGCCGACGACTTTTCGGCGGGGCAGAACAGTTTGATGTTTGTCAGGGAGCCGGAGGACACAAATTACAGAACGGTCTCCGGTTTTGGTGCCCTTGTGGACGCTGATCGGCTGGAAGCCTGTTATTTGATCATGTCCTTTGTCCACTTCCATAATTGGAGAGTACACTCGCATATTGGTGAAGTGTACCTGAAAGTAGTGCCCTCCCTTCACAGCCAATAACGGGATCAACATAAGGAAATGCACCACGTACCCTCACGCGACAACTGGGTGAACTCCCGTGTCACGAATTGCCCGCTTACTGCTTGTCGACGAATTCAGCGAGTCCGGACGAGCAAGGATCCGTCTCATTTATAGCGGCAAGCAGATGAGCTCGGCCCTTGTTGCGTGCCGTGCGTACGGTGGGTTCAGCTTGCGATCAAGAGCACCTATCATGTGCTGTTCATTTATCTAAAAGGATACCCTTCCACAAACATGGAACGCCACAGGCGGGTCCCTGTGTACCCTAGTAGTTGGCATTGAAGTTTGGCGATAAATTTCAGCACTCTGGGACTTAACTGCAAATGTCCCAACACTCGGCGCTTCTTAAGTACTCAAACAGCCGCCGGATCCGGTCCCACCCTCATTCGCAGATTCCTTTCGCAAGAGTTATTTTGAGTACGTATGAGTCCAACTTAGGGATCCTCCCATGACAGTCGGTTTTCTTTTTGGTCTCCCATTATATAAGGCACTGTGCAAGTCCCTTTGAGCCACGCCTGAGCGCTCAATAACTTTCTTGTTTTTGTTTCTCCAAAGTTCAATTCATTGAGACGCGCTGCCTTCCCCGCTGTTCAAGGGATTTGTCAGAGACCCCCACGGCAGCTGCACTTGTTCTGTTTTTGTTTGCCTCCAGCACGAAGGCATACCCAGGAAGCTGGGAGCGAAATGAGAGACTAGCTGAGCTCAGGGAGTCCCTCAAGCCAATCCGAGAGGTTGGGGTTCCTGCTTAGCCATGCCCAAACTTTTCTAGGTTCCCCAGTAGTGCCCTTTCTCACCCTTTTTTGGGGGAGGGTTCCCCTACTAAAATAGACTAGAGAAAAAGGGTACCCTTATTCTAACCTCTCTACTGGAGGACCTAGTTTTATGTCTAGGACGCCTTCACTATATACCTACCTGCGTGTTCGGGCAAGAGACGTCTTCACTACTTTTCTTGATCGGACAAGTTAGCAAGAGCTTAGCCACCTGGGTGATAGTTGTTGCCGACTCGCAACGGTGCCGACTCCACCTAGAGGAATAAATGGGAGGGTTGTGCCTAGGTTGGTAACAGCTTATAAGCTTGGCCAAACACCTTCACTAGTCCGCATCTGATCTTGCGTGTCCTTGTCTGGGCAGAGCAGCTTGTTCTTGCTGATTTGTAAGTTGTTGTTTTTTTTCTTTAACCAGCAGGGAACCCAATATGTTGCGATATGTTGCGGGTTAGTTCAACACATACCGACGCGCTGGGTGGTAAGCCGACGTGGCCCTTGTTTTTGGCAATACTTTTTCACCCAACAGACAACGAAGAGCCCTGGGGGTGGGCTTTGGCCAAACTTGCGCTTTGTGTTTGGTATACGTTCCAGCAACCCGCAAACAAATCAGACCGCCTTTGTCGGATGCGCAAGAACAAGAAGCTCCAGAGCCTAAGGAACCCGAGAAAGTCATCCGTGTGCAAGAGGCTTGACCTTGATCTTCGATCTACTGCAAGGCGAGACTGGTGTTGGACAGGAAGTGGGCCGCCCATGTTCGGGTTGAGGCATCAGTTTGGAAGGGACTTCTACATAGCCGTGAGAGCGCTCTCGGCCCAGCGCAGCTTCGTCCGCGTGCTTGTGCTTGCGGCGCCAGATGTTCGTGGTTGGCGATGCCTAGCGTTTTTGGCTCGGTGAATGTTGCTGTATGGGCAATGCTTTTCAGAAGTTTCATGAGATGCAGGAGATGCACACTTGAGCATGCCAATCGGTTGAGCATCATCAGTGCTGTTATAGTGAGTTGAGTTTGGCGTAGAAGTACAAATATTCCTTTCTAGCGGAAGATGATATTGGCCATCCCCACACTCAGATTCCAATGGCTCACACAAGGAGCGATGATGATTTGCAGCACGGTTGATGGGACAGGGTAAGTTGAGTAGCTTCTGGCAACATCGAGTGGCTATTTTGCACCGTTTCCCTGAAAGGCTCCAACGAGGCACCATCCAAGGACAGCGCCAGTGGTTCTGAGCAGCTCCGCCCCAGCCAGCTTTTGTTACGTGTGAGTGTGACGGATTGCCCCATGGATTGCCCCCACCTGTCTGAGCGTTTCTCAAAATGATTAGCCCCAAATGGGGGGAAGGGACGCTGGCCGAGCTGGCCAGAATGCTCAGAGTCAGACTCTTGATAGACTTTGAACAGTTGTGCGTTTATCAGGGATGAACGAGCCAGCAAGTTTTACCATGAATGATTCAGTGAAGACTGTGAGTGGGATGTGGTTTTGGGTTGCGGGGCTTGCCAACTCTCCTTTGCTCCTGCTGGGGGTGAGCGACACCCCTGCCCAACGTGTCTCTTTGTAGCCGTTGTTCAATCGGCAGGGCTGTAATCTTCAACCATTGGCAATCGGCTTCTTCAGAATCAAGCCTTTCAAAATCAAGCCATTCTCATGCAGCATGTTGTACATGAACTGCTCCAAAATGCTGCATGTTTTGCACCAGTTGGGTTGTCTTGAAGACTGTAACCCACCCACCTGGTGCGAAATGGATTTTGTCCACGGCAAGTCCCTCCCTGGGAAACACCCCAGGAAACCTCCGCAAAACCAAGGAGAACTCAGGAAAACGACTCGGGAAGCCCGACACCACCGAGACGAAACGGGTTCCGAGGCGACGAGTGCACCCTGAATGACTACAACGTCAAGCCTGGCAGCACGGCGCGATGCCCCGGCCTTCGGCTGTTGCCTGTTAGACCCCCCCTAGCAAGCCAAAACAACAAGTGCAGGACCTAAGGGCTGTCAATTGGTACCCAACATGGCACTTGTTGGCCCTTCTGGTATATCTCGAGCACCCAGCCAAAATGTTGCCTTTATGCCCTCTTGCCGCCCGTGCCCAAAGCAAAGGCTGTTGTCGTTTGGGCGGACGGGGAGTCTTCCAAGCATGTGGACTCCCTGTATCTTCGGAACATGTCCAGCAAGTTGGACTAGGTCCCTTGAATCTTTGTTGCCATCGGCAAGTTGTTGGTCAGCTAGTTACCCACTTGACGCTGGGTTGACATGGCTTCAACTCTGAGTAAGCCAAAACAAAACCCATTTTTGTGGGTTTCCCCGATTTTGAGACATTCCGATTCCTAACCGATGTTGCATATTAATCAACCCCAGTTTATGAATAGGGGGGTGTCCCTCGGTTTAGTAGGGAATCAAACCAGGCCTCCACCCGTCAACTTTACATGTCCCCCTAGTAGAACGCAACCGGTGGGTTATATCCCAGGCTGACCACTGACTCGTCTCAGAACATCCAATTGTGGGTGCCAGTCCTACAGAGGGGTAGAGGGGTTTTGCCTGCGGGTGCAGCTGGTTCGTCAATTCTTCCACTCGTCTATGGCGTCAAACTGGGGGTCCCAACACATTGGGGCAACCACCATAGAGTTCCCTCAAAACCACACCGTGCTTCTTTTGTTTCTTTTTGCGAGCTGACTATCATTCCTCTTTCTGTTCGGTCAATACATCTTCTGTTCCGAGGTTGTGGTTGGGTAGGGAAGCATACAATATATAATAACCATGACAACAATCATAGTAATAACAACCATCGTGTTTGTTCAACATCGGGCTTGAGGACATACTGGCAGATCTGCAAGTGTCCCATGTCGACTACGTGAAGGTAACATGCTGATTGTGGCTCATACACATATATATATATATATGGATGCATCGCGTTTAAAGCATATGATCATTCGCGGATTTGAGTCCGGACCATGCGCCTGTTTTTTGGGTGTTTCGCTTTGGTGTATGTAAAGCTATCCATGCTATCCCCCAAACCGAACAATTCAAGGGGACCGAATCAAAACAAGGACAGCTCAAGCTTTACGCCCAAAATGCACTCCAAAGCAAATTTTGACTACACGCCCTGACAGCCTGAAAGGTCCCTTGACAGGTGCATGAGGATCCTTCGGGGCTTTGGCGAAGTGACCTGACAGGTTCCTCTAAGCGGGGCTAACCCTGTTGGGGTATCTAAGCTGACCACTTGCCAACTTAGCCGAACGTCCCGAGAGTGCTTGGGCTTGCCCGGGTCGAAGTACTTCTTGCAAGGTCTCGGACCCTTAGTGTTGCCTTGTTTGGAGAATTTTGCCACCTAAGAACTCAAAGTGCCCCAAGAAAGGGACACAAACTAGTGCTAAAGACTGGTGAAGACCCGGACCCAGCTTGCATTAGCCCAGAGTTTCCCTGGCTAGATTGGTCCTTCTACTTTTATGGGCTACCACATATTTCTCCGAAAAGAAGTATCCCAAGGGAAAAAAACACACACATACAGATCAGACCCTGTGCTCGAGATGCATTATGTGTCAAAATAGGGGGGGACCCCCTATTTTGGCGGGTTTCCCTTTTGGTTTCCCCTTTAAACTGACCTGGAAGATGGTTGCCTCGACCAACTAGCATGATATAGATGCGCATACACATACATATATGTACACAGAACTGCATACATATATATATATATATCCATATATGTATGCCTATTTTTATAGCGAGCTCACCTGGGGGTATAACAAGCTCACCTATGACAAAGATCCTGTGCTTGGGGATCCCTTAATTACTTCAGGTTTTGGAATTCGAAAAAATATAGAGATACATGTCGATTATTTTTGATAGGGAACTACCTCACAAGTGGCTGGTGGACGTCCACCAAAGAGTCCAAATAATTTTCATATCCCCTATCAATCCCATTAACCCCCATGAAATTCTCCGTCAACGCCCATTAAACTTGGTGGTTCCCAGCCATCCGGTTCCTTAGCTTTTTAGCCTAGTGTTGAGTGGTTGGATTTCCATTCAGTTAGTCACTAGAAAAGGTAATCCACGCTCGGGGCTCAACTCAGTCCACTCCAAATCTGAGATCCTCATGTTCTGAGGCGCTCAACTTGAGGCACCGGTTATGCATATGAATTCATACCCACATGATTGATTCAGAGCCCGCCCCCGAGCCCATGGTCCACTACCATTCGCTTAAGAATATTGTTTATGTTCCCTTGGTTTTAAAGGGAATCTTTACAAAATAAAATCCCTACTGGACATATTTTTCATATTTGCAGGGGGCTTCACCAAATGGAAGTCCAGGTGCACATGGTCCTGCAGCTCCGCGGAGGCAATCTTTAAGCTGCCGCTGCGAAGGCTCCAGCCGAGGGCTTCGGTGGGAGCTGCCAAGGACTCAAGCGCCAGGTGTAGCGTTTGGACGTTAGATGTATATAACTTGGAAGTACAAACATACAAACATACAAACAAACACACATACATACATACATACATACATACATGCATACATGCATACATGCAATACATACGTATGTACCTACATCCATGCTTACATACATGCGTATGCATAAACAAACACATCAATCAAACGTACGTACGTACGTACATACGTACATACGTACATACATACAAACAAACACACATACATACATACATACATACATACATGCATACATGCAATACATACGTACGTACCTACATCCATGCTTACATACATGCGTATGCATAAACAAACAAATCAATCAAACGTACGTACGTACGTACATACGTACATACGTACATACATACAAACAAACACACATACATACATACGTGCATACATGCAATACATACGTACGTACCTACATCCATGCTTACATACATGCGTATGCATAAGCAAACAAATCAATCAAACGTACGTACGTACGTACGTACATACGTACATAGGTACATACATACATCCATGCTTACATACATACATACATACATAAACACATACATACATACATACACACACACATACATACATAAATACATACATACATACATACACACATACAAACTTACACACATACAAACTTACACACATACAAACATACAATCATGCACACAACCACACACACATACATACATACATACATAAATACATACATACATACATACATACATACATACATACATACCTATACATAAGCATGCATGAGTACATACATACATGCATACATACATGCTTACCTACATCCATGCTTACATACATGCGTATTCATAAACAAACATATCAAACGAACGTACGTACGTACATACGTACATACGTGCATCCATGCTTACATACATACATACATACATACACACATACATACACACATACAAACCTAAACACATACAAACCTAAACACATACAAACATACAATCATACAAACATACACACATACATACATAAATGCATACATACATGCATACAGATATACATACTTACACACAAGCATACATGCGTACATGCATGCATACATACATACATACATACATACATACCTACATCCATGCTTACATACATGCGTATGCATAAACAAACAAATCAACTAATCGTACGTACGTACGTACATACGTACATACGTACATACGTACATACATCCATGCTTTCATACATACATACATACATACATACATGCATACATACATACATACTTACTTACATACATACACACATACATACACACATAAGTACATGCATCCATACAAACAATACACATACGTACATACATACATACAAACAATACACACACATACATACATACATACATACATACATACATACATACATACATACATACATACATACATACACACACATACGTACATACATACATAGATACATACAAACATACATACACACATACAAACCTACACACATACAAACATACAATCATACAATCATTCACACATACAAACCTACACACATACAAACATACAATCATACAAACATACACACATACATACATACATACATACATACATACAAACATACAACCATACAAACATACACACACACATACATACATACACACACATACATACATACATACATACATACATACATACATACATACATACATACATACATACATACATACATACACATATTGCATACACGCATATATACATACATACTTATACATAAGCATACATGCGTACATACATGCATACATACATACATACGTACGTACATACATTCATACATACATGCATGCATGCATACCCAGATACACACATACACACAGACACACATACAACTTCTGGCAACTTGTGCGGAATGTTGCGCGACATTCCCAGCGAAGCAACCATGGAGCCAGAAATGCTACTTCTTGGGGTGTTTTAGTGAGGAGTGTGGCCAAATGCCAGAAATGTTAGTTTGTGCGTGTTTTTTGGTGAGTGGGGGCAACTAACATGCAGATAATATATGAAAGAGGTAGGTTTGTACCCTAGGTATGCTACCTATACTTATAATATATATATATTGATATATACATATCTGTCTATTGATGTGAACATACAAGCATACTTGAATGAACCCTTCCTCAAGTATGTACTCGCCTTTTGGCCTGCTGTCACCCCAGAAGAACGTATAGAGGTACACATATGTGTTTGTGCATGTGCATGCATACATATATATATATATGTATATATAGAGAGAGAAATGCCGCTACATAAAATGTTCAAGAATATATTATTAATGTTCGACTTGGTAGGCTTATGGCCTACAAGCCTTTTACGACCAAGAGGGGGATAGCAATAATGATAGAAACACATCGCAGCAGCCACATAAATGGCATACCAGCACGTGCGTCTCATAAGGATACCAAAGGGAAGCCGTTTTTACCTGGACCGGATCCCCATTTTGGAAACAACACCCATAGTACATGTCTTATTTGGAATAAGAACAGCTTGGATCAATGAGTGGATGTTCATGCCCTGCCATTCCCCATATGTCTTCACCAGCAGGAGTTGCCCCGCCCATGCTTTCTAGATATCAGGGATGTTTGGTTTCTACCTGGAGTCTCCATGACCCTTTAAAAATGGGGTCATTACCCAAAATAAAAGGGGTCATGGACCCATTTTTGAAGGGTCATGGAGACTCCAGCTAGATTGTTTCCAGATTTGTTGGGGTTTGGGATTTTGATTCTTTGTGATTGTGTGTCTTGAAGTTTGGCGTCTTGGAGTCCCTCCAGTTTTTCAGCATCAGCGCCTTAAAGTCTTCGGATTGTAAACGTTGGGACTCCTAGGATGTTGGAACCGTCACCTTGCAGTCTTGGCATTTTAGAGTATTTGTGAGGGTTTTAGGTTTATTTGTGCTATTGGTATCTTGGAGATTAGACTATTGAACATGGATTCTCGAGTTAACGTTTTAGAGCAACTGCGTCTTGGATTCAGATTATATTGTTGTACTATCTGAACGTCTTGGGTCTAGTGGTGGTGGGGTTGTTCCGTCTTCATGTCTCGATGTTTTGTCTTGGCATCTTGTTGTGTTGAGTGTTCATCATGCTCTTCTGGCAGGGATTCGTGTGTGATGTCTTCATAGCATGCCTTGCGAAGACACGAACACGTGACAAGGAAAAGAACACAAAAAGAAGAGCACCACAACGGGCAAGCCAGAGACACGAAGGCCGGAGAAAAACGAGAGATTGCGAGAAAGCAAGAGCGGGAAAGCATTCAGGGACTACTGCAGTTCAGCCTTTCAGCATCTTCCTGGCAGGCTCCAGAAGCGTAGAGTCAATCGAGCTTCACCATGGTTTACCTGACTTCCTTGACCTTCTGGCTGGCTCTGGCCTTGCTGAATCGAAGCTTAGCTTGCTCCTACTTCGAAGTGAACACCAGCCTTCCGGAAGGGAAGATCATGGGACATACCATGGAGTTCGACCGTTACTACAACGTTTTTGACTCGTATTTCAAGGTCATTCCAAGGGGCTATCCGCACCGCTTGTACAATGACACGAATGACACGGCCTGTGGCAGCCAGACAAGCAGCCAGGGCAGCTTGGGCTACGTCGGCATCGAATTTGCCGACCTCTTTGGTGATGGGATGAACGAGGAGGGCCTTATCATCGCGTCGCAGTCCTTGTATCGCTCGCAGTACCAGAAGTGCAACCCATGCTCCAAGCATTACAAGACGATCAATATTATGCAACTCCCTGCCTACATCCTGAGTCACTTCAAAAACGTTCCAGACTTGAAGTGGGCTATTCGACACCACAAGATCTGCGTCGTGAACACCGATAAAGAGAAGACGAGCAACTTGCATTGGGCCATTGCGGACAAGAAAGGGAACTCCATTGTATTGGAGTATATTGATGGAGAGCCTCAGATCCATGAGAATTACGTGGGCGTCATGACGAATGACCCGCCTTACCTATGGCAGGTTGACAATCTCAACACCTTCGCTTGGCTGACTGCTGATGCCAATGTGACATCGCAAGATCTGAGACTAGACACTGGGAACCAACTGCCAGGGACGGATGCCGTACCGAAGAACTGGGGCCATGGCTTCAACATGGGGGGGCTACCGGCAGATGCCTCCCCCCCCTCGCGCTTCGTGCGCATGTTCTATACCCGTCAGGTGTCCCAGCTCAACTCCAAGCCCCAGGACATGCCGGAATTCATGGCCTTGGTTCCATGGCCAGACTTAGCACTCACCTTTTCGACTTGCCTGTTTTCTAGAAAACGTTTAGTACTCTAAAATATCTCTCTCTGAATATCCTACAGGGGTACAAACCACCTCCAAGCCGGTTAGCTTTATGGTTTTCCTTCACGTCTTCAAGCAAATGTTAACACTTGTTGCAGGTCTGAGTTTGGACAAGGTTCAAGGTATCCTCAATACGATCTACATCCCCAAAGGCTTCACTGGCGTCGACCCAAGCCAACAGGTTCAGAGTGATCATACCGCATGGGCCACCATGCGCGTGCCCAGCACGGGGTTCTACGCCTTTCGCACCTATGCGAACATGCAGTGGCACGTGATCAACACCAAGCTTCTGGGCTGGAACCAAGCGGCGACCCTGAACGTTTCTGGGAGCAGCATCCTTGACAGCTTCAAGGACATTACGGGCGACTTGCCACAGAATCAAAAGACGGCCAGGACTAACTTCCTTGCGCCGGTTCAAAGGCATGAGGGAGACGACTCAGTTTTTCTTCAGCACGAGGAGATGTGAGTCTTGTATATAAACTTGCAAGGTGGTTCCAGCAAAGGCTGGACCCCAGTCGATCGCCAACGTGCCAAAATAGGCACGAGCCCCCTTCTTTTGGTTTCCCTTTTAACCAACCCGACCAGGGTACACCTGCCTGCCATGAAACCGCGGTTCTCGTGCGTCAGGTGTGCTGCGCATCGAGGAAGCCAGGGTCCAAGGGATGGGCTCGCGTCCCAAGTATGTGGGGAGGGAAGTTGCCGGCTGTGACAGGTTTGCTCTTCCGCAACTGGGAAAACTAACTATCATGAATTCTTCATGGAAGCTGAATGTAGCCATCATCGGGAGGGCTATTTTCGTGTCCATGTTCAGCTTCCAAGTTAGTTGTCTGGGGATGTACAGTCCGAAATGTTTTTTTGCCGTTAGCTCCATTTTGCTCGCATTGCCTCTACATGCCTCTACCTGGAAGTCAGTCAGTGACGTTTTTTAGCCGCCACCGCAGTGGCTCTTCAACTCTAATTATCAGAGTGACATTAACATTAGATGTTCATCGCTCTTGGACATTGGGCTTGGTTCACAGCATGTGTACACGAAGTACTGTCAAGATTAAAGGAACGCCAAACAGTGCAGTTGGGTGAAGGTAGATGGCACAATCCTGTTTGGTTTGTCGCCATCCCCTTCACCTACTCATCTACGTTCACCCTGCTACAATCGGATGATCCTCAGCTTGCAGAAAGACGATATTGTGACAAAAAGCACTCACCAACAAATATTGTCCTTCCATACACTCATGGCGAGACTAGTTTCTAATCCTGCTCTAACGTCTCTCGCTGATTAAGGTGAATAGCAGAGTGGTCGCCACATCTTTCGCATGCGAAGGCAAGTTTGCCGAGAGCCGTGCATGTCATGGACTGGGCACTTCCAGATGGGGTCAGATGTACATGGGTCGTTCTTTGATGGGGGTTACCCATTTTTGGTGGTTTTAAAGGGAAACCAAGAGGAACGCCACCATTTTTGGGGGCGTCCCCAAAAAGAGACACACATATATATATATATATATACATAGATTGTACTAGGTCGCCACTCGTGCATCCCGGGATGAGCGGAAATCTGACGATAGCCAGGTTACCAGGTCACAAAATTAGTCGGGAGTGCAAATTTTGTCCGTCACCTTTGACTTGTGCCTTGTTTTCATCTATCTACGCGCTGCTTTGTTTCGCCTAAGTCCCAATGTGTCTCAGACTCTCAGACTCCCACCTTGAGATCTCGCATCTCTATATAGTGACTTCTCGAAACATGGCGGAAGAAGGGAAACCACCAAAAACCAACGAATTGTTGCTTTGGGTGAAGCTTTGCAAAAAGGGAAGCCAGAAACCACCAGGATGCAGCCCCATTTTTCAGGTTCCCTTTCAGCAAAGCGCCCCTCGGCCTGAAAAACCGCGGCTTTTCTCATTGAGGCCGCGCCCAGCTTCAATTCAGGCGCGACCTGGGGGTGGATGGGGGTGGATGGGGGTCGGGTTGGTGTGCAAGGCCCAGAGTCGGTTTCTTCTTTCTTTCAGCGTATTTTCGGGTCGAACCGTAGACCAGAGTCAGAAAAGCCCGAGTTTCTGTGCGCAGATGTGGGCGGATGGGGATGGTAATGGCTCACAGGCCTAACCCACCCGAAACCCCCCCCCAACCCTTTCCACAAACTAACCCACCCTTAACCCATACATCGGGACCCGTTCACTTTGGTGCGTCAAGCCATGCGTTCGGCTGGCCCCAGAGGCCAACATGGTCATGCTGAGCCCTGATTTATGCCCCGTTGTGATATCGGGACGTGTTGGGTTAGTGGCGAGGGGCGTGCCTCTCCCTGATAAATCCCTGGGAACCTGAATGGGGCGTCCACGTCCTCAAGCTCAGCGGGAAAACACCCAAGGGCTCAATGATGAAGGCTCGATCCTCAAAAGGTTGTTTCCTTTTGGTTTCCGTCTAAGCTATACCCAAAAAGGTACCTAACAAAACAAAACGGCGCAGCCATTGTGGGGCTTTCCCATTTGGACCCACACATACCAATTGGTTCATTCAGAAACGCTGCGGCTGGTGCACCAACCATGCAAGAGCCCTGTTCAGAGTCTTTCGAATGACAACGGTGCTCTTAACCGTGACATGCTCAGAGTGTTGGAATCTGAGTTGGAGGAGAAGCGCCTGAGTGACCAACAGAGTCTTTCCCCGTCCAAGAGCAGTGACTAACAAATTCAACCACTGGCCTTTGGTGCTACCATAGTGGTCAAGATATACATTAGCCTCTACATTAGTCAACCAGGTCCCCTCTGAAACCTCCAATCAAAAGTGGTCTTGGCGCAGTTAAGCGGATGGCGGATGTACCTGCTTTCTGGATATCTGGGCTTCCCAATTTCCGACCTCGGAGGCTGATGTTCAGAAGTGAGGAGAGCTGAATCTTCCGTGATACCCTTACAACCATTTTGACATGAGGCATTTTTTGCTAGTTATGCCATCTGCTTTCTTCACACAGGTGACAGGGCCCTCGTGGCTGAACAAACATGAATAAACCTTGTTCAGTCCATGCAGGGGAACTCCAGGACATGTCAGGGCCTAAATAATTACTGGTCCTTGGGTACTTCAAAGCCAGACTTGTTTGTCTTCATAATTCTAGGAGCCCTTACATGATGTGTTAGTTTTCCCTGCGGAAAACACGACAAACACCTCAATGCCCTTGTGCCTGAAGGGTACCAACCACATCGATCATCTAAGGGCTGGGTCGAAACTCTCGCTCCCTGAGGGTCTAACCCCTACCAGGGACAGAGCCTCCATGCACCATGTGGGTCGCTTATTGGCAGTACCCCGTGCTTGTCCATTACACGGGCGTGGGTCCCGATGCCGTCCTCTGAAAGAGTTTTTGGTTGAAAGGGCATTTGGATCCAGGCGGCAAATGCGGTGACTCGGGCTAAGTGAAGTGGGAGTCTAATCTTTCCTGAGGTTCTACAGCATAGGAGGCACAAGAAAATATTCTACTTTACAAGACCGCAATTGCATTTCGTGAAGCGTCAAAACTAAATTCTCCCTTGTGTTGTGTTTCGGGTTTGGAACCCGTGGGAGGAAGTCATTCAATCTATACGTCGATGCTTGGGTCGGGGGACATTTTCCTTGAAGCGCTTCATCGTCCGGAATCGAATTCCAACCACTCGGATGAACTCGCAGGAGCCATCGAGTCGCGTGAGACGGACAGGAAGTAATGCACTGAAAAAGCTGACCGGTTTTCTCCAACCCGGCATTATGTAGTTTTCCATACCCAGCATTGTGAGCCCCTGGCAAATTCCGTAAGAAATCCCATTCAGCGGACTTACAACCATGGTAAGTAATGGGAACCCATGATGCATAAGCCCTGTTTTTTTGATCAGGGTGGTGTCCCATCTAAGAGGGAATGAATTTATTTGTAAGGGGGCACACCATCTATTAATGCACCAGTTTATTTGGGGCAGTTGCCGAATTGTGATTTGGGGCAAACCCGGTAAACCCCAGGTATGACAGATGGTGTTGCTTTCCCTTGTTGCAGTGATGCCCCACTATGGATAGAAGGATCCCCCCTTTTGAGCAACCCAGGTGACATATCCAAACCATTCTGCGAATACAAATTTGAGCCATGTAGGCCCATGGAAGGGGGACTTGGTCCCAGATAGCTTGGTTGCTCTTGGGTTTGACCAACTCCGCGCTCACAATAAATATGGCGGTGGGTCAAAAATAGGTACCCAAAATGGGACCCTGGTAAGTGGAACCAGGGACCAAACCTGCGGTCCCCTGGTGGTTTAATTTTGAACCATGCCCATATCAACATGTTGGAAGGCGGTTCTTTCAATCCACAGGCCAGCAAGATGTTATCCGCTGTTGTGGATCCAGAGAAGACATGGGGTATGTGGTATACATCCAGCATCGATGTTCGTCCTTTGAGGCCTTAGTGATGCTCCTTGGTGGTTGGCTCTACCACCAAACCAACAAGCCAAAGCATGACCCCTATAAACAATCCCTTGTGGTTTCCTTTAAGGGAATCCCTGGATTCATTCTCTCATTCCCTACTGAGCACCAGCAAGATTGGTACTTGAATGTCCCGAAGTGCTTAGCCAAGGGGAGAACCTGTGAACGCCAGGGCTATTCTCACGCGGTAACATCACCTACGCTTGTGTGGAGCAACCCTGCTTTGGCGACAAAGCCAGGTGCTGAAACCAACTTTGTTGGGATTGCAGGGCACACAACAGAAGCTGGCGCCGGTTTTGGGACAACCACCGCTACCCTTGCCCGGAAGATGGTTTAATGCCCCGGCTCCTTTGTTCCGGCTTCTTCATTTCTGGGATTCGGTGCGGCGAGTTGTGGTTTTTGTTCGGAGTCAGTGTAGCTTGGGTGGGTCAATTTTTTAAGTGACCAGGCGCAAAGGGCAACAGTGAAACAATCGAACCTCACTGTCGTCTGAGCTCCTGGACTTTGTACTCTTTGGAAAAGCCATTTGGGTTTGGGGTGTGTGTTTACCAACCCAAGTGAGAAACACCTCAAGATGCGAAACGTAGAGCAAAGATTGCGTTTTTCTCAGAAGTGAAAGAGGGAAAGCGCAAGGTAAAGTGAACATTTAAACGAGGGCAAGCCCGACCTCGCCGCTGATCACTCGCGCTGATCACTCGCAACGGGAGCCTCTCAAGGGCGGTGGGCTGTTTGCGGCAAAACCGCCCGGAGCAGGCCCCGGCGTGCAGCATGGTGGTGGGAAACGTGGGTTTTATACAAGGCCACTTTTGTGATACCAAGGGAACCCCCTTCAAAGTGATCAAGTCGTCTTGTGGATGGCGTCACAGAAAGGGGATTGTCCACAACCGTGGTTACCATGGTTGGTTTTGCGGACCGTTTCCTTTGGAGGAGTCCCGTGTAGGAATGCAAAAGCTACCGGTTCTTGCGTTCTTTGCGGGCAGACAAGATTTCCGCTTGAACGATTTGGGTTTGAGGATTATGTAGCAAGCCAAATTGCCAAGAAAGGCCAACGAGGCCTCACAGGTTGGTGCTCTCCTATTGTAAAAATCTGCATGGGAATGGATCTCATGTTATTTAAGTTGCGGGGCAAAAGCCGAGGCGGTTTTGGACCACTTGGCCCACAGGCTGGTAACCAGTGCACACCCAAGATAGGCCTCAAAGCTGACTTTGACAAGCTTTTGAATAGTGGGAAAATTGTGAGCGGACCGCATGACACGGGGTTGTCTCCAAATGGGATATAGAACCTTCTGACATGCCCGCTCTCCTTCTGGTTCCACTTTTTTCAACCGACCCTCAACAACCGACGCACCCATCTTTCGTTTCCAAGCACCCAAACTCCTGGCGCTCATCCACTCGAGAGGTACAGTCGTGAGGCCAAAGTTGATGACTTGTCTGGGTGTTGGCCGGGATGGTCATGCATCCCCCGAGAAAACCGAAAACCATGACAAGGATTCCTGTTCAGGGAGCCAATCAGTGCCCGCATGGAGTTTTGACCATGGATCTGTTGGGTTGGTCATTAACCTCATGTTCCATTCAGGTAGCTTTAGTAGTGCTGGAGAATGTTCAGCAACTGAAGGAGGCTGTAAATTTGAAGGTAAAAGAAAAGCAGCTCCCCACGCCGCTCAATTAACTGTTGCGAAAGCTTCTAAAACAAGCGAAACAAGAATATGGCATACAACCGTTTCTATAAGAATCAAGGGAGTGGGACCGGTTTGCCGGTGAGCAGGCACCTTTGTTGAAACCCTTCTAGTCCAAAGACCTGGCCAGGCCACTAGTTGCACACTCCCCCCCCCCCCCCACCCACCCACCGACCCACCCGCACATCCGCCCACACACACACACACAGACACACCACGGATGCAACATGGGGATACCACTGTGGACATATATCTATATATACATATGTATATGCACATACATACATACATACATACATACATACATACATACATACATACATACATACATACATACATACATACATGCATATAAATAGAGAGAGAGAGAGACAACAAGCGCGAGAGAGATGTAGAGATTGGATATTGTATGAACATCTGCTGTATGTGTTATATATATATATATGAGAGATTTAATGTACACACAGGTATGCATGTGTTCATATGTGTAAATGTCTATATGCAATGAAATCATCGACAACAGTGAAGGTATGCACCTCAGTGCTGTCCGGCGATCTAACCCTTATGCTAGAAAGCAGTTTTCCCTCTTTGTCATTGTGTCCCACTAAGGATTACAGATTAGGATTGCGGATCCGCCCCCCATTTGGGTGCGTCTTTTTCCCGATGGGTACCCCTTTTTCGGCCGCAAGGGGAGCCCAATGGGAGAAAAAGAGAACCATTTTGCACAATGTGTAGTATGTTTGTTCCAACTCAACCCAGTCCTTTCCAACCAAAGGATTTCTTGTGTGGGTAGTGCAATCTAATGCGAAACCATAGGTGTCCTTTTTGGTTGGTTTGCTTAAACAACAAGAGGGCCCTGGTTTAGATGGAGTTTATGCCATTTACCAGGGGCATCTATTTTTCCAAAAGGCCACCTGTGTGTGAAACCCTGCACGACGTTCCATCAGGCGCCGGCGAGATTCGGAACGGGTCCCTCGATCGGGAGGTTGCCTGCGAAGCTGGGCGCTGAGAGGAAGCGATCTGACGAAGCTTCAGTTTGGTGGCCCTTTAGAAAGCGAAAGGGAAATACTGTGGATGGACGAAATCCTGCACCAGCTGAGACACCCTGGAATGATTTTTCCACTGCAAACACCAGCAAACAATGGTTTCCCATGGTTTGAAAGTGGTGCAGGATTTCGTCCATCCACAGTATGATGACGAACAATTAAAACCAAGAATCCTAAAGATAGGAGAAAGACATCTGAATTGCAATCCAGTTCAGATGTTCAACCAGTGAGACCCTCATTATCATTCTAACTTGTGCATATATGTTATCTCAACTAGGTTTTCCAGTAGTGCCCTTGTACCCTTTTTGGGGTGGGGTGGGTTCCCTTACTAAAATAGACTACAGAAAAAAAAGTTGGTACCCTTGTTCTAACCTCTCAGGACCTTATGTTGTCTCAATCTGGCCATGTCGTTCTGTGAGGCCCCTTGATGTCTTCAACCTGTGAGGCCCCGGGTCGGCCCCGGTTTTCTGACCGCCAAGGCCATGGCGGCATGTTTTCAAGTCTTGGCCGAAGCGCAAGAAGAGACCTCTGGGATTGACAAATGGGTGGGCCTCTAAACCTACAACACTTGGTGGCTCCCAGCCATCCCCTTAGCTTTTTAGCTTTTTAGTGTTTAGTGGGGATTTCCATTCAACCCCCTAAAAGTTTAACTTTTAGCGGGGGATCAGAGGGCAGCCCAGAAAAGGTGATCGCCCTCAGGGCTTAGAGCCCATCACCCCAGTCCACTCCAAATCTGAGATCCTCACGTTTTGAAGCGCTCAACTTGAGGCACTTTTCACATCGAACCTGCCGCGAGGCGCGGGGTCTGGAGGTTCACTCGATTGCTACGTGGGGGGGGGGGGGGGGCCTTTTTGAGAACGCCATGTTTGGAGGCTGGTTCAAAGGGACGCCGAAAACACACAAACACACTTTCCGGGGTTCCGCTGTTCAAGACGCATGTGACAACTGTTGAAAGGGGACCTAGATGACTACCCTTGTTTCAATCCTGGCTGGTGACGGGCGCGTTGAAGATCCCAAGCTAGACCATTTTGATCGCTTCCGTGGTCGGTTTCTTGAACAAATGTGTTGCCCCCTACGGATGTAGCATTTCTCTTGGAGGCATGCTCAGTTGCTCCCTGCAATGGTGGCAAGCATATCACCCTATACTTTGCCGTAGCACCGCAGTGTTGTGCCAGGGGTTAGCGATAATGCCACATGTTGGTTGTGGCTCAGCTCAGGAGTGCATTGAACGCTGATTTCGGGATGCGTAGTGCTCAATGTTTGAGATGTCTGCAATTTTGCGGCTCTTTTGCTACTCCAGTCTCGCTTGCATGACTCAGGACTTGGGTAGATTCCATGTTTAAGTTTGCACTTTGGCGCATCTCACTCGGAACCCCCCTTCTGTTTCACATCCCACTACACATTCTTACAGCTTGAAGCGGCAGAACTGTTTACCCTGGCGGAGTACCCTTGCAGCAACCAAGTTAATTGTTGTTTACGGATCGCAACGTCGACACATTGGTTCGCATGTTGACGTTTGTCCGTGGCTTTGCGCCATGGCCTGTGTTCGCCTGTCCAGCGGCCGGGAGGTTTTCACACCAGAGGACTTCACTCGCTGGCACGCGCAGCTTGAGCCACGCGAGGGCGCATTTTTTGATATTTTGAGGCAGGATCTGGCCAAGCAGATGCAGCTCAGGCATTTCCGACGGCTGAGCTTGGTTTGCGGAGACCATGTGCTTGGCCGAGACTGGTCCTGGACTGCCGAATCCTTGGTAGCGGTCTTGCGGCCCTTCGCTGAACCGACGGCAGAGGCAGAAGCCGAACTGTTTGCGGCTGCCCGGAGCGGTAACTGCGAGGGGCTGGAACACCTCCTAGACACGCCCCATGACCCGGATTGGGTGGACAGCAGAACGGGCTGCACACTGCTTCATGATGCTGCGACACAAGAGGTTGTGATTTGCTTGCTGGAAGCGGGAGCTGACAGGGACAAGGCCTGCAACGAGGGGTTGACCCCCTTACATTTTGCCGCTGGAAGTGGGAATTTGAAGAAGGTGCGTTGCGTCTCACTTCACCACAGCCGACCTTTTGACCTTTTGCTTTTTTTGTCATACTAGGTCATGTGTTTTTTTCAGTTCTGGTCCTTTGTTGGTTTGATTCTGTGTGTTCCGCTATGATAGTTGTGTCCAGGTTCCAAAAGCTTAACCTTTGGAGTCTCTAGGTCTGGGCAAGTGAGGCTTGCTTGAAGCAGGCGCTGGAAAGGACCAGGGCAGCAGCCACGGATTGACCGCGGTGCATTTGGCCTCGCAAGGCAACGATGTGGAAGTTCTGCGCTGCCTGTTGGAAGCGGATGCGGACATGGACCAGGGCTGCAGCATTGGGTTTACCGCCCTGCATATTGCGGCGGTGAACAGCCATCTGGGGGTCTTAAGATGTTTGCTGGAGGCCAAAGCTGACAAGGACAAGGGCAGCAACGATGGATGTACTCCCATGCGACTGGCTTCTCAGACAGGCAATGTGGACGTGGTGCGTTGTTTGCTGGAAGCTAGGGCTGACATGGACAAAGCCAGCCACGATGTTGGACTTACGCCTCTGCATGCTGCGATTGGAACAGGGCATTTGGAGGTGGCGCATTGCTTGCTGGAGGCTGGCGCTGACAAGAACAAAGCAAGCAACCTGGTTGCCCAGTGGAGTTGTTTTTTCCTCTTTTTTTTTTCTCGGGAATGGTGTCCCTTTCAAAATAATCAGGTATTCCTTATATGGTTGGTTTGGGTTGGAGGTTTTCTGGGGGTCACTGCCCAAGCCACCAAACCACCAAACCACCAACGGCTCCAAACCAACGAGGGAAGCTGAACTTGGCTCCCGAAGGTCCGGCTCCTTCGCTTTCTTGGCCTTTTGGTGTGGTTGGGTTTCCCGAACTTAACCCACCAAAAGTGAGTCACAACTTCGGGGAAATCTGAAAACGGGCCCGGTGAAATCAAGCCTGGGCTGAGGCCAGGATGGAGCTACACCCTTGCACTGTGCTGCTTCACATGACCGCGTGGAGTTCGTGCGCACCTTGCTCGCAGCTGGAGTCGAGAAGGACAAGGGAACCAGATGCGGAAGCACGGCTCTGCATCTTGCTGCTCACAGCGGCCATGTCATTTTGCCAGAAATGGCAACCGGTGTTTTGCCCGGTTGCCCTGGTTGCGTTCCTTCTTTTTGCCTGTGAACCGGCGAAACGTTGACAACTTTGTTCTTCGTTTGGAGGGCTGCGGATTTGTTTTGGCCAAGGTCGGGGTGGTGCGTTGCTTGCTGCAAGCTGACGCTGACATCTGCAGGGGCAGCGACAACGGGTGCACGCCTCTGCATCTGGCGGCTGCGCGTGGCCATCGCAAAGTCGTGCGCTGCTTGCTGAAAGCTGGGGCTAACACGGACAAGGGCAGCAATAAGGGCTTAACGCCTCTGCATGTCGCCGCCAAGAAAGGCCATGCGAAAGTAGTGCGGTGTTTGCTGGAGGCTGGCGCCGGGAAGGACAAGGCCAGCAACAGTGGGCGAACACCTCTTCACCTTGCGGCTGAGAGAGGTCATGTGAAGGTAGCGCGCGGCTTGCTGAAGGCTGGGGCTGAGAAGGACAGCTTCAACACCAGTGGCTGCACACCTCTTCATCTCTGCGCTCAAAGAGGCTATGTGAAGATTGTGCGCTGCTTGCTGAAATCTGGTGCTGACCAGGAGAAGAGCAATAGCAGCGAATTGAAGGCCTTAGATCTGGCTGTTCAGGATGGGCATACGCCAGTGGTCCGTTGCTTGCACAAAGCGGGCGCTCGGACCTGCAAGAGAAAGCGGAGCAGTTTCCTGGCCGAAGATCCCAAGCGGAGACGAAGCTGAAAATGCTCGCACGGGAATGCCTCAGATGACTGGCTTATCCAAAATTGCTCCCACCCAGACCCACTGGCATGTACACTTGTCCATGGCGACGTGGGTGGGCATCCAATTCTTGAGTCAAATAGACCCAGGTGTGGGTCAAGGTTTGGCAACGTCCGACTAAAATGATGAACCCAACTTTCTGCCAAGCAAACATCAGGCTTCCACGTTGCTGATGTTAAACAACCGATACATTTGTTAGTTTCGACAAAGGAATCAGTAACGAGGATGGATAGGCTGGATCATTCATAGAATGTTGAAAGGGGCCCTCGATGTGATGGTCCACAGAATGGGAAGCCACAGGGAAACGTGCAAGCTACTTTCCCGCAAATTGGTCTGGAACCTAAAAGGGGGTGCCCCCCCCTTTAAAGGAGAGGTGGAATGTAGGGGCTTTCCATGATCCATGGTCCACCCGGTTGTTTGAGGAAGGCTTCCTGAGGCTGCAATGAATGAACCATGAGCCTACTGACAAGAAGTTGTCGCATATTCAAGCCACTGGGGCACGGGGGGCTCAGAAATATGTTATAAATATGTGCGTTCTTAAGACATACAATACGAACATATTGACTAGGTCCCCCAGTAGTGGCCTTTCTCACCCTTTTTTTGGGGAGGGTTCCCCTACTGACATAGACTACAGAAAAAAAAGCAACGGGTACCAACTTATTCTAACCTCTCTACTGGAGGACCTAGTGTCAGTACCCTTCCTGGAACACTGACCGACTGGGGCTGGGTCCCGAAGGGTCCCAATATTTCCCATTTCAGCCTCACCCCTGGAGGAAACCATTGATTTTGGACCCGCAGAGTCCAAGATCAGAGAGTTCGCCCAGGGAATCTACCCCACCTGGAGGAAACCCTTGATTTTAGACCCGCAGAGTTGGCGAGAGAGTTCGCCCAGAAATCTTGGCAGGTTCTGCACATGGCATGGCCTGGCGGGCGCTTCTGCTGGTCCTCCTGGGCCCGGGACCTCGAGACCTCGGGACCGTGGGACGGTCATCCAAGCAGTGGGGCATTTCGTTGGGTGACCTGCTTTTTGCGGGGATTCTCCATTAAGAAATGTACCAAACTCCTTTGCTCCATTTTTTGGGAGGGGGTTTCCTATGATCATGAACTACCAATAAAGGGTGCCCCTTTGTAATTGTTACGTTGAATGGTTGTTGGTTGGGGTGTCTTTCCTGTCAGGCCCCTTCAAAATGGGCACAAATCTGGCTTGGGCCTGGAGACTCTTCAACTTTTGACTTGGGATGACCGGTTTTCCTTTGGTTCCCCTCTGAAGCCTGCAAAAAAGGGCTACGTAGCCTCAAAGACCCCACAAGAAACACCCGGTGTTGCGGTTGACCTGGCTGGCTGGGGAATCGTTTGGCTATGACGATGGAACCATACTGTACCTTTTGTACTACATGCCGAATATATATACATATATATACACATATATATATACATATATATATATATGTATATTTTTTCTACACATGTACGGTTTGATTAGTTTGGAGGCCTGAGGGTAATTGCATCGCAACAAATGGTCCAGCCTGAAGGGCGTGTTGCTCGAAGCTCCAACTCACTCACTCGCTCAAGTTCGGTGAGGTGAGGTGAGCTGAGGTGAGGTGAGTGAGCGAGTCAGTGATTGAGAGAGTGAGCGGGGATTCCAATTGTTCAAGACAGAGATGTGCGCACAGGAGCCCAGAGCCCCGACACAAATCCCAAAAGCCTGATTGAAGCGGGGTGGTCCCAGCCTTAGGCTACCCCGGTCAACCAGGCAAAGAGCATGTCACCACGTGCGTGCACCCTCAACACCCGATCCGCCACTCCGGTTTCTGGGAATATCTGGGTACATCGCCGTAGCCACCAGGAACTTTGGGGGTTGCCGTTTACAGGGTAGAAAGCGGTTTAAGCACGATCATGTCAGTACCCTGCATGGAACAACTCCGGATCACCGACCGACTGGGGCCGGGGAAGGGTCCCTATATTTCCCATTTAAGCATCACCCCGCCTAGAAGAAACTTACTTTGAACTGGGGAAGAAGGTGATGCAGAAAACCATAAAAAGGGGGAATGCTCAATTCCCAGTTTCTGATTTCTGTTCTTTCTCCTTTTTGAGAAGATCATTTTGGTTCAAAGGTTCTTAGGATTCATTAGCAGCCCTATGAATTGGGTAGGACTGCTTAATGGGAAGCCAAAGAACAACCACAATTTCTTGTGCTAAGCAGGAAACGTACTATTGCCCAATCCACAGGCGGTGAGAGTATGGGGAGCCCCTGCGTTGAGGCCCAGAAGCCATTTGCGCCGTGCGCGAGAGCGTGGAGGAACTGACAGAGGTGCGTGCCGCCCACCCTTTTCATCGCATGTGTACTCATGCTAAGCAAGAAAGTGTTCATTTGGGCCTGTGTGTTTTAAGGGGGGGGCCCCCTAAAAGGGAGGTTTTACAGTTGGGTTGCCTTTAAAACCAAAAAAAACGGGCACCCCATTTAAAGGGAAAAAACAACATCTTGTTTTTGCAACTGTACCTTTTAGAACAGTGAGTTATTTTTACATGGGACCTTCTGCTTTGCACGCAAGAGTCATCCGATTCGTCCGGTATCCCGTAGTGATGCAGTCAAATGCGCGAGCATTCGCTCAACACCTGTGTTTCCAGCAGCGCTGCCTAGATTTGTTTGAGACGTCACCTTTTTGGCCAATTGTTTGTGGCTTTCAATTTCTCTTGGTGGAGCGACCAATGAATAGAGAAGCATAGGGAGTCGTTCAGTCCACCATCCACAAACCACCATCCCCAGCAGCTGTTTTAGACATGGGTACGGGTCAAAATTAGACCACCAGGAAATGGACCGCAGATTGTATTTCTTGTTTCCAGTCACCAGGGCAAGCCATTTTGGGTACCCATTGTTGACCCACACCCACACAAGATCATTGTATGATGGTTTTGCAGCAGTGGTCGCGGTCGTGGTTTTTGGGGTAGCAGTGCCAAGGCGCCCAGAGCCTTTGCACCTCCCGTGAGGTTTGCCCTTCAAAGCTCCCCTTTGGAGGGGGGTATCCGTCAAAATAAACCAGGGTGTTCCTTTTTTTTCCAACCGTCCAACCGCCATGACAGATTTGGGCTGTACAGAACAACCTTTCTTGCTGACATACCAAGGGTTGAGAAGGATGCAGGACCTATTGCGAGATTTATGTTTGCTGTTTGATATGCACTTTGTGGCAGGCTATCGCTATGTGAGGGCAACGTTAATGTTACCAACATGTCTCTCCTACGATCATGACTGAGGTGTGCTTCTCTCAGTACCAGGGAAACCAAACAGAACCCCACCCATTGTGTGGGTCCTCTTAGGAAGAATAAATAGAAAGCACCGCAGTTAAATTTAGGCCCCTATCGTAGCCTTCCGACCGGAAAGAGGTTCTCATTGTCTGTTCGAAGCCTCCGGACCAAAGCTCACGGCAGGTCAAGTCCTCTAATGGCGCTCTCGAGAGGGCAGGCCTGTTTCAAACGTCCGACTGGAACTGGCGCCAGTTTGGGGTCGGGCTGGGCCAAAACCGCAACTGTTTCATGTTTTGGCGACAACAATGGTTCTATTTACCACCTAGCACATCGCCCCTGAAGCGTGGCCCGCTTACCTTTGTCATTCGCACGTGTTTTACCCCAACAGTGGATTGAAGGAAAGCTGACTTTGAAAAGCCCCCGGAAAACAGGGTCGAAGGCTGCCGTTTTGTTTTAGTATCCGCAGGCGTGGGTTCCATTTGACTCCACTTACAGTATATGTCCCTCCATGTGAGGTTACTCCCGCTGGTGCTGAATTGGAAGCCACCCGGCTAGCCATTTACCAACCTGGCGGAGCACCTAGTAAGAAGAGTCGAAGCTGTGGACCAGAGTTCATACGCATGTCATCCTGGGGAACGAAGAAGAGCACTGGCTGTGAACAAGTCCTTGGATAACATGATCTTGGCAAAGGGGTTCAAGGGGCTCGTTGGCCCCTTTTGGAGCCATGGTCTGAGTTACCCCTTGAATGACTCGAGCCTTTAGCTAAATGACTTTGAATGACCAGTCCACTTTTTGGAGAAATCGAAAGGAGGGCCAAGCAGGTCCACGCAGCTTTTGCTCGATGCTGGCAGGGATTTCTACCAAAATGGAGTCCGAAGGTGATCCCTGTGTATGATGTGTACTTTCTGCGTGGAACCCCTTTCGGATTGGTTGTCCAGGAACATCAAGAGGGCTCATGTTGGGGTCCCTATGTCTCAGAGTTCCAACCTTTGACCTTCCTTCCACTCATGTAGCACTTGCGAGGCGTCTGTCAGGTGCCATGTGGGCGGCGGTTTCCGCACGTTGCGCCGACCTTCGGCTCAAGGAGCTCCGTTTGAAAAGGAGCAATCAGGTTTTCGCAGTGACCATATCCTTCTTGCAATGTCTTTTCGTGATTTCTTGGCGTCTTGTCGACCCCATACCAATCAACCCCATTTTGTCAACAAGTTGTTTTTTTTCTGGGTTTGGTGGGGAATCAGACCATTTTTTGGATGGGCCGTAGACCCCAGCCCCTACTGAGAAACTAGGCGTTGTATTCCAGGGTCCAGCCAACGCATCACGAATGCGTTTTCAGCCCAAAGCAGCTCGATGGCTCCAGAGCAAAGTTTAGCTTAGGGGCGAGCTGTGAAGCTCCTGCCAGCACACACACACACACATACAGCCCCCCCACTCTGCGCCATGGGTATGTGTTATTTTTAAGCAAGGAGAGAAAGCGCATGTGCAATGAGACAAACTCCGAGCATCTCCGAGCCATGTCGGCAAGGGTGTTTCCGATTTAACAGGCCCCTTCAAAATTGTTGAAAAAGAGAAGCCAGTGGATTCCAAGGCAAGCCAGTAGCTAGCCAGCTATTTTCCTTTTGGCTTCAGGCTTGGTTACCTATCAGAGGTAAATGGATCCACTGAAGCCCACCAATCAGCCGGCCTACGGCAGCTTGTGTCCGACTGCATGCCATGCAGCCTCAGACGGGCAGTGGGCCCAAGGGCCACTTGCCGGGATGCCTTTGCAAGGCGGGCGAAACAGAGATCAATTCGACTTGGGACCGAGCTGAAACCATGTTCACTTGCTCACTTCCTGAGTTCCTGGACTTCATACTTTTTGGGAAGCCCAGTTTGGTGGTATGTGAAAAGTTTGGACTTGCACACGTAAGAGCAGTCTTACGCCCAAAGAAGAACATGGTCCTTGTGGCTTTTTGGTAGCGGATCTTTGGACTTTAGCTTGTTGGTCGAAACTTTGTGGAGTTTTCAGAGGGACCCACACAATGTGGTACACTTGTGGCAGAGGGGTCAACAGCAACCAAGGACTGAGCGGACTGGATGTGGGAAAATAACTTGCCAAAACTGGACATATGGGAACCCTTCCTGTAGCAAATGACCCCTTGCCATGGGGCCTGAGCTCTGATTGATCTCCACTTGGTGTGCTGGTTACGATCTCGATGTCATCTTTAGGCCCATACTGTAGACTTGCAAAAGGTTTGACTTTCTTTTGCATTTGCAAAACAAGTGAGCACAGCTTCACAAACGTTGAGGATCCTAGTAGCACATGCATCACATGCTTCCTTTTGGGTTCACACCATCCAGATCACCAACCATTAAACCAGCCTCGCCCGGTCGGGACTAGCCCGGGTGGCCTTCAGTTGCTAGCGCTCAAGACAAGTGGGTTCAGGGATGCGGGGCTTGGTGCCTTTTGGTTTGGCTTTGGGTTTGGCTTTTGGGTTTGGGTTATTTTTTCAAGTTCGGATCTGTCCCATATGCATTTAAGCTCGGACGCGCCAGGCCTGTCGCGCTGGCTCCTCGGAGAGTGCCCAATTCTTTGGGCTTCGTGCTTTAGCCATCAAGGACTGTTCTTGGAGGTTCTGTGTTCCTTTGGTTTCATTCTAAGAGGTTCTCAAAATCAGTTAGGGTTGTTTCCCAGATAAACCACTTGAGGATGTCACTTTCATGGGTCCGGTTGACCATTGGCCGATTGGTTGTGGCAAGAACACGTCAAAACCAGGCGCTGGCCCAACCCTACTTTTAGCCGCAAACAACAAGGCAAACTCCACTTGGGAGACCTATGATTGGGTTACCCAGCTAACCACTTTCCAACTTGGCCGAACAAGGGGTAGTATCAGGCACGGAGAAATTGCAAGCCAATGTTCTGTGATCATGAGGTAGCTAAGTTTGGTTCGCGTCTCACTAGCTCATTTTGACTAGTCGGCCCTCTAGCAACTTGCTCAGTGTCACTGGAAGGGATCCGATTCTTTTTGCTGAAAGCCAAAGTTTTAAGGGAAGCAGCTCTTTTTGTTTGAAGAAGCGCGGTTGGAAGGAATGGGACATCAACCCTTGAAGCTATTGTCATAGCCTTGGTCAAGACCCCCAATCTCTGTTTGGGCTCAGACGAAAACCTATCAGAGGGCCCCCACAAGGAGTTTCCTCTAGCCATTTGCAGGGAACCTCCTTTCGGTTCCAGGTTACTTTGCAGGGGTTAAAACTGCATCAAGTGACTGGTTTGAAAAAGTATTTGAGCAAATGATGAGGCATGGAGGGGCCTGGGGGGGGGGGGCAGCAGGGGGGACACATCTCGGAGGCTACTCAACATAGCATGTCCTCAACAAGGACTATTTGGAAAGCTGAAGTTGAGCCTTATTAAGCCGAAGCTAAGCAAAGCTAATACCCAGTCAGAGCTGAAACATATTGGCTATTGAAGCTGAACCAGTGCTTTTTCGGGCTCAATATGGCTTAAGTCAAGCTTACCAATTTCAGTGTTTCCCTATGTAAAAGACCGGTCAATTATGGCTTCCTAACTTTGGAACCGTGAGATGTGGAGATTTCTTTGGGCCCTTCCTGATGACCAAGCCTCGTTGTGCGGCTTTCTTTGGTTTCCTGATCGCGAATGGATTCTGAGCTACCAGCGGAGCACGCTTTGGAACTTTGGTTTGAGCTTTGCTTTGCAGGGGCCAAGTTCCGACCCCAACGTCGGAGTAGACCGGCAACAGTTTCCTTTTGGTTTTTTGTTAAAGGGGTATCTTTTTTTTAGCTTGGACCACACTTGGACCAAACTTCCTCTCATTTTCAGTAGTGACCCCATCATTAAACAGGGGTTCAACATGGCACCATCGAGACACCGCCCGGGTCTCACAAAACCACGGGAGCCCCGGCGGCACACCCCCGAGGGGACACATGACCAGACCCCAACTCGCCCAGAAACGCTTGGCGTGAGCAGCTTCGGCTGTGGAGCATGTGGCAGTGGCTGTGGCGGCGGCTGCGGCGGCTGCGGCGGCTGCGGCGGCTGCGGCGGCTGCGGCGGCTGCGGCGGCTGCGGCTGCGGGGGGGCGGCGGCTGCGGCGGCTGCGGCGGCGGCGGCTACGGCGGTGGTGGCGGAGGTAGTGGTGGCACACCGCTTTACGATAGCCGCGACGACGGCAAAGAAATTGTGAGAGTCGTGAAGAACCATCTTCCAGGGCCGCTCGTCTGCATGGGAACCGGGGCAAATCAGCAAGTTCTAGTTCCCTCTAAAGAATCAAACTCAGAGACCCATGATGAAGCTTTGCTAGGGATTCCCATGGTTGTCGTTGGGAAGCATTTTACATTTTTGCTTCTTGAGGCTTAGTGGGAAATCCAACCCCTTATCTGCTAACAAATTATTTGTTTGCTCCCCTTCCAACGGCAACCAAGATTCCCTGTCCTGCTTGCAGTACCCATTGGGTGCGAAGATTGGATAGGCTGAGGGCCACCACTCCAGAACCTTCGAGAGAAAAGCTGGCGACTGAGGGGTAGAAGTTTGGTTCGGAGTCGGTTCAGCGGCCATGTTTCTTGTGTTTCGTTGAGTGTACGAAACCACCATTTCTTGGTGGTTCCCAGCCTTCACATTTTTGTTCATTAAGTTTTTGGGGCTTAGTGGTTGGGTTTCCATTTCACCCACTAAAAGCTGAGCTTTTAGCAGGGGATCAGACAACGGCCAGCCCATATTTGGTTGACTGACACGGAGAATGCCGGGGTTTCGGGCGACGCAACCCCTCCACGATCGATCGCATCGAGCTCTGGAGGTGCCTGTGCAAAGAATGCCAGCGCCTTGTCCTGATTCAGTCTCGCCCGGATCGATCGAAGACCTGGAGCCACGGGACCCTTCGGTGGATGCGAAATTTGCCCGGAAAAGGCACTATCAACCACTGGTGAGGTCCCCTACTAAAGATATGATCAGCATGGCTGCTTCCTGACTTGGAGCTTTGCTGTGCTCAACACCCTCAACGATCGCTTGACATCCTTGCCACCCGCTTGCTGATTGTCCTACTACCACGCCAGAGAACCCAACCTTTCAGTGGTTGGAAGGTTGTCAAATGGCCATTCCCCTCACCCCTGAAGCATGTTTACAGATGCCACCAGTTGGAATCGCTTCCTTCCATCTTCACTTTGCAGAAGGCTGAGCTTGAAGTTTTGAGACTGTCTTGGACCAAGTGTGGGGACCCTCATGCAGCCACACTCGGATCCTTCAATTCATTCGAGGCAAGGATCCATGATCCGAACAATTCCGGGCATGCTTGCCAGCATCAAGCGCACGAGGGATGACTATCATTCTAGGTTCTTTTCAAAAACCGGCTGTTTCCCTGCTTTTTGATGGTTTCCTGAAAGATTCGGATCCCTGGAAAGAATGGAATTGCAAGGTACTCCTAGAATCATGAGGACCGGCATGGGTGATGCGAACGCGGGTGCCTAGTGAGCGCCGCCCAAAGCCTCACTTGCCCAATGGAAGGGGTTCTACCTGGTTTCATTGAAGTATGGCGAAACCTATAATGATGTTTTACTCAAAAAATCGGGGGCCAACATCTTTTTGTGGTTTGCATGTGGTTTCCTTTTCTAAACCAACCCAATAGGGGTACCCTCAAAAAGGACGGGCCCACATACCCTTTACATCATCTTGATTCATCACCTCTATATTCCCTCTCGATGTTTCCTTTACTTTCCCTCACCGGCAAGTAGCCTTCTCTTTTTGCAGGGGTCTAAGTAGCCTGGACTTACAGATTTCGACTAGGTTCTTTTTTGGGGGGCGTGTAAAGGGGATACACCGGGAGCTAAAGAAGGGATATGGTCCTATTGCATGTTCAAAGCCAAATCTCCAAGGATTTGCGGATTGCGGATTGCGCATGGGTGTGCATGATGTTTCCATGCTCCAGCAGAAGGTTTTGACTCACAAGTTTGAAATTATCATTGCAGTTGTTTGTTTGAGGTCTGTCTTTGGATCTCTAGGGAAGTAGCCTGCTCAATTCCACTTCACCAAGTGGGTAACCTGCCCGCCCAAGCGTGGGGTGAACTCAAGTGAACGGGGCTCTTACAAGGTTATAGCCTCGGGGAGCAACATGCCCTGGCAACGAAGACCCAAGCTGCGGTGAACTTCTTCAGCAAAATCCACGTTTAACCCCTTCCACCATGTTATATTTAAATCCCAACAAAATGTGTTTGCTTTGACGGGACGTTGTCTTCCCCCTTTCACCCCTCAAATCGCAGGACCTCAGCACGACAACGGAATAATTAGACGCATGATTCTTTCATCATGACTAACTCGTTTGTTTACAGTCGGCCACACTACAGGGCGGGGAGGGGTCTATAATTATTCAGTCCCTTCTTCTAGTAGCATCCAGGATTACTCCATCTGGTGGATTTATAAGAGTGTGCTTTCCCCCAAAAGTGATCCGAACTTCCTTTTCAACTGGGCAACTCCCGATCAAAATCAAGCCGGGGTGAATTATCCGCGGGTTCGTTTGATCAGGAGGGGTTACTGCTGGTAAGTTGTTTTCCGACCAAATCTTGAGAGCCTAGCAATGTAAGTGGCCAAATCATTGCTATAAACATGTTGCCACTATAGTCATGCCTAAATATGCTGGCTTACTAGTCTACCACTTTTCTCATAACGTAGGCTTTGGTAGAGGCTTAATTTAAGAACCCTTCTTGTCCAAACCACGGATTCGGCTTCAAACCAGATTTGAACAAGTCCCTGGCTCTTGTAGAGGGTGAATGGGACATTCCTCAACCACCAGACCACTCAAACCACCAAACAACAGGGAAGCTGAAAGCTGACTGGCGATGCTGAAACCGCCGGTTCTCGGCTCCAAACCACGAGGGAAGTTCCTATCCACTTGGATTTCTCCAACACCAAGTCAGCCCTGCTTTCTGCCACAGCAATTAAGTCACAATCAAAACCGATTCGGGCAGATGATCCAGTTAGCAAGGGACGATCCCCTTGCCATAAATAGCTGCGGAATTCCGCCTTCTTAGTCCTGTACATGGTGTTGGGTAGATAATTTTAGTATTAGGTTTTGATTGCGACTCAATTGAACCACTGCCACCAGTCTGCCAACAAGTCAGCCCTTCCCTTTCCGGCGGCAATTGAACCACTGCCGGTCGTCCGAGGGAAGCCTCTCAATTGGTCCCCCAGTGCCCTTCCTCACCCTTTTTGGTGGGGAGGGTTTTTCTACTGAAATAAACAGGGAGGGTTCCTCTACTAGATATAGACTGCAGGAAAAAATCGGGTACCCTTCTTCTAACCTCTCTACTGGACCTAGTCTCCAACCCTCGGGACGCCTCGCAGGTCCATGCTGGAAGACGCCCCGCTGGGCTGCGGCCCCGCCATGGCCGCGTCCCTCGCCGCCGCCGCGGCCGCCGCGGCCCCGCGGCTTCCGAGTCGGGGTCCGTCGGAAGACGTGGCCGACGTTTGGGCGGCCATGGGGCAAAAAGGCGAGGCCCCCCCCCCGTTTGCCGGTCTCATGAGTTGATTTTGAAGGTGGATCTTGATGTGTGCGGCTCGTCCATTGTGTGAGGGCATCCCTTGATTGGTGGTTTTGACGGGAAGCCAAGAGGAACACCACCATTTGGGGGGTCCCCCGAAAAAAGAGACACCCATGTGACCCACTTGCAGGCCAACCGGCCAACCCCAAGTTACTGTTGATTGTCCATGGTGCTTTTCCAGTAGTGGTGTTGTTGATTTTTGGTTGTTCCCTACATCTGCAATCATTTTTGCAAGGTTTCTTGGCAGTGTCCCTGCATTTCTGTGTTTGAGTGGTATTGAGCAGGGGAAGTCCAAAAGCGGGCGGTGAACTTACTGCAGCAATTGCAGCTGCTGCTCACTTGCGGCAAAGCGATGCTGATTGACTTGTGGATCCCTTAGGTCAGGTTTGCGCCAGGTTCGCTGCTGAGAGCATGGCACTTTGGACAAACCCATGGCTGTGGGTCACAAGAAAGGTTGCAAGCAGGTTAGTCAACTTGGTAATCGGATGAAAGGTCAATCATGTATTCCGAACGGAGTCCATTTTTTCCAGCTGTTTGGACACAGATGCGCGTGTGATGCCGTTGGCTGTCGCACAAAGTCAAAGAGGGGGGGGAACCTGCAAAACACTTGCGAGACTTTGAGATCTGAGACTTTGAAATTTGATCAGCCTTTGTTGCTTTGTTGTTGATTGTTTTCTCCGCAGTCCACCAGAGCATGACTCACTCGTTGCCGGTCTCAGATCGATCTGAAGCGGAGTGGAGCCAATTGTTCGAATTAGGCCAATCCGGATCCCGATTGACGTTCCTCACCAAAGAGCATCCAACCCCGGGCCCAAAGACACCTCCTAGGTCCCCCAGTAGTGCCCTTTCCCCTTTTTGTTGGGAGGGTCCCCTACTAAAATAGACTACAGAACAAAAGGGTACCCTTATTCTAACCTCTCTACTGGAGGACCTAGCAAGCCTTTGTTTTTGTTTAAGGCTTGCGACGAGTAAATTCTCATTGAGCCACCGCATCGCTGAGGTCTCGGACTGGTGGGGAAGCGATGGTAACTGGTGGGACGACTGGTGGGACGATGGTAGCTGGTGGGCAGGCCACGCTGGGCGGTTGGCGGGGGTCAGGGTCAAGACTACTCGGAGGAATTTCCTTGCATTGACACAGTTATAGCCTAAGTTATAGCGTGTACGATTGGAAATCCAACACGTGTTTGCCTTGATTCCGGTCAGTTTTGAACGCCATCACCAGCACCCCCATGTTTGGACATGCAAACAAGCAGTTGGGGGGAGGGGGGGTGGCAGGGGATCCCTAGTTTTGGGAATCACATATGGGTGTGGCTCAAAATTAAACAGGAAGGGGTTACGCAGGTTTTGGTCCATGTTGGCACCGGTTTTTGAGCCACAGCCATATTTTGTATTTTGAAGATACGACTGCTCCGAGACTCTACCAGATCAGCACTCAGTAGAATCTCAGGCGAAAGTCGATTGAACCGTTTGTCGGGTCTTGGGAGCCCACCCTCACCTATAGCGGAAGTTTGGCAGACAAGGACAGATCCGTGGGTGGACGAAATCCATATGGTGAAACCCTTTTTTCATAATGGGATAAACCACCTGCCAACTGGTGTAGGATTTTGTCCATCCACAGTATGGGCCCCCACAACGCAATAATTGCTCCTAGAACCTTCTTAGAGGGGTTCTTAGGAGAGTTCTGAGAACCATTCTTGTGGCTAGGGGGGCCACAATGATTACATAACCCTAGAGATGATTTTCTGGGCCGATATGATTTGAGTTTCCTCAGAGCGGGGCAATGTTTTCAAAGGGATGCACAGTTCGCACCCACACTTTGCCTTGTCTGTTGCCTTTTGTGTGACCCCATGATGGCTTGAGACCCAGTGGCCCCCTGTGACATCACACGCTTGTGCTTGATTGGGCGTCCCTACAATGTTCTTCGACACTATGATGGTTCCTGTTAAGCATTCCATGACACACTGGCCCAAGGAGTTTTGACACCTGTGACACAAAGCATCCTGAGGGGCCCTTTTCTGAGGCAGCGCTTTGAGAACCAGATGTTATGTTTCACTGGGCGCAAGAAGCGGAAGCTCTTAGGTGGCACTCCTTTTTTTGTTGCACTAAACATGCTGAAGTTGAGGTATGCCGTCCAGAAAAAGGGAGTCCTGAATTCATCAGCAGCTGAGCCCCAAAACGAACTGGTGGCTGTCCAGAAACACGCTGGAATACTTTGGTGCATTTTGCTTGGATGTTAGGACTTGAGAACTTTTTGCCAACGCATGGATTTTCCATCACACCACTAAAAGTTAGTCAAACTTTGAGCAGGGGAGCAGAAAGCAACCGAGTCGCTAACTTGAGCTGTGACTCGGAGGAAGAACCTGGGCGACGTATTCGGGGCTCAGGTAAGCCCCTCCCCTAGGGACACCTTCTTTCCAATCGGTTGTCGCAGTTGTGTTCTTTCCAATCTGTGCGATAGGGAATCTGCCGTCAGGCTGGGACGACGGCTGGGGCATGGGCGCCTCCATGGGACCCCCGGCCGCGTGCGGCGAGTGGGGAGGCGAGATCAGTTCGGTCCATGGGAGCCACGTGTCCGAGGCGTTCGCCTTGGAGTAAAACGAGGTTTTCCAGTAGTGCCCTTTCTCACCCTTTTTTTGGGGGAGGGTTCCCCTACTAAAATAGACAGAAAAAGATCGGGTACCCTTGTTCGAACCTCTCAAATCTGGAGGACCTAGAAAAGGACACCAGAAGGAACACGTTGAACACCTGCATTTGTTTGCAGAGAAAATGTCCGGCGAGCTCAGTTAAAACGAGCCTTCGACGAAGATCCCTTTCTTGGGGATAAGAATTTGCAGATTGGTCGGGTTCGACAAAATGGTTCCCTGAAGTTTGGCCCCAAAGTGTGACTCAGTTGTCCCATGTCAATGTCTTTGTGTGGAAGCAAGGAATTTGACCATGCCTCATACGGGTGTCTGAACATATTGCGGCACTTGGAGGGTAGGCTTTCGAATGGGTCTTAGGTGCTTCCTTTGCCAGTTGCAGCTTCGCACGCTCTACATTGCACGCTGGTCACCGATGCAAAGCTGGGTTCTAAATAGCCCATGTTCTTTGCGCTTTCCAAAGAAAACCAATAGGAAACGGGCAATGTTTTTAGTTTTTGTTCTCCAGACGCCGCCCCACAAAAGAACACTCATCTGCCTTTGGGTTTTCTCTAAAGCAACGCCCCAAAAGGACACCCCTTCGCATTCAACACCCATACTGTGGATGGACGAACTCCTGCATCACTTTGAAACCATGAGCAACCAGGAGAAACCATTATAGCTTGGTATTTGCAGTGGAATCGAATCATTCCACTGTTTGTCAGGTGGTGCGAAATGGATGTCGTCCATCCCCAGTGAGCATCCCAATCCCAACTAAACTAGACTAAAATGGGTAGTGCATCTACCCCAAAATGGTACCATTGGTTTTGACCCACAGCCATATTTTTTGCCATGGACGTCCGTCTTAGCCTCTGCGACTTCGATACGAAAGCCGCCAGGATGGGAAGGCCCGTCCGGTGCGCAGCCCGTGCAGCGGGGCCGGCGGAAGTTGAGAAGCGAGTCTCGGGCTGTCCTACCGTTGCCCTTACCAACTGGTCCGAAACCGAACTTAAGAATGGATTGCATGTTTACCTGGGGCTGCAAGAACCTGTAAAGATGTCGTACCCTGATTACAGCATCGTGTTTTTTCTTGATTGTCTGAAAACATTGTGTATTCAGGAAAGCAACATTGTGATTTTCATAAACTATAGTTGTTGTTTTCATTTCGTGGCCGGAGCCAAGATAAAGGTTTGAACTTGTAAGCCCTCGGAATTTGAACCGGTAGGCTGAAAGTGCACATCGTGTGTGTGTGTGTGGTGTCTGTAAGTTTGCGTCTGGAGGTACCCCCTGTCTCTGGCACACACACACACACATTCGAGGGATTGTCAAGCTTACTTTTGAGACCCGGGGTTTTCCTCTAAATCGCCATTTAGAGAATCGCCATTTAGAGAATACATTGCCAATCCAAAGACACAGTAGGCCCCCCTCTTTTCCCTTTTGATTGCGCTCCCAACTCACATTGAAGGAAGACGAATTTCCCCTTACAAACGGAAGATTGCGCACCAAGCCATGTTTGGTGGTGAGGGTAGCTTTCCCTTGCAGAGCGATGTGGGGATGAGGGTACCTCTTTTTGGTTGGTCTGAAAAGGAAACCAAAAGGAAAACCATCAGTTTGGGGGTCCCTGAAAAACACACACGCACACACAATCCCTCACTCACTCACTCACTCACTCACTCACCCACCCACCCACCCACCCACCCACCCACCCACCCACCCACGCACGCACGCACGCACGCACTCACCTCACTCACTCACTCACTCACTCACTCACTCACCCATCCACCCACCCGCCCACGCACGCACGCACGCACGCACTCACCTCACTCACTCACTCACTCACTCGCTCGCTCGCTCGCTCGCTCCCTCCCTCACCCACCCACCCACCCACGCACGCACGCACGCACGCACGCACTCTTATTCACTCGCTCACTCACTCACTCACTCGCTCACTCACTCACTCGCTCCCTCACTCGCTCCCTCACTCACTCACTCGCTCACTCCCTCACTCACCCACCCACCCACCCACCCACGCACGCACGCACGCACGCACTTACCTTACTCACTCGCTCGCTCACTCACTCACTCGCTCCCTCACTCGCTCACTCGCTCACTCACTCTCCCACCCACCCACCCACCCACGCACGCACGCACGCACGCACTCACCTCACTCTCTCACTCGCTCACTCACTCGCTCACTCACTCGCTCCCTCACTCGCTCACTGACCCACCCACGCACGCACGCACGCACTCACCTCACTCACTCACTCACTCGCTTACTCACTCACTCACTCGCTCACTCGCTCACTCACCCACCCACCCACGCACGCACGCACGCACGCACACACGCACTCACCTCACTCACTCACTCACTCGCTCACTCACTCACTCGCTCACTCGCTTGCTCACCCACCCACCCACCCACGCACGCACGCACGCACGCACTCACCTCACTCACTCACTCTCTCACTCACTCGCTCACTCCCTCGCTCACTCACCCACCCACCCACCCACGCACGCACGCACGCACTCACCTCACTCACTCACTCACTCGCTCGCTCACTCGCTCACCCACCCACCCACCCACCCACGCACGCACGCACGCACGCACGCGCTCACCTCGCTCACTCACTCGCTCACTCACTCACTCACTCGCTCGCTCACTCACTCACTCACTCGCACGCATGTTTGCGCGCGTGCCAGGACTTTGCCGGCGCTGCAGGGCCCGGGCGACCTTCTGGACCGGGCAGAGTGGGTGTTTCCGCGGGATCGTCGGGGAAAGAATGTGCATTTTGCCACGGGATGTTAGGACTGAACAACTTTTTGCCAACGAATTTGGGTTTTCCACTAAACCACGAAAAGTTAAACTTTTAGCAGGGGAGCAGAAAGCAACGGAAACATGTGCTTTGCGCAAGCCAACTCAACTTCGCCGAGGTGAAAAGAAGAAACTTACATGCAGCTTGGCTACTCTGAAGCTACCTGTTGGACAACCAGCGCCCGAAGGGTCCTAAAAAAGTTCCCTTTGCGCGTGATTCAAACATCACCTTTTGGTGGCCACTTTGAGATCAGCAGCTCCTGGCACAAGGGAAATTCTTGTGCCAGGGTGTGAACAACCAACCCAGGCAGGGGAGCTGTCAGGGCCCTTACCACCCTCCCCAAAAGACCCCCAGCCTGATTGGGAGGGAATGAGGCCAACAAACAAGCTAAATAAGGCCAACTAAGGTATACCTTGTCGGTTCGGGGAACGACAGTACATCTCTGATCCGCGAGGATGAAGTGAACAAGTTCTGCGACAAGTACGTGGCTTGGAGCTGACGTCAAGAAACACCCAAGCCGTACCCAGACACCCAGTGCCCACCTTTTTCTAATTGGATTTGGAACGAGTTTCCCTTCAACCCTGCCAGAAATCGGAGCCAAGGATTTGTCGGATGATCACCGGAGACTGGTCGCGAACTCGCTCAGCAAGCGCCTCGGTTGAAAAGCATGGCTCAACGAGCCATGGGAGGCTCGTTGATTTTTTGTTCCAAGTTAAATTTAGGCGGGTCGTTGTGTTTCTGATCAATTGCTGTTGCTTGATGTTTGACATCTCCAGTGGCCAAGGCTTCATTTGTACGACAGTTAGGAAGGTTTGAGGTACAGGGGCATGTAGAACCAGCAAGCACACATGGCATCCAACAAGGATATTTGAGACAATTTGGTGGATGCACCATACAACCTTGTGGTAGAAGAGGCAGAAGCCGTTGCAACACTGGAACTCTTTGCCCGTCCGAGTATTTGCCAAGAGGTCAAAGACCGGTTGATCGGCCCCTTACTGGACCATGCTTCAGGCTTGGGGAATCAATTCGTAGAGTCAAGGCCTGCAATGTCCTCCCACGTTGCCATGCAAGCTGACTGGACACTAGAGACCCTTGGCCCATGTTCTCCAAGGGACCGCTCGCATCCATGTAAGTGCGAGGAAGATAATATTCATTCCCGTTCATAGCATGCTGACCCAGACATACAACCCCACTGGTTGATTGGTAGGGGGTTCTCGTTTTAGAGGGGAACCCCAATCAATCGAACTCGTGGTTTTCACGAATTCGCATGACGACACGGGTGTGTTATATGTAATATAAGTACGTATGTGTGTGGGCCTTCTTTTCGGGGATACTATGAAAGGGAAACCAACTGGAAAACCGCGCATGTTGGGTTTTCGTCATTTAGAGACCTCACGTACCAGTGTTTGTGCCTTCAAGGTTGAATTCAGATTCTTCCCTCGGCTCAGTTGGTGAAGTATCATCCAACGAGACACTATCCCATTGCAATTGGTTAAGTATTTCAGATTTTGATGTTCAGTTGTCACCGTCAGAAAATACGGTCAGTTCCCTTAAACCTACCAATTGAAATGGGTGACTTTCACAACAAGTGAATTCTCGAGGCAACAACTTATACTATGTTTAGCGATTCACTCAGGAAGTGTGCCTTTGGTAAAGATAATGGTGGCCCATCAACTGGGTTCGAACTACGGCCCAGAAGCTAATGTGTTTCAGCTTGACTGGCCGGGAAAAAAACAAGCAGTCAACTGTTTGACCCTTTGCTGAATATAAGACCCCCGCCAAAAAAGTGCCCTTTGCAAAGCCTCTGATCTCCTGGAGACATTCCTCGGAGTCTACCCTCGTGCCACGGAGCGTTGCGACCGATTCAAAGGCAGAGCCAAATGGCTTCCCACGGCGTGTGGTTTTCCTGAGCCTTTTGAGGGCAAATCAGGAAAGAGACCAAATGGGGTTTTCCTCATTTTCCTAATACTAAGTTTCCTCATTTTCCTCATTTTCCTAAGTTCTTCTTGAGCCTTTTCCTCATTTTCCTAAGTTTCCTCAAGAAATTCCTCAATCCTGAACATGTTCTGCACATGGTTGAGGAGCATGCGACAGCATGTTCCACCTTCGAGGCATGGATTGGACCCCACTAGTCAGATGTTGGCAAGCCAGGAAGCCAAAAGCCTTCCAATACACAGATGTGGTAATCACTCCGACCAACCAGATTTGCTGACCACACCACACACAGACACACATGTGTCCCGAAGAGGGTACACCTGAAACATGAAGCAACCCTTTGTAACAGCTGGTACAGGTGGTGGTTAACTTAGCCAAGATGCATCTTTCAACCCGAACACATCCTTTTCGGGATTGTAGAGACAGCTTTTTCGGGACACCACATGTTTTTGTGGGTCCCCCATTTGGTGATCCCAAAACCCATGGTTGTGGGAAAAAAAATTAGGCACCCCCACTTTCTGTGATCCCCCCAAGGACAGCACGAAAAACGCCAAAGTGACAAGAGAAGTCAATGAAAGAAGAGGCCTCACCTCACCCATTCTTTACCTATCTATGACTCGGCTTCGACTTCCAGTGGGGATGGATACATCCCCTTCTTGAGCATCAAAAAAGGAGGGGACTTGGCTGTGGGTCAAAACCAATGGTATCCCATTTTGGGGTAGGTGAATTCACCACCCATTTTAGTTTATAGTGCTTGGATTGGGTCCCGTTCACTGGGGGGTAGCCGATTTGGCTTTTGACCCATGGCCATACATATACAATAATGTATATATACGTGTGGCCACCGCAGTATATGTTTATATACACACCACCCATTCAGCCCTGCAAGGACGAACCTTGTGCCATTTGGTCCCAGCTCAGGTGCGGCGAGCTTTGGGTCCACGACCTCAAAGAGCTGGACCATGCGCTGGGCAAGGCGGGCGAGCGGAGAGAAAGAGAGCGAACGAGATCGCCTTGAGTGTTGGTCTGGGAGATCAAGGTTCCATTTGCTTAAGCATTTATCTGTTTTGTTTTCCCTTGCCTTTTTTTGTTTTGTTTCGTTTTTGTTTTTTGTAAGGGAATCTATGACTACTCCAAGTTGTTCCCTTGGTCTTCCAAGGGCCGGAAAGGGGCATGCTTGTTCAGGGTCCTGGAAGATCAAGGTTCCATTTGCTTCAGCATGAATATGTGTTGTGGTCCCTTGCCGTTTTTTGTTTTTTGTTTAATTAGAAACACTATGACTACTCCAAGTTGTTCCCTTGGTCTTCCAAGGGCCCGAAAGAGGCATGCTTGTTCAGGGTCCTGGAAGATCAAGGTTCCATTTGCTTAAGCATGTATATGTGTTGTGGTCCCTTGCCTTTTTTTGTGTGTGTTTTTGTTTCGTTTTTGTTTTTGTAAGGGAATCTATCACTACTCCAAGTTGTTCCCTTGGTCTTCCAAGGGCCCGAAAGGGGCATGCTTGTTCAGGGTCCTGGAAGATCAAGGTTCCATTTGCTTAAGCATGTTTTCCCTTGCCTGTGTTTTTTTTTTTTTGTGTGTGTGTTTTTGTTTCGTTGCTTTTTTTTGTAAGGGAATCTATCACTACTCCAAGTTGTTCCCTTGGTCTCGGAAGGACCCGAAAGGACAGGGCCCTTCTTGGATTTGCTTTTGCTGCTTTTTTTGAGGGGTTCCATTTGCTTAAGCATTCATATGTGTGTTTGTTTTCCCTTGCCTGTTGTTGGTTTTAAAGGGAATCTAGAATCTACTCCAAGTATGTTGTTGTTGTTTTTTTTTCTGCAGGGCTCAGTTTCCTATGGTTGGGGCTTTTCGATCATGGCCCCCAGATTTGTTTTTGAGAAACCCTGTCGTGATCGCCAAAATGGTTGGCTTACTCTTAGCTTTCCTGCAAAATCAGCCCTGCGACCGATGGGGTTTTGTTTGGGTGAGAGCCCAACCATGCAAGGACTGCCGGGCACATCGGGAGTCAGTCGACGAATGCGGTTTGAATCGAAAACCATGCAAGTGTTCTACGGGCTCCCTGTCTTCATCACACTGTCTCCGGACGAGAAGCACTGTGGAATGATGACGGACCCGGCGTTTGCCCATATGGATGGTACAGCCAGCTTTGGCTTGCGGGAGAAGCCGTGGCTCGACACAGTGATTCCAGGGCAGCTTCCTGCGTATGCGGCTGGGTGCCGTGAAGTGGTTGATCCAGGGAGGGGAGATTTCGACTGGGGATCTTCATGAGTTTCATGTTCCATTCTGGTGGGAAAAAACCAAAAAAAAACATGGAATTCGGATCGTCAGACAATTCCGAAGGGTGTCCTTTCGGCTTCCCTTCAATGCCAGGCGGTGATAATTCTTGACATGTTGAGCCGTTGCGCCTCCTTTCCTTTTTTTTGAAAACAAAGCCCTGGACTCGTTTGCAGAAGCCAAGCTAAATTGGTGCTCGTGGCCTTGTTTCTTGAAGGTTGAAAGGGAGTGGTCATGTTTGGCACTTGGAGGTGTATAGGGAAGTGTTCCTATGGCAGGTACGTAGTCCACGCCTTTTTGATCGCACCATGCAGAACCTGTGAACTTGGAGTCATTGTCCAGAAAACACCTTGGAGACCTTCCAGCTGTCCCTTTTTGGTTCGGAAAGCTTGGCTTTCCTTTGATTTCTTTGCTTCCAAAAGGAATACCTATAGGTTTATGTGTTTAGTTGCGTAGCAGGTGGCTGGAAGGGAGCCAAGGAGCCGCAGGTATCCAAAGTTTCCATGAAAAACAGAGCTAAGGCGCTACTAGGCGTCCTGCGAGGACATGGTAGTTGGGGTATTGACCCCAGCCCAGGACCACCCCAACCCCCCCCCCCAAACAACCCCCGTCACAGGCTCGGAGCCCGCAGAGTCTGCTGCCCACCCGGCTCCGGGAACTCGAGGCGTTGCGGGGCTTCATGACCAAGGCGCGGCATCGGGGCCGTGCGGTGCCGTGGTTCTCAGCGAAGGAGTTGAAACATAGGCGTCCTTTTTGGTTGGCTTGCTGAACAAATAGAGGGCGATTCCTGGTGTAGATGGGGTTTATTCTATTTACCAGGCCATGAGTTGGAGGGACCGCGAAGTACACCTGTTTCTATGGTCTCCTTGAGGGAATCCCCAGGTTCATTCCCAGCACCCGGAAGGTCATTCCCTACTGAGCACCAGCAAGTTGGTTCAGCTTCCCGGGCGATGTTAGGGGATCTCAAAACGAGTTCTACAGAACAGTGACGGGTTGTTTTATATTGTTCGGGTAGACGGAAAATCTGATTCAGCGTGCAAATATATGGGCGTGTCGTTTTTGGTGCCCCTTGAAAACCACAAAAAAAAAGGGACTGATGTCGCTGTCTGTACCGCTGTGGGCCAAGGATTGGTCCTCAGTGTCCGGTAGACGTTTGGGTCTTCAACCGCAAGGGTTCCGCGGGTCAGAGCTACGAGTTCGGTTGTCGAGCCGGTGGAGTTTGCGCCTTGAAACTTGCAGAAAACTCACTGCCAGTGCAGGGCTCCTTAAAAGAAATTCATTTTGCCGCCATTTGAAACATGGCTTTTTCCACCAAAACAAGGACACCACCACCTACAAGGCAATGTTCAGGTGTATAATGTAAGGATCCCTGCAGTGGGAGCCAGCGGACTTTAGATTATGACCAAGCAGGATTCCTGTTGAGGGCACCAGGATGGCCACACAAGGAGTGTTGATCATGGCACATAGTCAGGTTCCATGGTCCGTGTTGGTTTTCAGATGAGTTCTGTTCATACAATGTGAGCTGGTGAGTCTTGTCTTAACCCCCAGGCGAAGCAGGGCCATTTGCCCGGGTGCATGTGCCCCAACTGCAAGGCGGGAAGGGGGGTGTGGGGCGTGGGGCAAAAGGCCGCTGCGGCCCCGATACGGTGGATGCATCAAATGTGCTCCCCGCTTCTTCAGTGGCACCTCTGAACTCCGCTTAAAATAGGTACCCTTCTTTCTAATAGTCACTAGGGGCCAACCATATGTGATTGCTACAATCTATCAGAGCAACGTAGTTGGTCCACTTGGAAGTCGGGAATCCGCCATAGCGTGCGAAAAGGAACTAGTTATCAGACAATCCCGGTACCTTTTGGACGAATTAAACTGCGGAACCTGAAGGAGCCCTACTTTTAGGGAACCTGCCGGGTTCACCTTCTCCCCGCACAAGCAAGAAATCTTCCAGCGCCGCCCTTTTTTTGAGGGGCTTCCTTCGTTGCACTCCAAAACTACCTACATGTTTTAGGGTAGACGCATATAAATATGACGAAAACAAGAGTCCGAAAACGCAAGTTTGTGTGTACCTGATGTGGGTCAAGATGCAGTGAAGTCTTGGCAGCGAAAAATCAGATGCAGAGTTGTCCTTTGCTTTCAACGCAGAACTGGGTTTTCGATGTGGGTGAAGGTAGGTGACGGATTTCATGTGGATGTCGTGCAGAGTTCAGTGGAGTCCATTCAAAACGGACTCACTCCCAAAGCGGGTCACTGGGCAACCGGGGCCCGATTTATATAAGATGTTGGCCGGATGGGGACTAGAAAAGGCCTTGAATTGATCTTCGAGGAAACCAAGGCATGGATGTTTTCTTGTCCAGCACCCATCCAGGTGTAACGCTAAAAGTTCAGACCCTTGAAAAGAAAGCCCAGCAGAGTGACACAGAAAACAACATGCCCTAGGGAGCCGCAGAGAAACGGGGACTGTTTGCTGGCTTCTGGTTTGATATGCCATTCCTTCAACCATTTAGAACAACATCGTCCCACGAAGCAGCAAGCAGCTATACTTTTGCAGAAAGTCACAGACCAACCCAGACTTTAGGAACCCTCAGAAACCCCAGCCGCACTTCGGATCAAGAAATCCTCCAGTTATATCACAGGTGATCCCTCAACCATTTTGTGAGAGAACATGATTTTGGTCGATGGGTGCGGTCCCCTGGATTTATTCAGCTAGGAGCCCCTTCAGATTTTAGGGAATTCATGTCTGCCGATGCTGATGACGTTCTATCTAATCGAAGTGTATAAAGTTTGAGCTACCTTCGAGCAACTTGTTTTTCGCGAACTGAAGCAATTCCGCCAGCATGTTCGATGCATGATACTCACTTTTGGTAGATGTGGTTATATATTGCATTGTGTGGCTTTCTATGCACACTAACTACAGACCAATTAAAAGATGTTTGTAAAGTTTGAGCTCTGAGCACCTTTTGTTTGCGCTGTTTGGCATCTTTTGGGCTGACACAACCATGAATGAGCCAAAGCCACAGAGGGAACTCTGGTAGCATAGTGACAGGTTTGGTTGGAAATCCCCTCGACTCCCAATAACAAAACCGGCCAGACTTAGCAAGTTGATTCTTGTGCAAGAATAAGGCTGTCAATCAGAGAACTCCATAGAAGAGATACCAAAAGCAACACCATGAAACGCATAAAACAAAGCATGTAAGTCATCGTGAAAAGATCGCATTGCAACAATAAGGAAACACGCCTAGAGTCTCGAATTGGCAAACACTTTGACAGTTTTGGAAATACTTGCCTTTCCACACCCTCAATGCAAAATCTTGAACTGGGCAATTTCACAACTCCTTTTGACCTGAATGATGCGTCCGTCCATGCTACACTTGCGCAAAAGGCCACCCACTATGCGCACAGCTCTTCTGGCCAAAGCTTCCTGAGGCGGCCTAACTCCTTGAGATCGATGTTTTACAGTCTTCCCGCGGCGTACGGGTGGTTCTTTCTGCTGGATTCTCAGGTTCCAAAGTAAGCATTCGGCGGAAATGACGGGAGTTCTCGCCGGAACGCGTCGCCAAGAACTGAGGGATTGCTGCTTCTTTTCTCCGGGCATTCGGCGGTCCTTTCCCTGGCTCGGCATGTTTGTTGATTGTCCCAAAAGCTCGGAAACGAAACGACCGCGGCTCGATGACAGCCACCAGGACCCTCAAAATGCCAACTAAGAAGCAGCTGATTGCAACCGACACTTATGGAAGTGAATGAACTCCCTGTTTTTATGTTTATGGAATCGGTGAATTCCCTTTTTTCCTGGTTGTGGATTTGTCGAATTCCTTTTTTTACTGGTTCTGGTTAGTGACTTCCCCTGTTTTTACGGGTGCTTTGAGGCTCCAGGTGCATATAGCGCCGGGGTTCCCACAAACGCCGGTCTCAGGAGAGCTCCTTCGCGCGGGCCGTGGGCACGGAGGGCACCAGCGAGGCTAAGAGCTTGAACGCGGCGGCGCTCTTCGCGTACCAACACGAGCAGGAGAGAAAACCGAATCCGTTAGACCGTTAGACACCCGTCGGGGGGAAGAGAAGGGAGGGAGGGAGGGAGGGAGGGAGGGAGGCTACTATTCAAGGGCCCTTTTGGCTCGAAACCTGCCTGTGTTTGGGCCCTTTTGAGGCTATAGGATCCAGAAGTGACGTTAACGAAACGTTCGACCCATGGGGATGAATTTTGGTGGGGACATGAATTATTTGAGAAGTTATTGGCTTGGGTTTTTGATACTATATATACAAGTACATATATGGGTCAGACCAATGGGATTGTTCTCTTGGTGGCTCAACCAGCCATCCGGTTCCTTATCTTTTAGCCTTTATCTTTTACCCTTTTAGTGTTTAGTGGTAGTTTCCTTTGCACCCGCCAAAACAAAATCTTTTAGCAGGGGATCTGAGGGTAGCCCAGATGGGATTTGTTTCTCTTTGTGTTGTTGTGTTGTTACTTATTTGAGAATCCGTTGGCTTGGGCTTTTGACACAAGCGCAATATTTATATAGTATAATATGCATATATCGAACATATATATATATAGGTATATATGTGTATATATAATGGTACCCCCCTCGCAACACCTGGTTTTTGTTTTGGGTTTCAGCTGCATGTTAAACCAAGAAGAATGAGAAGCCCCAAACAAAACGCACAAAACAAACAAACAAAGTCACATTCCAACCATGGGGGGTAGTTGTTGTTTCTTTATTTTGTTGTGTCTTTATTTTGTTGTGTTCTCTGTGTTTGGTCTAGTGGAACTGTTGTGCAACTGGAGGATAATTCAGTTGTCAGAGGATCTCAACGGGATTCCCCTTTGCGCTCATTTGTGGGGATGAGAGGACTTCTGCTGATAGTCTCCATGTTCAACACTTCGAAGGTGAGATATGACAAGAGACTTAAACGAAAGGTAGTGAAGTTTAAAGCGCGTGTAAGAGCACATGTACTGATTGCATCGTCAGAGGAAACAAGGTTTTACAACGATGAGGAATAAACCATGGTACGACTGGTCTTCGGGCACGTAGCGGTGATTTTGTGAGTGCTGTAGATAGAAAGTATTCAGAATACCTAAAGAATAAGATTAAAAGATACACCGTGACTGCAAAGGAGTATTTGAACACTGATGAGTTCGATTAGACTGATCATATAATTATGACGTTTACGCTCTTCCATGGTATTTTCATAATGTACTTGTACCATCCTATACTCACCCCACAAAAAAACAAAAAACAAAAAAAAACAAGAACAAGGGAGACCACGCCGCGTGAAATGTAGCAATGTATGTTGGAGAACATGATATCTAAGATGATGGTGTTTTAACATCTCAACGCGATCAGTATGTGACAACACATGTATGTAGCAATTATGGGTGGAATCTATTTAAAGAGACACCTTATATATATATAATTCTGCCATAGAACAATCTATTATGCAGTTGCTGTTGGCGACGAGCATCATGTGATATTAAAGAGGTCAAGAGATAGATAACGCACCAAGACAGACAAAACACAGAAGTTAAAAGAACACGCTGTAGCTCTTGTTGTGTGATGCTGGATGTTGAACAATTTGATGAATATATACATATTGTATATATATACACATATTTATAATGCAACACGTGCAGGGCTGAAGACGAGCATATGACAAGCATAGAGACGCAATTGTAGAACAACAGCGAGAAAGACAGAACAAGCACAGAAACATGTATATATATATATAGAGAGAGAGAGAGCGAGACGCTAGATGCATTGAGAAACAAAGATATTGTGATTAAATGCCCTGTATGCAAACACGATGTGCAGAAAGGCAGCTTATCAAACATACTAATTCCAAGTTCCATGAAGTCAATTTACAGCGCGAACACAACAATGAACCTGATGAGACACACAACGGTATTGAAGCTATTGATGCAGGTAGATATTTAGTGTGCGTGGTTCTTTACAGAAAACATATCTCTTCCTTTGTTGCAACAACATAGGAACTAACAACTACAAGTTCCTGAAAATGAAATGCTGGAGCCTAAGCACAGTCCACACACAATTAAACATATGTGTTACAATATATGCAAATATATTGCAATAAGTCTGTTTATGATGCGTGTTTTATGTTTTTGCCGTTTCGTATGTTGGAATGATGCATGTTGTGGACATGTATTTTGAACTGCTCGGATTTGTTTTACTTGTTTGTTTTTGTATGCTTCTAGGTCATGTTATTGGTGTTCGTGCTGTTTGAATCTAATTAGTGGGGTTTTAGTTTGTTTGCTTCTTTGTTTCTGTTTATATGGTCTTGATGCTTGTTGAACTTGCTTTTGATGCTCAATGCGTTTGCTGTCGGTCATTTTGTTTGGTGCCGATGCTGTTCTAAACTGTTTGCTGGTTTTTAATCTGTATACTTGTTCAACATGTGCTCTAGTTGCCACATGGCGTGGCTCCCATCTGCTGTGGGGGATCTTCCGGGCTCCAGCCCCCGCAAAAAAAGCGCGGAATCAATGCTTCCCATTCCGGCTGTGGCATTGTCTTTGCTCTGCCCACTCAGGGACCGGGGTGTCTAACATTGTCCTCACAGTCTTATTTCAAACTACGCTTCGCTTACCCACGCAATGGTTCTGCAGCCGGCACTCGTGTGCTTTTTGGTTACGCCGCTTTGCGGCTTTCCTTGCTCACCCACGCAGGGGTGCAAGCCTGCCCTGCTGGCAGGCCCGCCTGCCCTGGCGGGGCGGGTCAGCCAGCCCGGTTCTTATGGCGCGGGGCGTCGTGGGGCGGTGTGAGAGGCCTGCGTTGGCCCGCTCCAAATCCAACGGGCGGCGCGTGCCTCACTTCGCCCGCTGTTAGGCTCGCCCGGAGGCTTGCTAAATAGCTTCGCTGCAGTCAGGGGGGGGCAAACGCTCGCAAAAGGGCTTGCAGGTGGCTGGAAGGAGAATGAAAGACAGTCCTGAGAGCGGCCCAAGAGCTGGCAAGCCCATAGCACTGCGCGCCAGGAACGATGGAGCCTGAGGACAGGACACCCTTCCTCGATTTGGCTATGACCTGCTGCGGTCTGTTGCAGACGCTGCGAGGCGCATGGTGGCCCGCCACGGAAGTGCTTGAAGCGCAGAGTGAAGCGGTGCTGAAGCGTAGCCAGCTCCACACACGGAAGTCAATTTTTCTTTGATTCAAGTGGGACACACACACACACGCCGGTTCAGCGCAACAAGGAGAGGAAGCAGCCCGACGTGAGCAAGTGCAAGTTGAGTATGAGGTGTTTCGCGACCGGGGTGGCCTCAAGCAGATCAGCTAGCGCACGCTGCTAAGGGCGGTTTCTGACATTGCCAAGGAGCAGATTGATTGAAGCGCTTTTTTTGTGAGTGGCTTTGTGAGGGGAAATGCAGTTGCTTTGATGTTGGTTTGAACTTGCTGTTTTGCATTGGGGATTCTTCTCATTTGGGATTTGAATGAATGCCATTGGCATGATTTCAGAAGACCAACTTCTCAAACAGGACGTAAAATCGCTAGGAGTATTTTAAGGTTGATTTAGAACGCAACTGGAGCTGCGCAAGAACATGGAGCATCTTTGTGACTTACTTGATTTCCAACTCCCAGCAGCAGTTTAGACAGGAATGAACCAATGCCCCAAGGGTTAATAAGTTAAGGGCTTGCTGGCTTTCACCACAAACGTGGAGCGAGCAAAAAAGACCAAAGCTATTACAGACACACTGAAGCTGACAAATGTTCCTTTGTGCTACTCTCACACTGGAGCTGTAAATCGCATTGCTACAAACGGATGAGACTCAAGATTTCAGCTGCTGGAAGAAGTGTCTAGGGAACCTGAATCACATGTACCTGAAAGTGGCTCTACAGCTGCGCTTCTCACGATTGAGAATTCGGACGAAAGATTCCTGTAAAAAAATGTTTCAATACACTGAAATGCAATGACATACATATATATAAATATATATATATGATTAATGTTTGGCACCCAAATTCTGCACACTTCAATGTTGAGAAGTCGCCGCTTGCGAAGCAGGTGCTTGGGGAGGGGGGGTTCTTCGCCGGAGTTCTTCGCCATTTTTTTGAAGTGAAGATTAAAGAATGAAATTTGCGCCGGAGCCCCCACGCCCTCCCCAGATAGGTCAGGAGAAAAATAACGTCGACAGGCAGTCATTTAGGCTCCCAAAGTTAGGCTCACCAGAGGGCCACGCAGGTCCTTTCATTGAGGATCCTTTATTTGGCAGTGGGTCAAAAGTAGGGTAACCTCAAAATGGAACGCCGGCAAATGGAACCAAACATTGAAACCTGCAGGTTCATGTTTGGCCCATGCCCATTTCAGGTTCTGGAATGATGGTTCTTTCCGGCGTAGGCAAAACCATGTTTCGGTTTGAGCTTCTGGAATGATGGTTGTTTCCGGCGTAGGCAAAACAATGTTTCGCTTTGAGCGTGGGGCAACATGATCCGTTAATTTGCTGTTGCCTAAGCCTCCCTAACTGAAGATATGGAAGTTCATCCTTATAGGGTACCATGGGACCCATGTGGGTTACTTGTGAAGTCTGGTTTTGGGTCAGGGTTACAATCGAGACCTCCACCATCAACGTCCTTAAGCTTTCTTTTGGGAGACTTGTGAACTGTTTAATGAACTTGCATCGCGCGGTTAAATCTGTCTCTCACACACCCAATGGGCGCACTCGGAAACTGGACACGGCTTCTACGACTTGTCTTCTAGTTTCATTCTTTGGGTGAATAATTCATGTCTCTCGTGGCGTTTTGCGGAATGTTGAACGTAATTCGTTGTTGCACATTCTGGGCGCACGAGTCATGCCGAGCCTTCCTCACAGGAGGCATTAGGAGGCCCCAGGGAGGACGAGCCGGACTTCGCTTTCGGGGACAAGAAAGGCAAGGGCAAGGCGCGGACGTTGGAGTTCCATCAGCATGTCATGACCAGAACAACCCCATCTATGCAGGCTGTATTCTTGAAAGTGCCTGAGTTGCGGCCGGTGACTTATCTTTCACCAGATTGCACCTTGTGATTGCCAATGCAAGAGCTTTATTTTGGTGGGGTGATGAAAGGGGATGTATATTTGTGTATTTGGCCAGCTTTATTGTTGGTAACCTGGGTTTCAACCCACACGCGGAGTAAACCCAGTTTAGTGTTGCTTGGGGTTTAAAGCCACGTGGCTAACCCTAAGTGACCCTTTGACGGATACCATTCCAGGGTTGTCCTTTTAACCTGTCGACCATTTGAACAAGCCCCGAGTTTAATGGAATTCCCCTTAGAGTGGCCGCAAGGGGATAATTAGATTCTAAGATGGCGTCCACCACCCCCAAACTATTACCTTTAGGGGTATAGGGGGATATGCAACCACAATATAATATACATAGAAATATATATATATATATCTACCATATAAAGGGTATATATCCTAATTTGCCCTGGGAGTAGTGGTTTGGGGGTGGTGGAACCCATGTTAAATAGATGTTGTTCTTAACGCCAGATGAATCACCCTTTTTGGCTAATAGGGCCCGATGAAAGTCCTTCTAAGTCCTGCTACTTCAGTGCGCGACAGGCTATTCGCCAAAATGACTTCAACAAGTCAAACGGAGATTCCTCCCTCAAGAATGTGTTTTTGGGAGGATTGAAACAGCCTCGGAAAATATAACCTTTTCGCCTAGAAACGGGAACCCAGGAGCCTTGAACAACCCTCAGTTGAGTAATAACCGGGTGTCGCATTCGGGCTCACCAACTTTGAGCCAACGCCCCCTTTTTTCTTGCTGGTGCGATAGGGAATCACCGAGTCCGGGTGGCTGACTGAACTGCAAGGGGATTCCCTGAAAGGAAACCGTAGGATGGATGGCTTTTCTCGGGGTCATTCCAACTCATTCCCGGCCCTTCGAACCAGCAAGATTCATGGAGGCAAAATTGGACGCATGGCCAACTTCATTTTCTAGTCTCCCAGAAGATCCTGCTCAATTCTAGGGTACGTGTTCTTTGAACGACTTGGCGGGACAAACGTACATGGAGCGCTCCTTTCTTGAACAACCAACAAATATGCCGTGCAGATTTCATATTTGTCCCGACCTCGAATGTTCAATGTGTTCAATGTGTGTTCTAAAGGCTTCATACCTGTTGGTCTATTTTCAAGACGACGATGGTCAAGTCACAAGTTGTTCCTACGTCATGGTAACCGATGGTAACCGTGGTTTGGGGGACATCTCCCTCCAGGAATTCTCTGAGTGAGGTATCAATACTTAGTCAGGGGCTGTCCCACCACGAGAAGCCTAGCTGAGGCCTTGCTGAAGGCCTTACCAAGGTCCGTTGAAGCGAGGATGGATGACCTGTCCACGTTGCCATGGAAGCGAGAGATTCTTTAAAGTAAAGTGGTCTTCCACATGAATTCAGATGTGTCTTTGATTTGCCGCCTTTCTGATGGCAACCTTTGTTACCGCGAAACTTGTCCTTTTTGGGGGAGGGTTCCCCTACTAAAATAGACTACAGAAGAAAGGGTGTCTTTATTTGAACCCCTCTACTGGAGGACCTAGTTGTTTTTTCCTTTTCCTTTTTCTCTCCTACAAACCAACCACTGGATTCTGGCTTGTTGTTCCTTTGTTTGTTTGTTTTTTTCCTGGTGGGGGGGGGGGAGGATCCTTTTGTTTTCCGCACGGCCACTGGGCATTTGGTCTTGTTTCATGGGGCGTTTCATGGGCCCCCCCCCCCCGTTCTGAGTCGTGGTTTGGTTGTCGGGGAAATGCAACGTTCCAGCTCCAGTTCCTCAAGGCTTTTTTCAACGTTACTTGGTGGGACTCCTTTTGCTGGGAGGTTGAAAGGGCCTGTGCAGGGTAACCCTTTTGGGTTGCTTTGGAGGGCACCCTTTCTGAATGGAGGGTACCGTTCTTGGATGGTTTTGAAGGGGAACGCAAGAAGCAGCACCAATTTTGAGGGACACTCCCAAATGTCAAAGAGAAGTCCGGACCAGTTTGGAGTTGTTTGGGCAAATTACAAGGCAATCACATTCCCGGTTGGCAAACTATAGCCGTTTGCACAGGTATGTTTGCTTCGGTTATTTGGCACTTTTGTGGCTTGCTAGTATGTTTGTTTGCCTGGCTTGGTTTGGTTGTTTGGTGTGGTTGCTTGTCACTTGTGTGCTTGGTTTATTGTATGTTCTTTGACTGATGTGTTGATTGTATGTTTGTGTGTGTGCGCGCCTGCTTGATTGCTTGTTTGCTAGCTTACTTGATCGATCGATCGATCTATTGATCGATTGATTTCCTGCCTGCCGGCCTGCCGGCCAGCCCTGCTTGCGGGCTTGCTTGCTTGCCTGCCTGCTCGCGTCCTTGCGTGCAAACACTTGCGCGCTTGCGTGCTTGGTTGGGTGGTTGTTTGGTTGCTTGGTTCCTTGGCTGGCTGGATGGTTTGTTTGTCAGTCGGAGAGTGGTCGCGTTCCTGGCCGGCTGTCTTGCTTGATTGCTTGCTTGCTTGCTTGCTTGCTGTCTTCTCACCTTCTTGCCTTCTTGCCTTCGCGTGTGTGGGGGGGGGGGGGGCATTTTTGATGCTGATGTTAAAAAAAGGTTCGATGTGAACCGACTCAATTGTCTTCTATTTTAGGGAGACCAAATATGATGCAGAAACCGAAATTATCTCTACAGGTTGGTCTGTTTTTAGCCATGATGCTTTGATTGCGGACAAGTGCGGTTCCCTTTCAATCCAATCCATTCCAACCAGGAGTTGCTGTATATTGAGCCATAATCGTTTCCCCTCAATAGTAAACACTCCCCCCCAAACAAATTAATAAATAAATAAATATATTGCCTGGAAGAAGTATTGATTAGTAAGGTCCACACTTTTGCGCCAGGGGATTTCTCTGCAATCCTTGGCTCAGATGTGATTCCTTGAATGGAGGATCCAGTGATGCTTAAGGTGAACAGCTTGTTTGTCTTGTGGGCCTGCGTGCAACTGGAATCGCTCGATCTCGCAGCGAGACGGTTCAACACAAGGATTTTGCTGAATCGGATCCCGCCTGGTTGGCTTTTCCTCAAGCGGTTCCATTGAAAAGCAGTGTGTGATGGGCCCCTAGTTTACATTCTTCTCTGTCAGGTTTGAGAAACATACTTGCAGCTCAGATTCTCCCAGACAACGCTTCCTGCGCCATGAAGGTGGATGTTTACTTGCCGAGTGGGAATTGTTGCTCCATATCTCTCTCCCCGGAGAGCACAGTCAGCGCGCTGACTGCCAAAGCGCAGCAGCATTTTGACCGCCGCTTGAAGCTCACTGCGAAAGGCCTGCAGCTTGATGTGGCAGCCACGCTGAGCAGGGCTGGCTTGCAAGATGGGGACGCCGTAGACGCGGTCGTGCAGCCTTTGCAGCTGGCCGCCTCAGCAGCTGCGTTTGCCCTGGAAGTCGGCGGAGAAGTCGTGGCATGGGGCCACGGAGGCTGGGGTAGACTTGGGATACATTTTACATGTTGCATTCGTGACTCAAAGTGAAGCTAACAAAAAACTGTACATTGGGCCTATCTCTAATCCTGGAGGCTTTGGCGGAAGCTGCCGGCAGGAGCAAAAGCACCTCAGGAGCGTCCAACACATCCAAGCAGCTGCATGCGGTGGTTTTGCCGCCATCCTGGAGTCGGGAGACGTTGTGACTTGGGGTCATCCATACCTTGGCGGAGACTCCAGTCGGGGGAAGCTGCGGAACGTCCAGCGAATCCAAGCCACTGCTGGTACGTTTGCTGCCATTCTGGAATCTGGGGCAGTTGTGACTTGGGGTGATTCTGCTTGTGGCGGCGACAGCAGCCAAGTGCAAGACCAACTGAGGAACGTCTTGCATATCCAAGCAGCACAATGCGCTTTTGCCGCCATTCTTGAATCTGGAGCTGTTGTGACATGGGGCCATGCGAGAAAAGGCGGAGACAGCAGACTCCTGACAGATCGGCTAAGTAAGGTGCAGCGAATCCAAGCGACTCACCATGCATTTGCTGCCATTCTGGATTCTGGAGCTGTTGTGACTTGGGGTGATCCAGACTATGGAGGAGACAGCAGCCAGGTGCAAGACCAGTTGAGGAACATCCAGCAAATCCAAGCAACTGACTCTGCTTTTGCTGCCATCCTGGAGTCGGGAGCTGTTGTGACGTGGGGCGATCCAATCCAGGGCGGAGACTCCGGTCGGGTACAAGGGAAGCTGCGGAACGTCCAGCGCATCCAAGCCACTGCTGGTGCGTTTGCTGCCATTCTGGAATCTGGGGCAGTTGTGACTTGGGGTGATTCTGCTTGTGGCGGCGACAGCAGCCAAGTGCAAGACCAACTGAGGAACGTCTTGCATATCCAAGCAGCACAATGCGCTTTTGCCGCCATTCTTGAATCTGGAGCTGTTGTGACCTGGGGTGATGCTGCTTGTGGCGGAGACAGCAGCCAAGTGCAGGACCATTTGAGGAACGTCATGCATATCCAAGCAGCGCGATCGGGTGCTTTTGCTGCCATTCTTGAATCTGGAGCTGTTGTGACATGGGGTGATCCTGGTTGTGGCGGAGACAGCAGCCGGGTGCAAGGTCTGTTGAGAAACGTCACGCATATTCAAGCAACTCGTCATGCTTTTGCTGCCATCCTGGAGTCTGGAGCTGTTGTGACATGGGGAAATTCTGCTTATGGCGGATTTTGCAAACAAGTGCAAGACCAGTTGCAGGTCCGGCAGATCTAAAGGGCCAGCACTACTTTTGTCGCCACTCAAGCGCTTTAGACTTGTATGTCTCTGCACGCAGCCGAAACATGTCCTGAAATGGAAGCCGTTCTCCCAAAGGGACGAGTGCACCAACGCATGTTTGTTGGTGGGCGAGTGACTCATTGGACAAACGAGGGGGTGGTCCCCCTGACCACAAATCGCGCTTCCTATTGGAGGCATGGAAGCCAAACTTGTCGACCAACGGGCCCCGGTCCTTTTAAGACTCCTGTTTGGGACAGATATGTCTATCATCTTAGTTTGGGGCCGTTGAAAGAGTTAAACACTCACAATGTTGATGCTAGCGCAATTATTTATGTTGCAGCGCGTTGGAGAGAGTGCATCTTGCTCAGTGTGCCTCTATGCATAATATATATATATATATATATACATGTGTGTTTCTGGCTTTACGTGCTAAGCACTTCATTGGACGCCATGTTGACACATTGTGTTTCCATGTGCTGAGAAGGCTTGCTGACCTTTCACAAAGCGCGTCCGTCGGTCAGCGACACGGCGCCAACCTTCCAACTAAGAGCACAGAGAAGCTCGATGGAACAGTTGAGTCAAGGTCATGCTTAGCGAGCAAAGCCACACATTAGGCACACTGAGCAAGATGCACGCTTTCCAACCCGTTTTGCCCAGCCCGGCCAGGGCAAGCCCTTGGTCCTCCCCCAAGGGGAATTGCTGCCGGAGGTGAAGGTGCGGGTGGGATGCTACTTGGGTGGCTCGCGTTTTTTTGAGGGTACCCCTGTTTTGCGGTTTTAAAGGGAAACCAAAAGGACAACCCTCCAATGTTTGGGGGGTGCCAATCCACTTGGGCTTCCAACAAAGATGTCAAAAGGCAAACCCGATACTTGACATGTGACCAGCCCAAAGGGAGCAACGCAGGAGTCGACCCCAGAACTTGACTTATAAGGCCACTGGCATGTTGCCAACGAGCGGCACTTTCTGGTTTTTCCTTGAACAGCTCGCACAACTTGCAACAATTCATGCTGGGATTTGTCTTTGCAGGACATCAGGCCTACCACTTGATGGCTCTTTGGTTGCATCTTGGGACTTTAACTTTTTCGGCAACAGCGGATATCCGCCGTTGGACGCACAAAAAATGAAGTTTTTTTTCAGAGGGTCAACAGCAGCCAAGGCCAGGTTTTGGATTTCGGATTGGTGAACAAAGGGAGTCGCGGGAGGTTGCGACGGATTTCCAGACGATGCTGTTGGGACACACTGGCTTGTTAAGGGGAAGCGACAGGCAGTGCCGGACTTGGCTTTTCTGTTTACCACCTTTGTAGTCTGCTGTCTTTGTGTTTGTTCCCGCTTTAGCCCTTTGCATCATTTTTGCCCTCTTTTTGTTTCTCCATATTTCCTTTCAAGCAGCAAACGTGGTACTAGTTGGAATGGTTTAAGTTTGATTAGCACAGCAGCCATGAACCAACACAAGTCTGATGTATTTCAGCCAGGCGTTAGCAAATTGGAGCATGGGAACAACTGACCCTGCGCTGGGGTCAATATATAGGGATGGTCACCAACCCTATGCATATACATATACACAATCCTTATTTCCTGCATTCAGAGTAACGGTAATAATTTGGAACACAGACCATTCATGACATGTTTATATAGACGAAGTTCCTTTTGGAGTTAGGCGATGTAATATGGAATACGTTGATTTCTCATTTTCTCAAAAGTTGCTTTCAGAGTTGTTTGTCAGGGATCTGGCTGATTAATGTTTCGGTCCAATGTTTCTCTCATGCGGCAAGGTAGGACCAGTAGGACATGTCCAGGACGGACCATAGACCTCTCCGAGAAGCGTGTGGGTATGTCTCAAAGTTAGGACGTGGATCCCGGAATGGTAAAAGTGTACGCTTGGCTTTCCTTTTTCAACCAAAGAGGGTGTTCACGGACCTAGATGAAAGGAAATTTATCGCCGGTCTCACATGAAGAGTTTGGCCATGGCACACAACATAACTTCGTCTCATTTGCGGATCCCACAATGGCATTCCTTTTGGTTTCCCTTTAAGCCAATCAAACAGGGTTCCCCACCCCCCTCCCGGAAGAAAGGCACTCTTTTTTTTGGCGCGGGGCCAGGCCTTTTGCTCGCGCTTCGCACTCACAGACCGCTCTTGGGCAGCAAGCAGCAAGCAGAACCGACTGAAGTTGGAGTCAGTGAGTCACAATCAGAACCCGGGGAATTTGGAGGGTGAGGGACAATTTCAGGGACAAATGGGTGTGCATGTCCGCTCTTTCAATTCTGGAAGCATGGGTACAGAGCTCCTTCTTGCTCCAGGCGTTGATTATGACCCACTATAAGCTTTCCCCATGAAATGGGCTCGGTCATCCGGAACAGCTGACCTGCTTGTGGGCAAGTACCTTTCCTTGCACCTTTGAGAAGTAAATTGTTCCCGTCTACTGTATGGACAAAATCCAGTTTGTGCCAGGCGGTAGGTGGCTTCAACCAGTGTTCGAACCCATCCCACGGTGGTGCGAAGTGGATTTTATCCATCCACAGTATATGTGTTTGTCCGAAGGTCTGGGCGGAGCATCCCCGTTGTGGGTCAATTGGCATTCCATGGACGTTGTAGCCCAAACAACTATGTGGACCACAGGGCACTTCCCCTGTTTCTGAGTCAAACATACTAGGGTTTGCGCACCTGCCCAACGCACATCGACCTTGTACAACCAGGGTTCCCCATATGTCTTCTCAAGGGGTTGATTTAAACATCACCTTTTGTTCCAGTTTCAAGTTGGTTTCCTTTTGGTGGGCTAATGTTAGAGAGGAAATGATTATGGGACGCCTTGAACATCCTGTTGGGAATCTGATAGTGTGCTGGAAACTGATAAGATTCTTTGAACTCTCCCCCCCCCCCCCCGAAAAGTTCCCTCAAAGCCACACCGACCTTTTTTCCTGGACAAGGGAGCCAGCACTACATTCCCGAAAGTTCATGCAGGGCGGCCACAACCGGCGACCCTTCCCTTCGGATCCAGGTTCCCGCCCTCCCCAAACATGTGCCGATTTCGCCGATGTCTGAGCCCTTGCAACTCAAGGGTTGACTCAAGGCAACTCAACTTTTGCGTTAAAAAATCGGTTGGTCCTGGCCAGTCCTGGCAGCTGATTTGTTGCTTCTAAAAGAAAATGAAGAAACAACAGTTGGGGCATCCACGTTGGGCAGAATCTGGTGGATGCTTCTAAACGAAAAAGAAGAAACAAGGACAAATAGAAACTGGTGGACGGAACTGTTGCTCAACAAAAACCAAGGCAACTGAGCTTTTGCGCCAACAAAAAGCAAAACCATTAAACAAAAAGAACAGTTGGGGCACTTGAAGAGGCAGGGGCGCCCTCCGAATCTCAGGACTCACCACGAAAGTGATGGACACCTTGCGGAAGCGGGGGGACCCTGAGTGGCGACACGACCTGGCGGAGATGAACAGGCCCTTTGTGGTGGTTTGGTTTATGTTTTTGCTTTTTGTGTTGTTTTGTTTTTGTTTGGGGGGGGCTTGGGGGGTTAATTCGTTTCTTTCTTCTTTGTTTTTTTTGGGGGGGGGCTTGGGGGGTGAATCAGCGGTTCATCCGCTTTTTTCTTTTGGGGGGGGAGGGGCTTGGGTCGAAATCAGCGGTGAATCAGCTTCTTCTCCTTTTTTTTTGGGGGGGGGGGAGAACAACGGCGGTTAATCAGCTTCTTCTTCATTTTTTTGTGGCGGGGGGATGCTCGAGGGGTTGAACAGCAGTTTGTGGTTGGGGTCGGCTGGGCTGTTCCGGAAGGGCTCCGGGGGTTGTTGGGGATAAAGCTTGTCCGGTACAGCAGGGCTCCTTAAAAGATACATTTTGCCCATTTGAAACATGGCTTTTTCCAAACAAAATAGGGGGAAACCACCATTGACAAGGCAATGTTCAGGTGTATAATGTAAGGATCCCTGTAAAGTTCACGCGTGCTTGCGTGCCTCGGAAGGCACCTGCATGTACCAGAAGTCCATTTTGAGTACTTATTTTAGACCCACGGGCACATGTTGGCCATATTGAAAGCCACTTTTGCCAGCTGCAAAGGTTTCCTGCCAGGTGATTCTGAGGAGTATCCTTTGAGGAACCTTGCAGGGTACAGTCAACAAGACCCAGCCACCAGGACCCCCAAGTGTCAAACAGCCCACAGGAACTGACTTAAAAACCATCTTGATAGCTGTGGATGCACAAAAAAATCCTGTTGGGATGGATGAAACCCTGTGAATACTAGTTGATCAACAATCCCAACTGGTGCGAGCGCGCGGACTTCGGCATTTATCCACAGTCGCTGGGCGGCAAGTTAGACTCACAAGTTGAGTTCCTGGACTTTCAATTAACTTTTTGGGGCAAGACCACTTTGGCCATAAACAAAAACTCACTTCTCGAGGTCCTGGACTTTCAATTTTTTGGGGGTGGGCCATTTTGGTTCTAAACAGGCGCATCGGAAGCATGGGAGCCTTGGTTGGCCCAGTGTGGGAGCCTTTTTGGGGCCCATGCGCATCGGACGTAGAGATGCGCTCGATAAACGCTGCACCCGCCAGGGACTTGTCCAAAGCGCGAAACCCCTCGGGTCTGCTGGTGGTGAAGCTCGGCGACCTCCAGCGGCTCGGAGAATTCCAAGGCCGCCCCGAGACCTCCAAAGCGAGGTCTAGAGGCGGGACGAAGGAGCTTATGGGGACCGAGCAAATTGCCCACCTAGGTCCCCCAGTGCCCTTTCTCACCCTTTTTTGGGGGAGGGTTCCACTACTAAAATAGACTACAGGAAAAAGGGTACCTTTGATTTAATTGCCCACTTCAGGGGAAAAGCGCAGGGTTTCTTAGATGCTCAGTCTAAGTTTCAACTTCTTCTTTTTTTGCCCAGGTGGGCTTGTTTGTCGTACCTGACTTGAGGGCTCATGAGGTACTCGGGAACCTCGGTGGCTTACGAAAGCGGGCGATTGTTGGGTTGAATTCCAAACTTTCAGGAGTGAGGTAATTCCTACCAACCCAGGAAGAATCCCCTGGCTGATATTGATTCGGGCGCCCCTATGAGGCAGTGAACACTAGTCACAAGTCCCGAATCTTTGCACCCCACAACCACTCCCCAGGAAATCGAGAGATCCGCAAATCGTTTGCTTTTTAGGCCTATCCCAGACCTTGCTAAGGGGGTGGCTTTGAGGTGTATAGTTTGACCCAGTGCTTTGTGCCAACGCCTAGCTAAGCACGGTTGACAGTAGGAGAATCAGAATGTCGGGAATGAAACAAGATTTGGGGACAACTCAGGAAAACTTAGGGATGACTTGCCAATCATCAATGGATTTTGCCTCTATCAAAGTTTTTTCACGGTCCCAGCTTGCTTGTGCCTCGATTGACTATGCGAACACCAGGTGGCATTATCGTGTAAAGCCCTTGAGATAATTTGTTGAATGAAGTATTAAGCACGTGTTTCCACTTATCAGGGTTCCATTTTGGGTACCGGTTTTTTGAGCCACAGCCATATTATGTGTGTTCGCCTGTGTGTGTATGTGGAACAATGGTCATGGAGGGCTCCTGGTTCAGCAATTGTGCGGGAGATGCTGCTTGGGCGAAGATTTTGGTGGGTAAAGCCTTGAAGAAAGTAAAATCCGGGCAGTGGGCATGTACAACCTAAAGCTACTGTTGGAAATGTTCAAGTATCTTCTCCTAAGCCCTTGCAGTGCTCGGAAATGAGGGGCTTGCGTGAGAGCATACACTGCAAGCACAGCATCAGGCACAAAAAGGGAAAGAGAAAGAGAGAGAGAGAGACAGTTGCGAGGAGTTACGCGTATTCATTATCATATTAGTGCATATCCCCTTCGGTTTCTATGTATGTTATGGCCGGGCATGGCAAGTTCTTGATTGATTCAGTTTTTGAATTGTGTTGATGACGTGAGTCAAGATGATGTCATCGCAATAATGATACATAATATGTTTTACATATATTGTACACAATACATCTAAGTATGTCCATAGACACATCCGCATAGATATGTACATCCAAGAATACGGCACATGAATATCTGCGCACAGATAAAGCTGTTTCGGGGGGTGTCCCCTACTTTGTGTGGTGCAGAAAATGCATGTGAACATTGGGCTTGAGGAATCAGTCAAGTCCTTCGCTCAGGAAGGAGCTGAACCCCAACCAGCTTTGCTTCAACTACCGTGCAGGAGAAAAGTGACATGTCACTGGTTTCCCGGGTGGTCGAATGGCAATTCCTGAGCCACTTTGTCGCTGGTTTCCCCCTTCGGTTTCCCCAAAACATGAACCAAAACAGCCAATGGCCTCCGAGCAAGACACAAGCTCTTCTCAATGTTCTTTTAAGTAATGACCCCAAGAGGTCAGTCATTATGTCTTTGTGCATTGAGCATTGAGCAACGGTCAATTGTAGCAAAGGGGATTGGATTAGACTCGATTGTATCGACCTCACGCATGACATGCATAGACATGATGAGGCTACTTACTGCGGGATTTCTCATTTTCGGTTTGCTGCTTGTAGGCTTATAGACATCTTGCACAGGTTGCCATTAGGAAATGGCGGCGGTACTCACCAAATTCCCCGTGTGAGTTGGACCCATTGGATCACTGTGGCTCTTTTGGGCAAGTGAGAATATGCTTGAGGCACACAAGAAATCGAGGGTTGAGGCATCATTGGCTCGATTCGTAGACCTGGGAATCAGGGAGCAAGCAAGCGTCTATGCAGATGTCCTGGATCCGACCTGAAATGGGAAATGGGGAAAGCCAGCTGGTGGAATCACACTGAAATCCATCCGATCGGAAGCGAGCCGAACCCCCAAGTACGCCGCAACACCCAATTGTTCCATGTGCCCAACAGAAGCACATCGTGCATCGCTCACACGCCAATCGCATGCGCAGAATCAACTGGCATCCTTTGTGCAGTAACTTCTCAGCGATAGTTTGGTGGTTTGCTGATGCTTTAGATAGGGCATCACACGCTGTTTCGAGCCACTCTGTACGCCTGATGTTGGCCTTTTTCCAAGAGATCAACAGTAAGGTCGCAAATTGGCTTGGTTTGTTTTTCCTTTTGCCAGCGACCAGGTTTCTATCCATGTGATCGAGTTTTCAGAGCAACCCCACTTGGCCTCGCTGTGGTGAGTTTATAAACCTATCTGGTGGTTTCTCGAGTACCTCCGGATACAACCGAACCACTTGGGGTTTATTGGATTGTTCACCCCATTACAACCCAAACCATTTGACGGCCAAGTAGATGGTGCTTGGCCCATTTCTTGACTGCTATTGGGTTGGACCTTTAGACTTTCCACAAAAGTTCAACAGCAACCAAGATGTTTCACCTACGCATGTGGACCCAGAGGCGTCGTCTGCCTCAGGAACCTGTACTTGGGGCGACAAGTGCAGATGGCCACTCGGGCGCAATGCATGGAGCGTATGGGTGGTCTCCTTCTAGCTGGTAGCTTTGCAGGTCGCCTCAAGAAAAATATGAACAGCCATCATTTCAGGAACATGTTCCTTTCCCCTCGGAGATGGTTGTTTTTGCGTTGTTTTGTTCGATTGCTCAAGTTTTTTCTTCGGGTTTGAGTCTGAATATGTTTGCTTTTTGTTTCTCGAAGTTTGTTGGGTTCTGATTTTGAATATTCGATTTCTCAAGGTTGTTTTTCGGCTTTGAGTTCCAGTACATTTCCCCTGAGAGATTGTGTGTTTCTTGCTTGGTTTGATTTATCGAGCTGTTTTTGGGATTGAGTCTGAATAGTTGATTTCTCGCTGAGTTTTGTGTTTTTCTTTCAGTGTTTCCCCAATTTGTTCCTCACTTTTCCCCTGACATCGCCTGAGTAGTTCCCAAGTAGTCTCCTAGCGTTCACCCCTAGTATTCCCCTAGTATTCCCGTGTGATCCCCTTGGTATTCCTCTAGTATTCATTTAGTGCTCTCTTGGTATACCCCCTAGTGTTCCCTCAGTGTCCCCCTAGTACTCCCTTTGAATTCCCCAAGTATTCCCCGAGGACTTTTTAATATTCACCCTTAGTACTTCCCTGATATTCCCTGATATTCCCCCAGCTCTTCCCTTAGTACTAAATTGCCCTAGTACTTTGTCTTTTCTTGGTATACCCTCAGTATTTTCCTTGTATTCCCTTGATATTCCAGTGCCATCGATCGAACGTGGAAGTAAAGGATGCGGATGGGCGACTTGCCTTCAGCTTGCTTTCTAGAGTTGGGCGAGCTGCATTCTGAACCGTTTACGCACACCTTCAATCCCGAAAAACCTTAGATCTGAAAAAAAACAACAACAAAAACTGCTGGGGAGGTCCCCCTCTCTTTTTCTCAAAGCCACCCTGCACCCCCGCCATGGGTCAAAATCCCGTACCCCCAGCCACTATAAAATAGGTTCTAAAATGGGTGGTGAATTCACCTACCAACCAAAATGGGATTCCTTGGTTTTGAACCACAGCCACCTGGGTATGAAGGTGCTAAGGTTTATGTAGGTGTTTCTTTCTTTCTGGGACCACCCAAAATGGTTCCATTGGTTTTGACCACCGCCGTTTCGCCGAGCTTCGGTCGGATGTTTCTCCCCGAGGTCCCACGACGTGGCGGTGGGCGCGGAGCGCATGAAGACCTCCGCACTGCTGGCCGCGGCGGCGAAGGGCACCGAGCCTCGGGCAAACACCGGGCTGCTGGTGCCTTCCTATATGGCTGTGGTCAAAATCCCGTACCCAAAGGTACTCTTTTGCACGTTGTGTTTTTTTTTTAGAGCACCAAAGGAGACCCACTATGTTTTGCTGGCAAAACAAAACACCCTAATATGATGTTTTTTGTTGGTTGCGCAGGTTTTGGTCCATGTTTCCACTTAACAGGGTTCCATTTTGGCACTGGTTTTTTGAGCGACAGTAATATTATATCTTGGTGGCTCCCAGCCATCCGGTTCCTTAGCTTTTTGTTTAGCAGTTTAGTTTTTTTGGTGGTTGGATTTCTATTTAGCCCACTAAAAGTTAAACTTGTAGCGGGGGATCTGAGGACAGCCCAGATTATATGGCTGTGGTTGTCAAAACCAACGGGATCCCATTTTGGAGTTTTCGGTGCACCACCCATCTTGGGAGCCTATTTTAGTGGGGATTGGGATGTTCACTGGGGGTACGGTTGATTCCTTGACCATTCTTTTCAACCACCGTTTTTGTCAAAAACCGGATTCGTTTTCCCAGGGTTTTTGGTGGTTTTCTAGAAAGAAGGATCCCTGGAAAGAATCTGGAAGCTACCCTTAGCTATATGGGTGTTTGGTTTTTTGCCCAAAATAGTGGGTCTCCTTTGGTTTTCTTGAAAGCACAAGCAGAAAGGGTACCTTCAACAAAAGACACGCCCATATTTCCCTTTTCAGCCGTTGCCTTTTTGGCGATTTTTAGAGGAGTTCCGTGTTGGCGTGATGTTAATGGGGGATGTAATAGGGAACCCTGCCCCCTGCTTAATGGCCACGTTCCGTGTTTGGTTTGATCAAGTAGTCACGGGATTGGGTTTTTTGAGGGCACCCTTTCAACCTTTGAAAGGAAACAATCCAGGGAACGCTGCCATTTTGACCGCTGCTTCCCAGTCGTTTAGCGTGTTATGGTGCGCCCTATAACGGTCAGTCCAGTGTTTCGACATCTTTTCGACCTCTGGCTGGTGCTATGCATACCCCCTCAGGCATTCTCAAGAATGCTGCAGCTGCTTTGGTCGTATCGCCAACTGCCTTTTGGTTTGAACGTAGCGATTGACGTTTTCTACTTGTGGGAGCCCGGTGCGCTAAAGATATACTATGTTAGTAGGGGTACTTGAGCTGGCATTATTTTACAATGTTCAGTGATCGCCTCCCCTTATTATTGAATCCTGCCTCCCTAGTAGTAACAAGCAATTAGTTCAATAGATATAGAAGCAACTATGTGTATGTAGATATGGACATATATATATATATATGCATATATTGGTACATACACTTGAGAACCATGTCTACTAATAGGGTGTCAGGGATCCCCTTTTCTTCTCCAGGGATGTGTCCATTTGCCCTTTAAGGGCACCTTCTGACTCAGATGGCTTCGCTGCCGACGCCGGCAGTTGACCCCTCAGTGCAACCGGGCTTTGGGAGCGATGGCGCCGGCAAGGCGTGGCTAGGGATCAGGGTACAAGGGCCTAAGTTACGGCCTAAGAAACTAAAACGGGGGCGGGGCTTACCTTAAAACCAACTCAAGTCATTATCAGATGTGTGTATGTGTAATCATTCAACCCTTCGGTTCGGGCTGTTAGACTTGTCGGTTGAATGCACCGTTGACAATTGAACCCACCAACCACTATGACAAAGCAGGGGGAATACAGCGTCCCTAAATTGGGTTTGGGTGTTCCTTTTGTAAGAAGTACTCTTTTCTGGGTTTGTGAAAGTTTGCACTGATCATTTTCAGGTACCCCGAGCTCAACGCCCCTTGCGGTTGTGCATATTAGTTGAATCATGGTGAACCTTTTATTTGTAGATGTTTCGCCCAAGTGAGCCAAGCAGGGTACCCTCTTTGGCAAGCCGGCCCAGCTGGAGCTCCATGAGTGAGGAAACCCCAGCAAACTCCCTGCCCGACACCCGCTTACTTGAGCTTGGCAGGGATGATCCTGAACCATTCCATGGCTAGGTCCCCCAGTAGTGCCCTTTCTCACCCATTTTTGGGGAAAGGGTTCCCCCAGAAAAAAAAAGACTGCAGAACAAGTTCGTACCCTTCTTCTAACCTCTCTACTGGAGGACCTTTCCATGGGGTTACACCCAGAGCTTCCTCGGCTATACTTTGAACGTCCTCGAGCATCAAAACACGAAAGGCTACAACAGTAATGTCCCTCGACCACAAAAGGGAGAGCTTGGGAGTCTTGGCCTAGCTGCAGCATCCGGGCATTCCTCGACCATATTTCTTCGACCAAAAGAATGAATATCTTCTGTGATTAGCCATGATTCATTTCATCAACAGGGATGTCGCGGTAGTGACTGACCTGTGATGTCTGGCTCAAGTTTTACGGGTTCCGTCGCGCCTCGGATGGGCGTCGCCGAACCCCTGCGTCGACCGACGGCATCTCGGGGGAGAAAGAGACCTCGGGCCGCCGCCAGGTTGGTAGGGACCATTCGTGCGGCCTGTCGTCGATCAAGGTTGCGGGTTAACCCTTTTCTCTTTTGGTTGTTGTTCTCTGGTGTGTGGGAAACCCTGATCTTTGGGACCGGGGATTGGTTTGCTTTTGGGGAACCTTTCTTTTGTGGCTTGTTTACCCCAACTTACCCATTGCCTGGGCACAGGCTCGTGCCCGAATCACAGGTTATCAGCCGTAGGACTTTCCTACGCGCTTGAGACCATCAACTACAAGCTCTATGTCGACCCCACGATCTCGAAGGAGCGTCGTGGATGAGGAGGCCATCCTGGGGGGCCTCCGCTCAGGTGAGGACCTACCGGACTATGACTACGAGGATTTCGAAGCAGGTTCGACAGGTCAGGATCGCAGGGGTGAAGATCCCGGTAGGGACACACCCAGGAGCCGTGGCAGGTACACCGACGATGGAGACGACCGCATTTTCCGTCAGGCCACCGATGATGAGCAGACACGAAGGGTTCGCTCCGATAGGAGCGGCTCTGAATCAGGTCACAGGCACGGACAGTTCGACTTCATCAGCATGGCGATGAACATGGCCCGCCCTCATTCGGACGACCCGGAGGCTATGCCGACCCGACCCCCGAGATCTCTTGTTCCAGGTGAGTCTCAGGTATCGCATGAGTTTGAGGACAGGCCGCAAGGACCAGGGACTATGGTTTTGGCTCCGAGAGATATCTCGGATCGATCCACTGGTTCTCAAAATCCAGGTCAGTTTGATGAGCATGAGGAGAGGAAATTCACAGGCTTCGGATACGATGATCTGTTGAAATCGACCGCAGGCTGGGGCAGTAGCGCAAAGCAGGAGTCTGATGCCGATAGGCCCAATCCTGTTGCTGCCGAGTTTGAGTTTGAAAATGATGATGATTATGCCGCATTTGCGGATCGTCGTGATGAAGAAGAGGATCAGTCACGCCGGAATGCTAGAATCCGTGCTGCCGCGAGGCCCAGGAGCCTCTCTCGTGGAGCTGCCAGGGACCTTCATGTTGACAGGGACGCCCGGAGCGAGAGAGAGAGAGCCAGGGATAGTCGGGAAGTTCTTAGGGGATTGGAGGCCATCCATGACCGGGAGGGACCGATAGGTCCCAGTGATTGGTGACACCCCGAACGTTCCCCCTTTTCCCAACATTACATTTGGAGGTCCGCTGCATCAGAGAGACGAGGACTCGAACCGGGTTACTGGTTCGCCGAGGATCACTGAACGGGCTGCCGATGTCGTTGGGACAGGTGCAAGAGATGGTCGGCTTGCCGATGCACTCGGGATCGAAGATCGTCCGTCGATCGCTAGCCCGTTAGGGCGAGATACCAGTGACCTTGAAACGCTGAGGTCTAGCAACGAGTTCACACCTCAATGGGGCTCGACCGCCAGGGAACGTAGTGCTTCTGCGAAGAGGCCGTCACCCCTTGCCATTGAGACCGATAGGTCAAAGGCGAGGAGGGCTAGCCCCTCACCAATGGGCTCGACTCCGCAGGATGAGGAGATGCCTGATCCTGCTGATGTTCACATTCACTCTACTCCCGAGTCTCGTGCATCCAACATTGATCGCTGGCGATAGCCGGAGAAGGGGATCTACCCCGAGTAGGCCACCTAGGATTGATGATTGTCCTGTAGGCGACCCCAGAAGACATGCCAGAGCTAGTGGGGCTCCTGAGAGGATCGAGATATCGACTCCTCCTGCCCTCAGATCCCAGTCTTCCGGTGAGTCAGGTGACGCTAGGGCAAAGGAGGTGTTCGATTTGCACATCCAGGAGATGCTCGAGAGGGGTGAGGTTTCTGGCTCAGTCGCGAAGGCGTTCCATGTTTTTGCTGACCAAATCAGGTTACTGAACGGTCAGGTGAGTTCCATGCGGAGTGAATGGAGCGACGAGAATCGACAGACGAAGGACAAGGTCGATCGCCTGACAGCTGAGATTGCGACTCAATCTGATGCCGGTAGGATGCGAATGATAGTTCAACGGTTTGCCAAGGAAGTTATTCCCGACAGCAAAGCCATTGTGAGGCAAGCCATCGATGAACAGGCTGAAGTCGTGGAGCAGAGGATCAATCTGCTTTCCCACGAGGTTCATGAATCTGTTAAGGACAACGAGGTCGCAACTGATCGGCTTCGTCAGATGATTCAAGAGAATCGTGAGGCCGTCCACAGGAGCCATGCTGCTTCCGAGGATGAGATCCTTAAGGACTTGGACAAGCTTGAGGGGCGGATGTTCTCGGTAGAGAAAACCGTTGGGATGCGGACGCCAGCAGGTGAGTGGAATTTGAATCCTGCTGCGCAACCGCCCGATAGGGCTACTAGCAGTGGGGCAAACGCGAGTTTCAGGGAGTTGAACCTGAAGCTCGAGAAGGCTCTTCTTGAACACGAGAAGTTTGCTAAGTGGGCCTCCGAATCTATTGGTGGCATTAATGAAGAACAAACCATCCTTGCTAATCGGATGTCGAGGCTGCAAAGTGGGAGGGGTTCCCAGGCGATCGATAGATCATCAGGGCCTGTATCCCCGCAGGACTGGCATGAAGCAATTGACGAAGTCAATCAAAAGGTCCAGGATCTATCTCGCGGAGTTCAACGACACCATGGGGATCATGACGATGTCATCGCGAGGTTTGAGACCTTGAAGTCCCGCGTTGAGCAGTACGAAGCGAGCTCGGGGATTCTGAATCAGGTTCTTGATGACATCAGAAGGCAGATCCGAAATCTCCCTGCGAATAGTGATCAAGCACGGTCTGCCGTTAGGCGTGAAATCGACTCATTCCGGAGTACGCTTGAAGGCGCTATGCGGAGAATCAGCACTGTCGAGAGTAACGTGCGTACTCTTAATGGAATGAACAACAGAATCATGGCTCAGCTCTATGAAATCGAAGGTCATGTTGATGAGGCTGCTGGCATTATTCAGGGTGTCCAGGAAAATCAGGTAAATCCTCCACAGCCCAGAGAGAGACGGAACGTTGGATACGACGCTTTCGCGGGGCAGGGACATAGAATCAGGTCTCCGACGCCCACTCCCGGAGAAGGTAACGGTCGGGGTACTGGCCTTCCGGTGAGACCTGGCGGAGGTGTTGATTTGGTTGATCACGCTTTGCCAGATGTGCCCGGTAGGGTCGATCCTTCTCATGCAAGCAGGCATCCCATTAATCCCGATAGGGAGAGGGCTGACAGCAGAAGCAGGAGGGCTCGGGGACTGCCTGACAGGTCGCATTCACCGGCAGGGCGTGCGAGGGATGGCCCCCGCGCACGCGAAAGGGGGGACATTTCTGTTTCTCCCAACAGGGATGTGGGTAGGAATAGGAGCCCGAGGCCTGCTGCCGTCCCCGATAGGGGATCTGAGGTCCGGAGTCGGCAATCGAAAGGGGAGAGGCCGATCCGCGATAGCGGGAGCATCTCTCCGAACCTGGATAGGCCGATCCGCGATAGCGGGAACGTCTCTCCGAACCCAGACCGTCATCCAGGAGGTGGTAGGGGTAATAGGGCCCATGCCGACATCCAGAGTCCCGGCGATCGCTGGAGGACTCCTGGGAGTAGAGCTCGTGCCGATATCCAGAGTCCCGGCGATAGCTGGAGGACCCCTAGAACTCCATCTGATCGTGGACAGGCCTCGGCACCGGCCGCAAGAGGAGCTCCCGGTACCGGTGGCCCAGGTGCGCCAAAGATCTGTGCCCTCGACGAACCCAACGACCGTAGGCACCCGGACGCTGAATTCTCGTGTGTTACGTGCAAACGTGAGTTTTGCAGGCTTTGCCGGGGCGAGGATGGGGACTGCTGCAATTGTCACTTCTTGAAGATGAAATGTTGGGCGTGTCGTAAAAGTGCCCAGGAGGCCCCTATGTATTCCTGCACCGAGTGTGCGAACCATATCTGTGAGGATCACAGTCATTTTGGCAATGATGGCCTCGAGCGATGTGCGCGCTGTAATATTCGGCATGAACGCGCTGCAGCTGGACCGCCCCCTCCTCCTCCTCCTGGGGGAGGAGGTGGGCAAGGCGGACCATCCGGCCAAG